CTTTTTATTGAATTATGATATCTTTCGTATTGATTTTAATACAATTTGACAGAAGGAATAATTAATCTCCGTTGAGTGAGGATGTGGTTGTGTAAATTGGTAGTCTACGAGTTGTGCAGCACAGAAAGCGGTTAAATCTAGAGTATGCGTGGCAATTAATTGTTTTTCGGTGATTTTCTGTAAACAAGATTTGTGATTGTAGAAATTTATAATTTTCAAAACGAATTAAAAGCTTCCTTCATATTCTCTTAAATAATATCGTTTCAAAGTGACCTTCTAGAAGAATACTCTTGAAAAGCATTTTTCTCTGTTGCCAATTTGAACGATTAATTGATTTGAAATTTTCATTGATAAAAATTGAGAAGATGTGTAGTCATTGTAAAACTGTGAATTCCCAACAGGATTCTTAGTTGATAGAAATCTGCTTTGTTCCAACTTATACCAAAAGTTATAAGGTCAAAAAATTGAATAATCTATTCGATTGCTTCTTGTTGTTGAAATAGAGGAGAAATTAAGTTCATAATTTATTTCGTGAGCTTAAAATGGTAATTTATACCCGTTACTTCCATAGAATCATGTTAGAGTTCTAAAATACACATAAATCTTTGCCTGAAAAATTAAAAATCGCGTGAGGGTAAATGAATGCCAATTCAAAGTATACGAAATTTTAGGAGACTTAGAAATATAAACTAACTAGCTGAGGTACCCAATGAAAAGGGAATATAGTTAAAGTTTTGCGTCTTCCACCTGACTTTTCCTGCCGTGCATGACACGTCTTCTACAGGACTGTTTCCGCTTTGGGTGAGCTATCTGCAACAGAACTTTTCCAGCCATGCGTCAGACCTTTTCCACAGGACTTTTCTCACCGTACCTGCAATCTCTGCTACAGATCTTTCCCACCGTGCGTGATGCATCTTTCACACAGATTTTCCCGCCCTGCATTAGGCATCTTCAGCAGGTCTCTTCTCAACGGGCTCAAGCTGACATATTCACTCACATCCGTCCTGGACACGATCACTCTCGAATTTGCATTGAACTGCGTCATTTGATTAGAAAGTGAGTAAAATCGCGATCTCTTACGACTTGGATGAAATTTCACACATGCCTTCCCTCTCACTCCGATCAGCCTGCCGACTTTCTTTTGCACTCAAGGAACTGTCACGGATATTTCCGTGACGCTATCTCTCACGACGACTAAATACATAGCGAGCAGACTCATCAGAATCTCGATCCGTGTTGGCCGGAGTGAAATTCCATCTATACGGTTCCTCTTCGTTTTATACATTCTATTCGTCTTTTTTCGAGCATCCTAAAATGTCTTGTGCCGAATGGAAAAAGCTCAGGTTTTTATATATTTGCTCTCAAGTTATGGAAGAACAATCATGTGTGCAAATTCTCTGGAAAAGACATCTACTATAGTACATTTAACAATGAGGGAGGGAGGGACAAACACCCCCCTGAGGTGAAAATTTGGAGTTGAAAACTACCCTATGGACTTCTCCTGATCGAAAGGGTATTCTCTGCAAAATTTCATTGCATTTGTTCGCACGGTGTCAAAATGCATGAAGAACAAACAGACAAACTTTCTTCTTTATATATATAGATGTGTAATGATACGATATGAATTATTATAGCTATCCTAAGATATGGCCGTCTCATAGAAATAGGGACTCTTATTTTAGCAAGGGGAAAAAGCGGACCCCATGATCCAATAGGATTCATTGGGATCCGGGATCCGCTTTTCCCTCTCGACTCGAGGTGCCGGTGTTGCTGTCGCGTTTTGGGATTCAACAGGTGCTTTTTCGTACTTGTTTTAGGGGCGGGGTAGTTTCAGGAGTTCACAGTATCTGTAGCTGTGTTCATTCATTCTGAATTGGGATTACTTGCTGATTTAGTAATCTTTTGCATCTTTACATATGATCATATGGACAAGGGGGAAACAGCAGACTCCAACTCCTCAGAGTCAGGTGGAGTCAAGTGGAGTCTAGTGGAGCCAACTGGTTGCATAGAATAACATAGGATCCGAGGGAGTCATACCTAAACACGAGGAGACACACGGAGTCTCTTGGAGTTACAGTAAGTATCGTAAAATCCCTGCTGATCTCGAGAAAACCATTATAGAAATGGAAGACTGATACGTTTTTACTTTTTTCTGTCATATGTATCATTATATAAAATAGTTATTAGTCTCTTTCTTTGTCGGAAATTATCCAAAACAATTGCTCACAACAGAACAATATTACTCAGTACCAGGAAATAGAATTCCCAAAGCTGAACTGCTTATTCTGTAGTGGGAATTCAACTTCCGGGTACTGAGTCATACTGTCAAGAGGGAAATGAGAGACTCCATCTTCTTGGAGTCAAGTGGAGTCAGATGGAGTCATGGAGTCTGCTGTTTTCCCCTTGTCATATGGATCCATTTTCTCAGACCTTTGTGAGCACTACGCTGGAAACCATAACATCAAACTTTATAGTTTGGATTCTTCGAATCAATTTCTGGATTAGCACTTTTAAACTATGAACGATGTCGTAGCGCTGAGTCAGTATGAAATCGACACTGGTAAAATCATCCCCAGAGCAAGAAAATACTCATTCAAGGGTAGTTATAGAGTTATCAATAGTATTTTCCATCTATTGGACAACAGTTAGGAGTATATTTACCATATATATCAAGAAGAAAAAAAGGCTATCCTTTTATTTACTATATTGTAATATAAAAAGGTTTTGGTTTTCATAATATCTATCTTGTGTTGATCTTTTTATAGTTTATTTAATTGACTGATACTCAATATCTAGGAATCATACAATTTAACAAGTGTTATAATCAAAGACATGAAAAAATACAGCTACTTATCAAATATTGTTTGGAGCCAGATCAACACAATGTCTTGTTGATCCATATATGTTTCGAATAACAAGATTTTCTTTAAAATTTCTAACATGAAACTAATTAAAGCAAAGTTAATTATTGATCTCGAGTCATTTGTATTCACTTCATAGAATCAAAATATTTCAATAACTTGGAATATTTTTCTAACAAATGCTGTACTACTTTTTAATACTATCTTTCTTAAGCAACAATCGAATAGTTATGAGAAAATGTTACCTATGTAATTCAATTTCTCTTACGCCATTTGACAACATAATATTGCCCATAGGCATTATTTGTACCATAGCATTGAACACTCGAAGCATCACGAAAAATTGAGTCATTGAAAATGATTTTTTTTTTAGATTATTTCTGTTATTTTAACCTTTACTGATCAAGTTAGCTATGTAGTGCAACCACATTCTCAATATAGTAGAATAAAATTGAAAGCAATCCGACTACAACAAATGAAAATAAGATAGCTGGACCGGAAATATGACCTATGTGCATTTTAGAGAATATTTTCAATCTTTACTTTAATCAAGCGAGCTGTTGGCCGCCTGGGGCACTCACTTTTTCTTTCTCTCATTTTTTTAATCATAAACAACTCTTCTTCATGAATTTTGTAATCATTAATACGTGTCTATAACTAGTAAAGAATACCCGCAGTCAGGAAAGGTGGTGAACTAATAATCTTCACCTCAACGTTTCCTCCGGGATTTTACATTGTGAATCATCTATCATACATAAGCATCATTATTATATATGAATAAAAGACAACAGAGAGATAGGGGGAAGACAGATAGAAAGAAGAGGAAAAGAAAAGTAATTTACGCTTTTTCCTCTCCTTTGATCATCATTATACATATTATGTGCTTGGGAGAACATCCGATGTCGTAGCTTTCTTTTTCTTTTCTCTCTTTGAAAATTTTGATAACATTTTATAAGCCGTTCGTTAAGTAAGTTCAAGGTATAAAAAAATAGTCACCGTTCAATTCTTAGAACAAAACAAAAGCGAATTGATTCCCGGTTGGCCAATGATTAACATTTGTTATTTTTACAAATTTTATCGTCATGCATACAGCAGATCGTACATATATTAACTCGAGTGAAATTTTTCTGTTGAACTAAATTCTGTTCCTGTGTTAAGCAAATTGTTGAACTGGAATGAATTAAATTTGAAAGAAATCAAAGTAACGATCGAAGCATTCAGGTAGAAACATAGTATCTATAATGTGAAGTCTAAAAACGCGAGACATAAACTGATGTTTATCTATCATTTCATAATTCGAAAATTGTAGCTGTCTATACACTATTCGAATGATTAATTTTTATCGGGACACCTGTATATCGCGTGTTTGATTTATGTTCACCCTCAATGTGTTCACTTTTGTCGCCTCCACCTCCTCTTCGCTGTGCTTTTATCATTCATTGTTCATCATATTTCATCGTCATTCAATACACATTATTATTCGATTGTGATCTCTATCGTGGTCGATGATAGTTTATACGCACGAGCATATAAAAATATTTTTGTTATTTTGTATACCGGATTTGTATATCGGACTAACAGGTGGTGATATGACACAACACATATTATGTTCAATAGGCGCTAATTCAATTAAACTACTCATATCTATAAACGGAGAGAGAGTATGTTTATATCATCTTGATATGCAATATGTAATGTAATATATATATATATATAGTTTGATCATGCGAAACAGTATACGGACTCGTCATGTCGTTTACAAATTCTGTTCAACTGATCATCAATCGAGCGATGAAATTAAAAGAAAATAAAAATCGAAACTATGTCTGTACTTATATTTTTACGATTGGATGAATCGTTTTTACGACTGTTATGTGTATGTATACATTTTTAATCATCAAAAATGTTAGTAATCATCTGTCGTTATCGATATGACACTTGCAGTTTTTTTTTCAACATTGAGATTGTTCTCTATCGATATGTTATCTTTGAATTTTGTTTCAGATAATGGATAAAATGATTGGTTTTCTCTTAGTATTACTTTTAATATCAAGTACGAAACAATTAAAGATAGGTAATTAATAATTAAATGAAAACAAAAAAACAAAACACAACTTTTTAGAAACTTGCCGATATCCAATGGGGATTGAAACTGGAAAAATATTAGATTCAGCTTTTTCGTCAAGTAGTCATGCACGAGAAAGTACAACAGCATCGAAAGCGAGGTGAGACATTATGTATGATTCAAACTTTTATTTTTTTTTCTTTGTTAATATTGAAATAGAATTCGAAGTGAAACAGATGGATGGTGTCCGCTGAATCTTATTTCATCAACTACCTATGAATATATACAAATCGATTTAGTTAATTTAACTGTTATTACACTTATTGAACTGCAAGGAAGATTTTCTTTAACGCCAGTAAACAGAAAAAAATATGTTTATTGAAAAATATTTGTTTCTTTTTTGCTCATTAGAATGAACAATTTGCAGATGCATTTCGTATTGAATATCGACGAAATAATGAACAAAAATGGATTAAATATAAAGATTTCTCTGGGCGATACGTAAGAATAAGCTTGATATCAATTGAAGTCTATTGTTTCAAAAAAGAATTCTATAGATTTTAAATGGAAATTCGAATAGTTACATACCAGCCATGCGTAATATACTTCCATCGATTATTGCGCGACAAATTCGTATTATACCAATTGTGACTGGGCCTTTATCAAGGCACATTTGTATGCGTTTGGAACTGTATGGTTGTTCCTATCGAGGTTTGAAAGATTTTTGTGTTTGAAGCAAATCAAATTATTCTTATTTTAGACGGTCTAATATCCTATTCGATGCCTCAAGGTGATAAGCGTGGTTTTGATTCGCAATTTTTTGATGAAACTTACGATGGACAAAATAATAATGGAGTATTAACAGGTTAGTTTCCATTGGACATATTGCAAAGTCACACATAGATACATGTTGTTCTTTTAATTTTAAAGATGGTCTAGGCCAATTAACTGATGGAATCATAGGTCATGATGATTACCGTTCGATGGATAATGCTCAAGGCATAGACCAAACTGGTTATGATTGGATTGGTTGGAAAAGAAAATCGCCATTCGTGTTGCCTATAAATCTTATTTTTCATTTTGATAGTATTCGAAATTTTACAGCAATCTATATTCATACGTCAAATTTATATACACGTGATATATACTTATTTCATTCAATAACAATCACAAATTGTCAAAAGAGAAATACGAGATATAATCATCCAATATATTCGATTATATCAAATGACTATATCAATACTAGTGCTCGATTTGTTCATGTATCGTTTACCGATAGAAAAACTCCTATTATAAGTAATTGTCTGAATGTGAGATTAACTTATAACAATCGAAGTAAATGGATATTGATTAGTGAAGTTCAATTTGATTCTGTACCGATCGATAGAAATATTCCACAGTTAATAACATTAAAAGATATTTACGATCGTCAACCAAGCGTCATGGATCTTGACATTTCAAATGTTCATTTATGGCATTGGATAATGTTTGGTTCAAGTCTTATTCTTCTTTTCATTGCATCATTAGTATATACGTATGTTCGTTGGAGTCAAACCTATGAACAAGGAAGCAAATTTTACAGGTAAAATTTTTCAATCTGAGAGAGTAACGGGAACAACATTGTATCTGTCATGCAGTCGAACTCTATGAAAGTGTTTTTTCTCTTCATTAGATCTACTGAGGAACCGTTCAATATTTTTAATGAGCAAGACTAGATCGGCTATTTAATGTTAGCTTCTAATTATGCACGTCTTATTGAGATTTGTAGTCTTCAACATTGAGATGGAGAAAAAAGAATTCGTACCACCAGCAGAGCGTTCAAAATTTGGAGTAAATATTATTCTAAGTAGTATCTATAATTTTTTAGTGTAGCAAACAATTTGAAAATTGGTTCGACTTATCGAGCAATGCCGCCAATGGGTTCTTGCATTAATCCGAGCAATACTTCGTGCCTATCATCGAATTCGAACAATGATATTCGTCATAGTTTGATTATTTCAACGAGTAATTCCTCGAGAAGTATGAACAATTCAGATTTTAGTGCAACAACAATGTCAACTATTTATCAATCAAGTAGTATCGATCCATATTTAACTGCTACATCCATTGATACATCAAATTTGGTTAGTTTCCTTTAAATTTATTTAGCAACTAAATTTAAGTTTTATCAGAAGCGATGAGCAAATAGTTCCATTCGAAATTCTTGCTTACAACAAATATCATATTTGTCATTTAGACGACAAACCGCTACTCGTCGGCTGATATGTATACTAGTTCGTTATCGGATACGACTGTCAGCACGGAGAATACGATGAAAAATATTCAAGGTCCGTGCGGTAATAATACATATGAATCGTTATTCCCATTGAATGAAACTCGATCGACAATATTTATGCCACGTGTCAGTAATAAAGATTTGATTATTGAACAACCGTATTCAAAAATAAATGGACCATTTGGAACGGTGAGAAAAATGGTCAGACCAAAATTTATTTCATATCTTTATTTTTCAATAGATTTTTCAAGGCAATCTCTATCTCAATCGCTCAAATGAGCATCTTAAACGAATTCTTATTAAAATTCTAACCACTGATGATATAGATCAAAGGTAAAGCGAGTTTTAGAATTGATTGATAATAAAAAGAATTTGATTTACTTTTGCTTTGCTAGAGAATTATTTGCTAGAGAACATTTATTACTTAATGATCTTAGTCATCCAAATTTAGTTCAATTTTATGGTTACACTATTGAACAAAACCATGCTCTTATTGAACATAGTGATTTAGATGATCTCTATACATATTTATCAACATCGAAAAATACTTCGTAAGTTTTATTTTATCTTAATTCATGTATTGAACGAAATTGTCTTGTTTGATTTTCAAGAAAAAATATTCGTCTTCATTTTCTGACGCAACTATCGAGTGCTCTTCGTTATCTTGAATCTCATCATATCATTCATCGTGATGTAGCTGCAAGAAATTGTTTAATTTATCCAAATTATAAAATTAAATTAACAAACTCAGCTATGGCATCGGAACAATTTCAATTACACTATTGTAAAATCAATCATATTCAGTTACCTGTTCGATGGATGGCACCCGAATCTATTTCAAATGTAAGTGAAAAAATAAGTAAATAGAGAATTTCACATGCGAGAAAATTTTTCCATAGAATGAATTTACGCCTCAATCGGATATATGGTCGTTTGGTATAACACTTTGGGAAGTAATGACTAATTGTAACACATTGCCATATGCTTTATTGAATGATGAACAAGTTTATCAAAGATTAAAATCAGCAAAAGGCTTACATTTACCTAAGCCAGAATGTTTAAGTAAAGAACTTATTGATTTAATGCTTGAATGTTGGCGTCCTTGTAATGAACGACCGAAATTTCAGGAAATTTTTACATTTTTAAATAGACGTCTCTATGGAATGAATATTGTATGATTCAGTTATTCATTAGACGTTTTTTAAGTGTGCATATGTATGTGAATATTTAACTGTAAAATAAAATTATTCGTCATTACGATAATTTCTTAATTTGAATTTGTACAGAAAAACAATATTATAGAGTTTTAAAATATACCGAATTTTTCGATGATATTCTGCTGTCATATAAAAACAACATTTTAGTTGTCACGATAGATTATTGGAACAATCAAGCTGTATATTGCTGTGCAGTGTGTTCAGGTTGATAGTGTTTAAATCAAGATAACAGCTCGAAAAATTACTCGACATTTCGTTTTTCCCAATATATAGTAGGAAAATTCTTGAAATACTCTTGCGAGAAATCTTTTGTATTTTTTCTCATAATGAAGGTTTTGCTTTGAAATTTTAGATGTAACATTTCATATTTGATAAGGATTCACTGTTGAAATTTCGTACCGTGTGTTTGTATATAGATAAAAGTTGAACGGCATTGAGAACAAAATGTTTTATTAATTTAAACAATATGAGATATTGATTTTTCATCAAATGTATTGGTTAGCTTAGAAACCAAGAACTTAGAGGTTTTAATTTTGACAGTAGATACATATTCTTACAGTTCCTACTCAGAAATAAATGATTCATATTTGCATAGTATGCATTGATTTCTCAGGAGGACGAATGTTGACTGCGACATTGCTGATTACATCGATGACCTTGTACTCGAATAAGAATGCTGTAGGGTATAGTTGTTGCTCTTTGGTCGGTTTTCCATTCGATTTCGTCGTCTGGTATGATGCGGCACACATTACTTTTAAAACCGCGTTGCTTTAAGAGTCCAAGAGGGTATTGTTTACATGCGAGAACTATTTTTATGTCATACCATTTATGTTCTATGAGGACGGTATCAGTTGGACAAAAGCGCTCAAGAGATGCGTAATTGATTGACGGTGACGACAATATATATCTCTTATCATATATATGTCTAGTAAAGACACTACCATCTAAAAGATTATCTCCAGAAAAAGGTATAAAACGGTTTCTGATGATAGATTCAACATCATCACGGGATGTTCCATAGAATGTTGTGAACCATTTGCTAAATATTCGATTGGAATTAAAAGCTGCCTCATCGATTTGCAAACCAAAATTTGTCCACCCTCTTGGAACAGTATATTGGGAGCCAGCTGTTGTGAATACACTAGTTCTTTCAGCTGGGTAGCATAAAGAGCAGTAGCATCTGTCATGGCGCACATTAAAATAGCCACTGGCTAATTTTAAGATTCTGATATATTTTTTACATAGATATTTAGGGCATAGGTCAGAAGCAGGATTATCAACCGGCGAAGATATTTCTTTGCGAGGTTTAGGAGTAACATCAAGTATCGGTAGCGGATTCGGTTTTCTAACCTTCGGTTTAGATTGCACAGGTAGGCTGGCCCGATGGTCATCTTTTTTTGGTGGGTGAACTATCGGAGGAGCCACTACTGGCGCCAACGGTGCTGGGTTAGAGGGAGCTAGAGTGAAAAAAATTCAATTCATTTTTAACATTGATACAATTATTTTCCATTAAATTCGTAGCACAAACAATTTACTTACTGGGAGTTCGCCTCTCCTTTTTTTCATTAGCACCAAAACGGTTACAATAACCCAATTGCCTACTGATCATAATACACACGATAATAATTATCGCAGCACTTATTGTACATCCAATAGCTAAACCCGCGACGGCACCAGAATCCATATCTGATCCATTTTGAGTCACTAGATATAAGCAAGGACATATTATTGCAGTGTTCTTTCATAAGTATAAATACTACTCATTATTACCAGAAACATTTTGTGTATTGATTGCGACTGACATCGTGAATGATTGTCGACTGATTTGGCAATACCTCAGAAATAATTTTCGTTGTTCATTTACTGACTTTTTTCTCTTTATTGGTTTTTCTTACTTGGAAAGATTTTTTTGCCACGTAAACACTTAAAAGTAAAATAAATATATGCCATAATAACTCTTTTTGAAGGTGGATGAAGAAGAATCAAAAGAAAAATGTTGGGATTCTTTTCTGACTCACTGAGTTTCATCGCCAGAAATGCTACATCTATGTGCATTTTCTCATGGAAAGACATGTTTAGTAGGATTCAAGTTTTTTTTCATATTGCTGTAATAATTTTTGAAGATGACCACACCGACCGGGATCGTACGGTGTTAGATCTCGGTCACAAACGTCTAGACCTTTGACGTCACAATCAGCTAATCGTTTGTTATGCATGTTGAGAATGACTGTGCCCAAATAATGGTAGAATGAGTTTAATGCAAGTTTTCAATCATTCTTATTATAATTGCGCCCACAAACTATTAAAAATGTATTCAGGTTGACATTTTTATACACGATTCATTGAAGCCTCACCACACAGTATACACTATAAATAAGAAATAACAACTGGACTTTTTTAGAAAGGTGTCTTATTCAGAGAGAAAGACACATCGAATTTTATACGAAGCGCGATTAAAAGAGAGTAAAACTTGAATTTTCTGTTTGCATGACGTCTCTACGAGTTATCTTCATAGAAAAATCTAGTTTTCACGATTGTTTAGTACCTTTCTAATAATTTCACAGGAGAATAGTAATTCAGCGGTTTAAGCTGACACTCTCGGTGCTTTCATTTCTACGTCGATAGTACAGACTTTAGCAAACAGGGGTAATGATTCGCAAAGAAGAAAAAAAATCTATTTGTCAAAACATCAACAATTGAATGTGACCAGCTTCATAATCGCATTTGTATCAATTTACAGTTTCTGGCCTGATTAGAGCATAGGCTAGTTTGCTGAGGCCGACTGTTTTTGAGATAGCATCTATCGACATTAGTCTTATTTACCGTTAATTAGACTTTTATATTTGACGTTATTTTAAAATAGGCGAAACGAAATGACAAAAGAGGTTTTACTGATTATCAAACATTTTTGAAAAAGAGTTGTCATCTTTTGGAGAGTTAAAACTTTGTGCGCATGGCAATCTGTAAGTATCATGGCAAATGTGGATGAAGATAGCATATCATTCTCAAACACATACACATTTTGATGGTCACTTTTAGCATCCGTTAGGAAGTGACATAGAAAAACGTATAGTTCATTTAGTTGTGCCGCGTTTGTCGATTGATAAGAAAAGAATACGAACGAATTATCAATGGGAATTCCATTGGTTTGTTTAAATATGGAAGAAAAACTAGAGTTAAATACAAGGATGTTAACATCTTCGATATAACCGAATATTCAAAATGTTAAAAATGAATAATTAAATAAATCATGTGCGATTTTCATATGAAATGATATTATTTATTTTTTTTCGAAGAAATGCCATTACTTGCTGCCAAAACAAGGTAAACATGAACAGAGTCGATCCCATATGCTACAATAAAATTGTACCAATGGAAAACTACAAAAAATATTAGAAGAAAGCACTTCAAGTACCTGGGTGGACTGAAAGATTGTGAAGGTCCAAGTGCACGTCGTGGACATGATCGCTAAAATAAAAAGTTCACAATTAATAAAATTGAATATCTTTTTTATACTTCATGAACATCTATATTAGTCGCAGTGAATGATTCTGGACAATATGCACATTGAATAGTAAGATGGAGACTGTTTAAAAATTAGAAATAGATGATATGATATACATTGAAATACCAAAGTGTTTCAGATACTCAGAAGTGGCATGTGGTTGGGTAATTCGATATGACATCTTTAAAATAGAATATAAATGAATGAAACAAATGCATTCACGCATACCTCACGGCTTCTTCTTGGCTGCCGTGAATTTTGATGTGGTGGTGCTTCAGGTTTTCTAATATGATATAATTCAAATGAATATGGAATTTATATTGTCATTTTAATAAAATTGAATTTGTCTCATACCTCTTAGGTTGAACCACAGGGTTAGACTCTTGCGCGGGAGGTCTCTTGAAAAGAAAATATTATTCAGTGTAATGAAGAGTTTATGCAGTACTTTGCCGTTGTCTATTCGATTGTTCACATGTTCTCTGTGGGGATTAACATTTGGATCACTATATTGGAAAAAATAGTTCAAGAGCTATATTCATAATTATTATACCGCCGATAATTAGTTCAAAATCGGGTTATGATAAAAGCTGAAAGTTTGCCGATATCTTATGTTTTCTAAAAAAAGAGCTTTTTATAAGTTAAATAGTTAGAGGGAAGTTTTAACCGAATGCAAAGCTATATTGGTTATTAGTAGTGGATACAATCAAGTGCTATATCACTTACACAAGATTAATTTTTGAAATCTTCAACTGAATCTGTTTTATATTGTCTCGCACCTCCGACGATCTAAACAAGCAATATTCGATGACGGCCCATATTTGATCGTCACAACCATTTGGTTTGCATAATTGTTCATCGCTCAATCGTCTTCGTCGAACATCCTCATCGCTTGTATCAGATCCATAAGGAATTATTCCTTGTGAACAAGCTTGCCACATTAAAACACCAAACGAATATACATCAGCTGCTTCAGAATAGTTTGATGAGTCTTCAACCTTAAGAATTTCAGGAGCGCAATATCGCACTGGCATAGACTGCGGTTTGTAATCAGTACGCGGAGATTCTTTTTTGCATGCTGTATTAAATTCAGTGAGCTTAACCAGATTTTCTGATGGATAGCTTGGATGCATTCGAAAGACGAGAACATTTGAACAACATAAATTACCGATTATAATGCCCTGGTTAGCTATGTAAACCATGGCATCTAGGATCTGTAAGAAAATGGCGATGAGAACTTTCGGTTTTGGCTGAAAGCGTCTACTATGTAGCAACTCCTCAAGATTACCATGAGTAGCACGCTCTTGCAGTAACATAGGCAATTGATCATTATTTTGAACGAAACCAAAAGTCTTTATAATGTGATCGTGAGTGTTGAGCATAAAATACCATGAAGCTTGACGTTCTGCTGTTTCTTTGTTCATGATCATTAGAATAATGGGCGGTTCTCTTTCAGGTATCCAATCTGCCTCATAAAATCGACCACCATGACGATTAAGTGGATTCTTCTTTTTGACATTCATATCTAATCGATATTGATAAATTTCTGATGGCCTAGAAAAGCAATATAATATAGAAATATTTGCAAGATAAAGATGTTGGATGCTATTGACTACGAAACTATGAAAATTGCAAGCTATTTCTACAATAAAAGCTTTACAAAATAACAAAATTCATTCTTAATCTTCTATATTCAAAGCTCTGAGTAATAATTGTAGTATACAATAGTTTCTTGTTTTAAATCAACTTTACATTATGTATCGAACTTAACTTGTAGTTGATATTTTATTAGACATCATATCATCAATCTAAATTGATTTCACTTACTCGAATTTAATACTAGACAAGCGTATCATCATACCATTAAAATCATATCGTAATTGTGGCTCTCTATACCAACAGTCTGTTATTATCTTCCATATTCGTGTATCACAATTCTTTGGCATTGGTAAGTTTTCACCTTTCAACTTTCGTTGTTGAATATCTTCATCACTGATGGAAAATTCATAAGGAATCGCTCCTTGCGAACAAGCTTGCCACATTAGAATACCCATCGAATAAACATCAGAGAATTCAGAATAATCTGATTGACCTCCGCTTTCGCCAATCTCTGGTGCAGCATATCGACTGGAAATAGATGTTTGTCTATTGTTTTTAAATGATGTATCATTTGTGCAGGTTAAAGAAAAATTAGTTAGCTTAACTTCGTTTCCATCAGCCTCTAATGGATTCTTCCGAAAGACTAGAACATTAGCGCAACGTAAATCACCATGTATAACATCCTGTTTAGTAATATAAGTCATAGCATCAATGATTTGTGAGAAAATTCTAACGAGCGCTTTTGTCGATGGTTTGAATTCTTGACTTTGCAACAATTTTAGAAAAGTACCATGTGGAGCACGTTCTTGTATTAACATAGCCGATCGAGGATCATTTTTCACTAATCCAAACGTACGAACAATATGTTTATGAGAGCTAAGTTCAATATAGAACGAAGCTTCGCGTTCTGCTGTCTCGGTAGTTATTGAAATTAATATAATCGGTTGTCTTTTCTCTGCTATCCATTCAGAATCATAAAATATTTTTCCAGGTTCACCACACAATCGATTCTTCATTTTGACATCAATACCTAGCTCATATTTAAATTGTGACCTTGAATAGAAAACATCAAATTTTATGTTCTTAATAATAAATAGATTTTATTGTATTATATTGGCTTGTGAATATTCGATTTACTTACTCGAGGTCAATACTAGAAAGCTTTACTTGCATATCTCTAAATCTATCTCGTGATTGTGGTTCATTTTCCCAGCATTTTTTAATAATGGGCCATATTTGTCTATCACAATTCCATGGTCGAGGTAATATTTCACCATTTAATTTCTTTTGTCGAATTTCTCTGTCTGACATTGTAGAAGTAAACGGATATTTTTCTTGTGAACAAGCTTCCCACATTAATACGCCCATCGAATAGACATCCGATAGCTCAGAATAATTCAATCGGCCTACACTTCGAAGAATTTCAAGTGCACAATATCTTACTGGGATAACTGAACGTCGATCGTCAAACGATGATGATTTATTTGGACGTGCTAAAGCAAAATTTGATAATTTAACAAAGTTTTCTTTAGGTTTCGATGCATCCATGTGAAAGACAAGAACATTTGAACAACATAAATCACCGTGCGTCATATCTTTACCAATGATATAAATCATTGCATCAATGATCTGCAAGAAAATCGCAACGAGTACCGCCGGTGATGGCTCAAATTGCCGGCTTTTTAATAGTTCTTGAAGATGACCATGAGGTGTGCACTCTTGCAGCAACATTATGGATCCTGAATTGTTTTCAACAAATCCAAATGTGTTAATTAGATGTCGATGATTGTCGACTAATTTGAAGAGTGATACTTCGTATTTCGACGGTGCTTCATTCATTTCAATCAAAACGATAGGTTCTTTTCTTTGTAATATCCATTTAGCTTGATAAATTTTACGAAATGTGCCGCCTATTGCAGCATTCTTTTCCACATCAACATTAAGTTTAAAGGCATAGCCAGTCGGTGGCCTTGAAGAAGAAAGAAACAATTCACTTCGAAAAAAGATATTTCAAAACAAAAAACACGAAATAGCTCTGGCGATTCATTATGATCAAATGTTTGAACATGTTTAAGAATTGATTCTCAAAAATGATGGTTGCATCGATACTGAGTGATAAGATATAGTTTCTAATCTAAACTGAAGACAAATTTCTTACTCATATTTTAAAATAGATATTTGGTCATCGGGAACTTCAGAAGGTGTAATCGTGGATAATCTATATATGATATCTTCAAAATTGGGTCGCAGCTCTCTTTCATGTTCCCAACAAGCTTCCATAAGAGACCATAGTTGCTGATTACAAATATGTGGTCGTTTCAGTTTTTCATTATCTAACTTTACTTTAACAACTCGATCTTCATCAGCAATATATGAATATGGAATTTCACTATTTGATAAAGCTTCCCACATTAAAATACCCATTGAATAGACGTCAGATTTTTCGGTATAACTTGATTGATTATTGTTTCGAAGAATTTCCAATGCACAGTATCGTTTCGGTATAATAGACGGATTTCCAAATGGAGATGGCGTCTTAAGTGTCCGTGCAAGACCAAAATCAGTTATTTTAACTAAATTATTCTTTGGTTGGTTTTTATCTAATTTAAATACAAGAACATTTCGGCAACCCAAATCACCATGTACCATCGATTTACTAGCGATAAATTGCATTGCATTAGCAACTTGTGAGAACATTTCAATCAATACTATTTGTGATAAAGGAGTGTCATATAAAAAACTATGCAAATCATTGTTTTGCGCATATTCTTGTGCGTATATAATATAATTCGAATCATTATCAATAGAACCAAAAGTACGAATAATATGAGCGTGACCATTCAATTCCTGATAAAACAAGGCCTCACGTTTGCCGGCATCGCTAATCATTTCAACAATAGTACATCGCTCTTTTCTTTGTTTTATCCATTCACCAAACGAAATTACTTTGTCATTTTTGCCATAGATATGGCGAGTTTTACGAATATCAACACCAAATTGATATCTTTCTAATTCTAATTTCGATTGTATTGCCATCTTTTTATAAAATAAAGCTTTTAGCTACGATCAACAAAGGTCAATCTAAAAGAATAAAGATATCATCATATGCTACATCGATTGGAAGAGGCGCATTATTATTACGATCTAAATGACAAACAAGTAACTGTTTGGGAATTCGACGTGAAATGAATTTTAACCACATGCGTGGACGAATAGATTCGTTTATCATGCTACGATCAACTTTTCTACGTATTAGTCAACTAAAATTTCTGTGACAAAAGTTTCGGATGGTCACTAAAAATGATCTTCCCTGGATTTTGATGCTTGCTGAGTAAAACATAAGTCAATTATTCTTTCAGGCGCAGCACGTGACAAAAGTAAATATTTAACTTGCGATAAAAGTTTGTGTGTTTTCATTTTCAAAAGTAACAAGTAGGGATGTTAATTTACAGTTTATTAAATTTAAATTTAACTTCGCGAAAACTTTATTTTATTTTAAATTAAATTTTATCAAGTTAAATTTAAATTTTAAAATTAATAAATTGTTTGGATGAATACACAGCATTGCTATGAGAAAAATACGGAACTTTAACAGTAGTAAATACTAAATGAGAGGAGAACTTAGTATTTTAGGTTAATATTTGCTCATAATAGTCAAAATTTCTCTACAGATTATGCTGGATCCGTCATCTTTCTTCTTCAAAATACCGGGATACTCATAAAAATATATTTAATAGTACACTTCGTAAAAGAATGACTATATCTTTAACTTTCGAAAACAAGAAACATACTCACATTGGACTCTAAATAATAGCAATCAAGTCAAAAATTGTGTTTATCTACTAATTTTGAAAATTTAACTAATTTGAATTTTTGAAAGTTTACTTCTCGATTTAATAATTTTTTTAAAATTAAAATGTGGCGCCCCTAGTAACAAGTATCACAAAAGATTTTTCTGATTTTTTTTATCGGCAGATTTAAATAAAAATCTTCAAGTTATGCTCAGGGCTCGAGCCCGTCCGGCCGGACAAGACCGGTTTATAAATATCTTACCGGTTCCAGCCCTGGTTATGCTAATGACAATAATAAACATGTTTGGCTAGAATAAATTCATACTTCCTACTACTAAAATTTCTTGTGTATTTTCTTATTGTGACTCTTTTTCGTTTTCTCTTTTATTGTTGAAAAAGTAATTTGAAAAGAAAGAAAGGCAGAAAGAATGACTTTGCTGATTTTTTACCACTTGCATCGTGATGTTGGTGAGATTTATTCACAGTAACGATAGAGAAAAGTAAAGATATACACGTAATAATGACACGTCTGAAGGAAGTAAAGTGTGACTAGTTTTTACAAACTTGAGAACATTTCATGGTAACTTTTTCTCGACTTGGAATATTTTTAAAATATCTTCTCGTCTTTTATCCGTTAAGTGAATTAAAATCAGAACTCCGCGAAAGTGATATTTTAGCAATATTTCTCTCAAGAAAAAAACTGCTTCATGAAGAATGAATTCATTATGATTGATTTCTAAATCGGCACAAATAACACAACGAAATAGTCTATTTGAGTAGATTCAAATTATTTCCCTAATCACAATTTGTTTTACTGCCTTTTAAATAGTGTCAATATTCGATAATCTAAAACATTCTCATTTTATGATTGTATAGAGAAATTCTTGTAATCTCGAGTATGAATAGATTTCTTTAAGTTTTATAATTTACAACTTTTTCCTGCTGCATTTACAACTGTCTTGTGATAAATTCTGGGCTTGAGTGATGATGTGCGAAGATCTCGTGTGCCTTTATACTTTAGCAAATAGCATGTATGAACAAAAATTTTGCCAAAACACGCTAATCTACCAACAATACCCAACATTTTTGGTCGTTCGAAGATTAAGGTTCAATTTTTCTCAGTAAAGATTATCACGGATATTAAAAGGTAACAAAGAACGGTAAAATAAAAACTGAGATATAATCGAGCAAGTTAATATGAATGCCATCGAAATTCTAACAATTTCTCAATAAAATCAAACATATGTTTAACAATCCGACTAGCCAGATTGACTATTAGCGAGATCTGTTACATACACTGATGATAAGTTAAACTATTCGATAACAAACCAATAGTATAGAATGAAATGAACCAAGATTAAATAGATTCAGTTCATTTTACATTTAAAATTTTTCATATTTAACTCGTCAAAATTAATTATGTATGAAAATAATAGTAATCATGGTTATCCAGTAATGGTTGACACGCCAAAACAAGAACCTTTTATTGCTGAAGTAGAAAGAAAAAGTTTTCAATAGCTAATATCAAATTTTTTTGACATTTATAATTTTAGCATCCCCAATTACACAAACTTGACGAATATCTACGTCAAGGTTATTATATGTTAAACGATACTTGCCATGTTTGTAATGCGTGTAATCAACGATAATCTCTAGAAAACTTGGTATTATTTAATATTTTTATACATTAGTATGCCCTTCTTCGTACACCTGATCATCAAGTCGTTTGTGCCAATTGTAATGAAAACAATGTTCAATATGGTTAGTTTAGAATACTATAAGTCTACTATTTATCATATATGTCCAACTTGAAACTTGAATTTAATTGAAAATTGAAATTTTCAACTTTTAAATCAATAGCATTGTGAACAATAGTGACTCACACATATATCGCCATAAGGTGAAAGTTGAAATTTTCTATTTTCAACTGAATTCAAGTTTCAAGTTTGACACTACTGAAATTTCGATACGTTAAGAGAAGAAATTTCGGGATATCAAATGAGCAAAATTTGACATTGCAAGTTAGTTATTTTATGTTTCGCTGTAAATCTTGAAATCAGTTCGAATTCCAGAGCACAGAATATCACAAGACTAGGTAGAAATATGAGAAAGAATCTGTCTCGAAATTTCGAACAAATTTTGAGTTACATATTTGATATTGTAGAGAGAAAAACGCACGTTGATTTTACATTTTTGTTTTTGTGGTTAGTAGAAGCTCAACATCCAGGTCAAATTTATGAAATGTCTGATGCCGTTATTGAATTAACAGAAGCAATACAAGTACTGAAGAAACATGAAACGGAATGTGTGGAAAGTTAGAATACGAAAGAAAAATAATTTTCTAGTAGATTTTATTGTTACTTCATTGCCATTTATTTTGGGTTACATGAATTTCGGCCCACGGAATTTTCGGGCCGGACTTTCGGCCCGGTCCGAAATTCCGGAGATTTTTCGGGCCGGTCCGAAAGTCCGAAAGGAAATTCGGCCCGGCCCGAAAATTCTCCGGACTTTCGGACCAATTTTATACAAATTCATTAAACTCGGAGAAAAAACGAATTTTTTTGAGAATNCTACGTCGCTTCGCTCAGCACTACGACGCTTCGCTCGGCACTACGACGCTTCGCTCGACACTACGTCGCTTCGCTCAGTACTACGACGCTTCGCTCGGTACTAAAAGAATCCAGAAACCAATTCTCAAAAAAATTCGTTTTTTCTCCGAGTTTAATGAATTTGTATAAAATTGGTCCGAAAGTCCGGCCCGAAAATTCCTTGGGCCGAAATTCCGGTCTCCCTTTATTTTTTGTTGATGAAGTCTTATGAATTCCGTTGAAACAAAATATTCTACACATTGAAATCATGGTACACGTAAAAGATGTTGAAAGAAAATTGGAAGGACAGGATTTCATTCAATGGAGTATAAAATATGCGTAATACTTTTTGATTTCTTGGAAATATATTCTAATTTTATCAAGATTGTACAGTACAGTAAAGCATTCCGGCAACGATTTCTTGGTGAAATTTTATATATATAAATAAAAGAATTATCTTCAAAATCGATTGAACATGAATTTGGGCTATTCTTTGTTCTTGAATATATAAATCGATCATTATTTTCTATCAAATTCGATTAATGCAGCCACGAATGAAAGATCTTTTACAGTTGAAATCTGCCATTTTTCTGTTGCTGTGAATACCGTGAATGATAAGTTCTTTTCTATTCAATTGACATTTTTTCATCTGCAATTCACCCTGTCATTGTAAAATTTTAAAAAAATCATTTTCAATATTTTGATTGACGACGTGAAATTCTAGTTCAAGTGAAGTAAAAGCATTTTTTTTCAAATTGACTCATATTATTGATTTCAATAGGATTTTGTCTTGTTTCTACTGTGGGTGTAAATACGTATGAAACTTTTCCAATAGTGAATGATGCATGATGGATTATAGATATCTTCATCAAATATATTCGTTTATGTGGCTTTTATTTTTGTGAAGACCACGAGTGATGAGATTCAGCGATGAACAGAATAGTTTCAAGAACTAATTCAATTTCATTTCTTTTTTGTTAATTTTTCAGAGAAAATATCAGCCAACAATTATTGTGTTTTTATGGTTTCATTAAAATGAAGATGTGATATTCATACCAGGAAGTATTATATTCAACAGTGGAGAAACGAGACTGTTTGATTAAAAATAGGTCTTGGTATGTTTTAGTGAAGAAAGCTGGCAATTCTAAGAGGTTTTTCTTCATTGGTTACGATTCTGATGTTTAGGTGAACAAATTTAATAGAGAAAGAGCAACAAAAAAAAATACAACACCAATGAGAAAGTCAAACAACAAATATCTATCGAAGACAAAATGAATTAATGCGATTAGTATTCCGAAGGAATATGAATAGTATCAAGTTAGTTTACAATAGGGGTGTGGGTTTAGATATTTTCATATATTACGCCCACACCCACACTCAGAAATATTGATTCCATGTTCGACTGATTTCCATCGGCAGCAGCGTGTTATTCTTCGCTTGAGAGAAAATATTTAAACAATGGTGGAAAGCTTGTTTTTCTTTATTCTTTTCATTAGTAATTAAATTGATATTGGTGGGGCGATGAAATACCTTTTAGACACTGTAAGGCAATCATAAATTGGAAGCGAACTTCGCAGAAAAACATCGCTTTATAGAAAACAAAGCACGCATTTGTAATATAAATACCATGTTCTATTCACAAATGAATTAATTTAATTTTTTTCAGCATTCCTCTGTAGTGGTAGTAGAAATAAAATTTCTATTTGCTCTATACGAATAGAAGCAACCAGAAACAAGTGCGTCTGACAAATTCTCGTGATCTATCTTATTGAACTGGAAACTCAACATGATAACATTAGCACGTTTTGTTGCCTTGTTATACTATGTATTACATGTAGGCGATTGTGGAACATTACCAGCTGCACAACAAGCTGAACAAACACTCATAACATCATTGCTAAATGCATACAATAAAAATATAAGGCCAGAAGAACTAGTCTCTGTTTCTATCACCGCTGCGCTAAAACAAATTTTGACGTTAGATGAAAAGCAGCAAATCATGACATCAAGTTCATATATTTCACAAACATGGAACGATGATCGACTAAGTTGGACACCAAATTCTTCAAATAATATTGAGGTAGTTATGTTACCAGTTAAAAGCCTGTGGTTACCAGATACAATGATATTGAATTCAGGAGATACAAGTGGTTATCTCACAGTGAGTGATTATAGTTTGGCATCCGTTTTATACACCGGGAAAGTAAATGTAATATTGCCAACATTAGCCATAAAAACAAGATGCAATTTGTATGTTCGAAAGTTTCCGTTTGATCAACAACTATGTACCATTAATTTAACATCATGGAGTCAAGGAGCAAATAGAGTCATATATATAGAAAATAGTAGTGAAGTATTGGATCTTACAGAATATAGTGAACATCCGTTATGGAAATTAACTGGCACAGATGTGATCCTGATAGAAGCAGGAGATAGGGCACCCTTTGAATCTACATACAATGATGTCATATCGATACAACTATATTTAGAAAGAAAACCATTATATTTTATGATGAATGGTATATTTGCATGTTTGGTCTTAAATTGTGTAACGTTGTTATCCTACTATATACCTTTTGGAACGCAAATTGGCCTATGTAAGAATAATTGTTTTTCGTTAAATACTAGGCGAAGCCTTTACAGTAAATTTTGAATTTGGATTTTAGGTATGACATGTTTTATGACATATTCCGTTTATTCACTTAATTTCTCGAGTTTATTTCCACAACAGTCTGAGTATTTAATGATAATCACATTATATTTTTTGCTATCAATGAGTTGGACATTAATATCAATGACATGGTTTATCATATGTAATCATTTTCTAGCAAAAGCTGCAATGCCTGTGCCGCTAGTTATGTTTTCTGGACTATTGCAACGACTCTTTGCTTGTTGTCTGAAATTATTGGCTTCATGTACTGCAAGAATTAATAGAATTCACAACTTTGCGAAGAATCAGCAGGTTGCCATTGAAGATGCGGAGTCTACGAAAACAAAACCAAACGATACCAATTCTAATCAAACAGTAGTAAGTATGAACACAAATGACGTAAACGAGAAAACGAAGCTAAACTGCGACTGCTGCAATAGATGCCAATCATGTCAAACTGATTTCGATAAAGAGAAATTGAAAACGAAAAATAAGAAAGACATTGAAACTAGATGCAACACTTTAAATAATTTTGTCTTTTTTTGTATGCTCTTATCTATATTTGTTTCTAATTTGAGCGTATGGGTCTCAATGTCGAAATGATTGACTTCAACTTACTTTTTTGACTATCACGTTTTTGCTCACTATTCAAATAAAATAACAGTCGTACATCACTTAAGGCACAATAAAATATGATATAATCGCTTGTTATTGATTATTTGTTGCTTGCTTTGACAATATCTCACAACAGAACACGTTTGATAGCTTTCTACAAGCACCAGTTTTGAATTTTCAGTGTACTTCAATTGCATCACTATCCAATCTTATTAAGTAGTTTCGTTATGGTATGGATAAGAACAAGAAATTAGGAAAAACTTAAAACTCTGTTTTACGTCTTTTAGTTGTTTTTATTGTCATCTTCCGTTTTGATTTATTGCTTCTTCATTAAAATCGATTGCTGAACAACAGGAGTCTTCCGTGGTATCGTTCTGTTGGTGAATTGCGATGGGGTACCATTGAATGCAGGACCTACTTGAGGCTGTGGGTCAGGACCAAACTGTGGATCTAGGGAACAGAAGAGTGCACACCCCACTCCGTCATCCGATAAAGAAAATAATTTGCAGTTTCGATTTCGAAGAATAACGTTCGAAATCAAGCGTACAATTGGCGGCAATAAGTAAATATATTCAGTGTAGGTCTTCGACAGAAAATCTAATTGTGCAATTGAATAAAAGTAGGTGGATAGCATCAAACAAGAGACTGTGTAATGCGACCCTGAGTCAGGAAAAAGAGAATATCGTTCACTTCTTGATGAATAGTAAGAAGGCAATGGAATGCAAATAATTAATAGTCAATCAAACATATCAATTCTTTTTCAAAGCATGTAAACACTGTTCTGTTTTTCATCTACTTCGTCGTCTCATTTATATTGTTCAATGTACTTTCATGCTTTATTTACTTGCCAGTTAGTGTATCCTGGACAGATCTATTCAACTTTGTTCATGATTTTTCAATGAGTATATCATCTGAAAAGATCACATTTCATGTATTGTAGCTGCCATTTACGTCAGTCTTTACTTTAATATTATACGATTACATGGTTAAAATAGCGTTTGAAAATTCCTTTTTCTCCTTGACTGTTGATTTTATTTTATACGCAAGTAACTCGGTTGTTTTCAAGGTGTCTTTATATTTTCTGAGACACAACTTCCTGTAAATATCAATCTTAATCTTGTCAATAAACTGTCAAATAGCATTAGAGAAAGAAAACTTATGGTTTAAATCCTAATTAATCCCAAAACTCAACTGTCTTTTCGTTACGACTGTGTAAGAAATGATTGACAAAGTCCTACATCAAGCTTTTATAATCAAATTTTTATGATCTGTAAAAAAATCTCTCGATTTCAGAAGAACTACAATGTGAATCATATTTCGTATTTCTTTCTCATTCTGACACATTGAATTCATTTGTCATGCCATTTCTTATTACGTCGTTATGCAACCAAGGATGCAAATGTATTTTTTTCATCTTTTTTTCTGTTCTACTCCAAAGTGATTACTTCAAATAAACAAGAAAAACACGCTAACTCGAGTGATTCAGTGCTTGTCTTGAATTATAATGATTATTCTTAAGATTGGTATGCTATTATATGTCGTCAAGTTTTCACAGAAAACAACGGTTCGAGCAGTTTAATCCTTTCTTAGCATCTTACTGATGTTTTGTCTATTAAATTATTAGTTTCGATCTGGAGGAGATTTACTTCAACGGAAAAATACGATTTTAAGATGCTACTGCCTATTCTGCTAGTTAAGGGTACGATGTCGACTGAACCGTAGTATTTCTCGAAGAATTTAAAACTACTCGTGTAGTGAAATACATGAGCAAAATTAAGCAGAAGAGCGATGATTAACCGACAGGTTTTTGAGCGTTTTGACCGATATAAGATGTACTTCAAATAGTTCTCGTTTACTCCTTGAACCTAAAACATTCGGGACGAAATGACAAATGCTAGAGTTATTCTCATTGCTTCATGTAGGAAATCCGGTCTTCATAAGTAGAAATATGACAGTATATTTTTATCATGATATCTGTAAAAAATTTAGTTTTAAAGAAAATGTGGCTCGTGCAACATGCTAATAATTCAAAGAATAAGCTACACACTGTAACAAATTGGTTGAATCAAAAAGGAGGTTAAGCGACTGAAATTACAGCCATTTTCTCTGAATTTAAATCTTCTCGAACACATGCCAAATGATGTCGCAGGCAGAATGAAACAGAATTTTAAACAGTTGGTCAAGTCAGCACCGAATGAAAAGCTAACCAATCTGATGTCAATGTACTTGTTGTATAATTTTGAGATGAGAACATTTTATGTTCGATCTATTTTTTTAATAAAAACTGAAGCATGTGCGAACTGGAAAACCATGACTAACTGCTTGTTAGATACTTTTGATCGCTAACATATGCTGCGAGTTCGTGAGTTTTTTCCCTCTTATTCCATACTCATTGACTTAGTTTAGTATTGTCACAAACTAAGCGAACGAAACAGCAACCGTTAAACTATGTATAAAAGGCTAGGCATACTAACTTTTTTCCTCGATTAGCAGTTTTATAATGCACCCTACCATTTTATTAGGCTTTTGCATGTTGTTTGCTTTTACTACTTTCGAGCCAATAAGATCCAAAGCAAGTAATTATGTTACACTGAACGGATGTGTATGGTCTGATTGTAATAATATCATTCTTCCGGTTAATACTTATTCAAATGATTGTTCCAAACTAGAAGTTCCTCTCAATTACGCAAAACCGAACGACAAGAAGATTACTATTTCTATGGCACGTCTCAGTCCACCCAGTCAACAGACTACAATGAACAATACTCTTTTCATTCTGACCGGTGGTCCTGGTGGATCTGGTTTGAGTATGATTCCATATGTAGACTTTTTTCCCCATCTGCTTATGGTATGACTATAATACTGTCTGATCACCGTGGTGTTGGACTATCAACTCTCTTGAATTGTGATGATTATGGTTCACAAAATATAACTGATGATTGTATTTCCTATCTTACTTAGAAATGGGGTATCGAGGGTTTGAATCAATTTTCTATTACCACAACGGCACATGCCTTATCAGTTTAAATTCGTTTTTATCAATACATTGTTTCTGGCCGATTGTCCATCTACAGTCGTAGCTATGGAACAATACTACTCGTTCGTTTTCTCCAGATCTATCCAAATTTGGTTTGGGCATCTATTATGGACAGTGTTGTCCATGCACAACTTGTCTCTATGAGTCGTGCTTATCTTTGGGCATCGTTTATTACCAAACGATTTTTAGCTTATTGTCAATTTCAATTAGAATGCAATCAATATTTTCCAGCTGTTGAACCGCCTCCAATTATGGTATCCAGACTACTTAGAGAATTGGCTAGAAATAATCACCGTTGTGCCAATGAGTATTTTTCACGATATCATTTGACTGATAAAAAGCTTCGTAGTTTATTCCTCAACATGATAGCATCAAATGTATTGTTTTATGACGGCACTGTTATACCAGCCATCATATTTCGTTTGAATCCTTACAATCAAGAAGATGTAATAGTACTGAAATTTTTCTTCGAAACTACTCTTGGAACACCAGAAAGTACCAGCGAGAATAACCAAAATTCGTCACCACTTGTCGATTCTCTCGTGCTCCTCTTTAATATTGTTCAATCAGGGCTGTGCCTAGGTAAATATGAAGACGAAGTTGATGACGGGACTATTTTAGCTTGGGATACATCAACATTAATATCTGCAGACCACTAACTTTTGAACAGTGCAGACTAATAATTGATTCTATTCTTAATAAATGTCGCATTCAAAACCTAAATAAATTACAAGACTACCCCAAAGCACAACATCATTCATTTGTGCAAGCGATCATTGACCGTACAGCAATTTACCATAGTGTAAAAATTGCTTACATGTTTTACAGACGCGTAATTTCGATTTGAATTTTACACATACGCATCTGTTTCCCCACATAGATAGATGCACATCTTCTTCACGGACGTCTTCATCTCTCGTGTGAGATGTGAGCACTTCTCCTTTGTTAAAATGATAAACATGACGAGTTGCTATACAGGTTTGTTTTGTATTTCTTTGCGTTTTACAAGCACGTGGTTTTAGCTTCAGAGTTGCCTACAATAAAGCAACTCTGCAGGTAAACAAGCGCACAGAAAAATAACAGAAACAGATAAGAAAGAAAAACAGCGTATGCTTGAGTAACACAATTTAAACGTAAATAAAAAGAAAAAAAGATACAACATATCTATATTCAGTTTTACGCACAGTTCATTACCAAAACGTATCATTATCCGATGACGAGTAAAAAGGCACCAAGGATTATTTTGGGTTGTGCAACAATGGGTCCCCCAGGAACAAATATTGCGAGAATCACTACCGTCGAGAAAACCAAGGAAATGTTCAAAACTTTACAGTCATATGGGTACACTGAACTCGATACTGCTCGATTGTACAACGATGGCAAACAAGAAGCTTTTACAAGAGAGACAGGTGTACTTAATGAAGGATTCACCGTAGCCACAAAGGTGTATCCTATAGAAGCGGGTATGCATAAACCAGAGAAACTACGGCAGCTATTTGAAACTAGTCTTCGAGAACTGGGTCAAGATTCTGTCGAAATCTTTTATCTTCATGCGCCCGATCGAAGTGTTCCATACGAAGAAACTCTGGAGGAAATCAATAAACTGTACAACGAAGGAAAATTCAAAATATTCGGATTGAGTAATTATGCTGCTTGGGAAGTAGCACATATGGCACAAATCTGTATTTCGCATCAATGGGTCCGACCAAAAATCTATCAAGGTATGTACAATGCTCTGACACGTGCCTTAGAAGAGGAACTTGTGCCTTGCTGTCGATACTACGAGATTGCTATTGTTACCTACAATCCACTAGCTGGAGGTGTTCTCTCTGGAAAATACAAATCTTCGTCGGAAATTCCTGAAGAAGGTCGATTCTCAAATGCTAATGGAAATACATCAGGAAAATTATACCGTGACCGATACTTTAACGAAATTTATCTTGATGCCGTTAATCGTCTTTCACCTGTAGTAGAAAAATACGGTTTGACTCTTGCAGAGACGGCGTTTCGATGGTTAGTACATCACTCAAAACTACGTTCTTTCGATGGTGATGGAATCATTATTGGAGCGAGTAGTGTCGAACAGCTGAACTCTAATTTGAAAGACTTGCAAAAGGGACCTCTACCAGACGAGGTCCTTCAAGCATTAGATGAAGCATGGCATTGTACTCGAGCTGTTGCCAAGACATATTGGAGATAAATGAATCAAGTTCGTGTTTTTTTCCAATGGGCTTCATTTGGTTGTACTTTTTTTTTATGGAAATAAGAAAAAGAAATAAAAGGATAGAATTAAGGAAATGATTCAAATGAATATTTCGTGAACTATAATTAAATAAATTAGTATTAATTTTACTATGATGAACAATCATATGAAAAACGCTCCCGTTGTCTTCGGTTTTTACGACAACTTTATTTTAAGTGCCATTAACCGTCCTATTGCTGTAGACTTCGTTATTGCGAATAACAAAACGAAAATGTACATATTACTTTGAGATTCAAACTTAAAGAGTATTTTTTTTATGAGTCCAAAGTAATTCTTGCACTTTAAATCATCAAATAAGCATAATCTTATATCACTCATCTTTTGCTATAACAGTAAATATAACCCCAAATAGAATTCATGATTTTCCCGTGAATATTACACAGAATGATAACTACACGTTCCACGGTATAATAAAACCATTATTATATCATTCAGTTCTACGAAATTAGAATAAAATCTTTATGTTTTGTGAATATGTTACTTTAACAACTTGAATAGGAGAATTGTAATCTTCCGCAACTGACAGGCAATGACATAATAGGACCTCATGACAATGCCGATGCAACAAGAACTTCCACGTAATTATTATTATTTTTCATGAATCATGATTGCTTTTGCTAGGCGATCAATCTTTGAATAAGTTCGTTGTTAGTACGAATTTAAAGATAGAAAGCAAGTGTTTCTAAATTTAACATTCGATGTAGCTTTGTGAATTAATTTATTCGGCACAAGCAACTATTTTTCCTGAAAAGAAAATAACAATGATAAAATTTGACTGCTGAATAAAGATCACCTAAAATACTTTCATTCTAATTATGTAATCGATGTAAAATCGAAAATCATTCGTATCAACGTTTATGAGCCTATTAAGATTTTTTTTTGAAGATTACTATGTGAAAGAACGATTAATTTGACGATGACGATGATGATGATGATGCATATCCATACGGGCGCAACCAAGCGTAGTATACTTGTTTACGAAGTAACGATTGAATCATTATTTTTTCGTTTATTGTCATTTTTTAAATAACGATGGATACAAATACTCGATGGCATTTCAATCCATTCGATCAAAAACAACCGTTAAGACAAGAAGAAAATTCACAACAGAAGATTTCATCACGAAGTCAAAGTTTAAATGAACTACGAGAACAACGGCGTCAACCGGTTAGTATCATTTTGCTTGTGTTTTACAAAATTCAAGGTCTAAGTTTAGAATTCCTTCATTGGTCGACCACATTCAAGTCGTGTATGCAAAGATGTTCGATATCCGATCGTACACAAGCTTCGTATCGACGAACTCTTTGATTTTCGACATGAAGAAAGGCCAAATATTGATTTGCTTGTGCACCATCTGAAAAATGAAGGTTCTAATTATATTTTTATTTGCTGATATAACATTTCCCTTTATCAAGGTCGTCTTGCTGAACCAACTTGGCGTCATCTTCTTTCTCAAGCAAAGGCATATTTTCGTCAAGAACCTAATTTAATTCGTATTCCACGTGACTGTACTATTGTCGGAGATATTCACGGACAATTTTATGATCTCTTATCTATATTCGAGTTGGGTGGTCCGGTGGGCCAACAAACATACGTATTTCTTGGAGATTATGTTGATCGTGGTTCTTTCTCTTGTGAATGTCTTTTTCTTCTTCTAGCACTTAAAATATCGTATCCGCGATTATTCATTCTTTTGCGTGGCAACCATGAAGCACGTCAAATGACACAAGTTTTTACATACAAAAAAGAATGTCAAGTTAAATATTCTCTAGATCTATGGTACGAGTCCATGTCATTATTTGATTGTTTACCGATCTGTGCACTAATTGATGATCGATTTTTATGCATGCATGCTGGAATTTCACCCCATCTGAAATCTATTCAAGATATAGTAAGATTAAATCGTTTTCAAGAAATTCCATCTGAAGGTCCATTATGCGATTTGATGTGGTCTGATCCACATAGACCATTCAATGCTCGACAAACACCACCATGGATATTTAATAATGCTCGAAATTGTTCTTTCTTTTTCAACTATAAAGTATGTGAAAATTTTCTTATCGATAATCGTCTCTTAGCTATTATTCGTGCTCATGAAGTTGTACCCAATGGTCTACATATCTACGATCGTGGATCACTTTCAGACTTTCCCGTTTTGATTAGTCTTTTTTCAGCACCCAATTATTGTGATGTGTATAATAACACTGCAGCATTAATTGTCTACGATGGTCAACGAAATTTGCGTCCCGTTTATTTTCGTCATCGCCCGCACCCATTTGTTTTACCGAATCATGAAAATGCTTTCGAATTTGCTCATCGATTTATGACAAATTATGTACGAGAAATTATTTTAGTATTAATTCAAAGTTACACAAAACTAGTAGATCTTTCTCAAAATCAGAATTCACACGATGACGTAACGAAGCGTTTGAAAGTCAGAGAAAAGCTGTTGACTGAACATATACAAAAATGTCAAAAGGTGAATACCCTAAATATTCAACTAGGCAATTTGGCGCCACCAGAACAATTTCAAGAGAAAGCATTAGATAATAAGAATATTTTCGAAGAAGAAGTTCCTTTACTTAGCAAAGCGTTCGACAATGATCCAGAAGCGACATTTGATTCAGCATCAAAAATAGATGCTCTATATGAACAACGTGTGTGTTGATTTTCTTTTTTTCTATTTGCTTTTATAAATTAGTAAAATACAATAAATGACAACAAGAGCAAAGTAATCAGTGCGCATTAAAACGTCGAATAAAGTCGCTTGAGGGTGTGAGTATGCAGTGTTAGACATATGCTTGCGATTCCGCAGAAGATACCAAAATCATATTCACCACCCATACAGTCAATAGTGTAGCCAAGAAAAATATAGATGATTGCCGGTGCTTTTACTGTATGACTATACTTTTATTTACTTAGTCTGGCTTTTTTCCATCATTATTTCCATTGTCTAATGTAAACTACTGCTCTAGGAAAATCTATGGCTAAATTTGTTCATGATGAATGTTATGAATTATAAATCATTCATGTTTATTTCTTTTAATAATAATCAAAATGTAAAGTGTTAAATGGTTACAATAGTTAGGCACAGAAAAATGATCGGGGCTATCTCGTTATATAATATGTACGCTTTGAGGGTTGATGGTACAAAGCATAGAAAATAAACGCACGTACTGTTATTAGTTTGATCCCTTATGTATGTTATAGTAATGAGCGGCCTGCTGCCTTTGCATGCTGCTTATATATTGTTGTGAACTAATCATCGTCGTCGGCACGTATGTTCCTCGTTCGGTTGTATGACACATATAAGTATTATGATGTGATGATCGATAGTCTCGTTCTGATGGGTAGTTATACTGGAGATCTTGAATGAGTTGTTGACTGAATGGGTCTTGTGCAGATACACTAGCCTTGATCTTTTCTACTTGAGCTTTGAGAATAGCAAGTGATTGTCGGTAATCGCTCTCAGCCATAGCTCTTTCTAATGCATTGGCAGTTTCTACTCGGTTTCGTTGAAGATCGAGAGTGTGATTCACTTGAAGGAGATCAGCCGGTGAATTTGAATCTCGAACTAACTTAAATGGCACAGGATCTATTGTAACTGTGCGGCCAGTATTAGGATCCATGTAAGTAATTTTCACGGTACCTATTGAAGAAGAAGAAAAACCGGATTTATTTACTCGAATTCTTTCAATAAAATAATTTGAGATTATTGTCAAAAACAAAATACAAATTCTAGAAGTGTACGCTTACCGATAGTGTGACTTTCAGACAATTGTAATTCTTCTGTCGTTTGACTTAGTATCATTGGTTGTTGACTGAGGTTGTCCATATTTTGTTCATTACTATCCAATTTCGGCACATGAAGTTGAAAAATGAGATTTCGTTTTTCGTCACCATTTAGATCATGTAAATTAAAAGTAATCATATTCGACGGCAATTGCTCAGGTTCGTATTTATATCGCGAGTGAACATGAGTTACCGCATAGCCTTCACTCAATTCAATATTGACTCGAACTTGTTGAGCCATACATGTGAATAGACCACCTAAAGTGATCGCAAAGGCAGAACCTACAGCTTCTTCTTCATCCTATTTGAAAAGACGAAAAATCAATATAAATTCTGATAGTTCAACTTGTTTTTCCACACAAACAGTCGAACTTACAATATAAGTGAAGGTGCCTCCGTTTCCTTGTTCAGCCAATCGTACGAGTAATGCAGCTGTGTGGTCGGGGCCATAGCCGAATGTGTGACATTGAACACCTTCAGGTAATGTCTGCATAAGTTGTGTGTAGTCATGTGTTTGGTTATCTTGTCCATCGGTGAGCAATAGTAAAGCGCTCACAGGATTTTTCGTTTGTCGAGTTCTAAAGAGATTAATGCCCATTTCTAACCCTTGGCCGATATAAGTACCACCTGCATCGTGAATATCATTGTTGATTATATTCTTCAAGATATTTTGGCTGAGAAAAAAAAAGAAATTACCGTTCAACCTTGAATCTTAATCAATTCTGAACTTACTTTTGTTGGTTCATACGTTTAAGTCCGTGTGATCTGTCATAAGCGAGTGTATCGAACGAGACAATTGCTACTCGATCAAGTTCACTCATTTGTTCGACAATATAGACTAAAGTTTGTTTCAATAAAATCATTTTATCACCTGCCATAGAGCCACTCTGATCAACAACACAAATTAGATCAATGGGAACACGAGATACGCTTAGTGAACTATCATCAGCAGTTTTCAAACATGGAGGTGCTTGCACAGTTACTAAACCATAAATATTCGACACGTCATGAGGCGCACAAGCGTTATATTCAAGTGTGGTCGAAGCTGCGATCAATGGTAGACTATTTGATGAATTTGTCGATTCAACTGCAGCTTGCCGAGCAGAAGCAAGACGATCGGAAAGATCTCGTACAAGAGCTTCATCAACCAGATCCTCGACTGATGGAATATCCTAGAAGAAATGATGAAGCATGGATTTAAAAATATGAAATACACTCACCTGATTCACGGCAGTGGGTACTGGAAATGGGAATGGGAATGCTTGCTGTCGGACCGGTATTTGACGAGGGCCTGCTAATAGTTGTACAATAGATGCATCAAGTGTAGCTCGACACAAAGGACACTCGTTATTTTGTGCTTGAATACTCGAGGCTAGACATTGAAGATGAAACTGATGACTACAAGATAGGGTTAGCAATGCAGTGCCGGGTGCCAGAGCATTTAAACAAATAGTACAATCGTCTACGGTATTCAAAGTTGGTGGAAATGGAGTAGTAGCTGACATTATTTTTACGGTACTCTATCTCGTTATACTGCAAGAAAAGGAAAATAAAGAAAATAGAAGCAAAAAAAAACAGCGTGCCTGCTTTATATCTGACGAGAGCGCAGCGGTGTAATTGCATCACGTCGATGCGCTGTAAGTTGAGGGGCGAATGAAAACATACTGATGACAAATAACTGGAGAAAATATTTCTGTGGGTGTCTGGGCATTAGAGCAAAAAAAAATCGACAATCATCTATTCACCTACGTATTAATTCACAGCTCCACTTGGGAAGAAATTAGCGATTGAATGATGACTCGCAATTCTGATTCGTGGGAATTGTACGAAATATTAGTCATCATATGATAGTTATAGTTAGATCGGATATAATCATTGACTTCTTAGCTCAATATGATCAACTACTACCCGAATACGATGTTTCTGATAGACGAGCTGATGATCACTATGTTTACGACACAATACCTATTAGTTAGTAAAAGAGAGAAAACACGATGTTGGTAATGTTTTTCGTCTCCATTCATCATCGCCATCCAACCAACATATCAGCTGCATACAGACTTAATCTAATACTTGCATGAAATACTCGATTTTATTGCACAACATTGTCGAACCGATTGGTGGTTCTATTTGATACAAGTTGAGAATATGAGTGACATATCCATAAAGATTTATGATCGTATAAAGATGCATTGCTTAGATTAATCTTGTTTTGAAAAAACAATGAAAAACATCAAGTTTGTGATATGATTTAACCGCACAGTACAATTTTTTGCTCTATGCGTTGGATATCGTGCTAGTAATCGTATAAAATAAAAGAGTTCATTTCAAAATACAATTTCAAATGAAATCCACAATAAAGATAGACACCGCTAATAGATGAATAAACCTGGGTGTGAGTGTGGGTGTGGGTGGTGCAGAACTTCTATATATTCACCTCCTAATGTTCATATTTGATGCACTCTGCGTCATGTACTCAAATGAAACGGCGACATTTGGTTTTTCCAGAAGAAAATATTGGCTCTATCCAAGCAATCAAAAATATGTTATCCATATTTTAAAATGTCTTCAATTTTCTATCAAAACTGAGTAATCGAGTGGTTGATTCCCTTTTTTTATCAATCTCGTTAAAATTTTTCTCTCAAAGTAGCGTTCTCTGTTGTCGAAAAAAAGAATCAGGTGGCGTTACACTTTCTATACTGTGGTTAATTCTCTTTTTTTGTGTCATAAATGATTCATTGACATTTAAAATGTATGCATTCTGCAATCGTAGGAATTGACTTTTAAAGATGTTTGATTCTGTTTTCGTTTTGAAGCAATAATGATTTTATCGATATTTTTGTAATGGCCTCTCAATAGTACATTTAAAATTAAGTTTTTTTTTTCTAGCAGTCGATAATGTTCTTCTTTGAAATGCTGTTAATGAAATCCGTAGAGGCATCGAAAAGCGAGGATTAGACAAATATTTGATCGGTGACATAAATGCTCGTTTCAAGCGGAAAATGACGCTCAGGTAAAAAATGCTTCAAAACTAAACTTCTGATACGCACATCAAACAAGCGAACAGTAACGAAAATATACCGTTCCTCCAATAACGTCACACCACTGTAAAAATGAATTTGCAACGGAAACATGAAAAACCCAATGGGAAAAACAGTTTAGATAAATGAAATATGATGTTTTTCTATAGAGAATAATGCTTTAGTTTGCGATCGAGAGTGAGGATATATGTCTATTCGCGACTAGAAAAATGAATTCGCAGCGGGAAAATGAAAAATTGAATGGGAAAAATGCTTTCGATACAAAAGTACTCGATATAAATTTAGTATACACACGGTGACTTATACTTACATAGTTTGTCTTCTGTTATCGACAGAACGGGAAAAGAATTCATTTTTGACCTGAACGGCATTTTTCCGCTTGAAATGAACATTTATCTCACGAATCGATTTTTTGTCTATTGCTGAGAAATGATAACAATGCATTGGAATTAAATCCAGTTCAATTGAATAGTCTGATGTCGACAACAGGCATGAGCGAAGAAACTGTTCTTCAAATGTTCGGTTAGTCTATCCATGTTTTCTTCATTTTCTTTTAATTACTGTCATTACGTGGATGCATTGTGAGTATTCAAAAAATTTCTGAGTTATCATTGCCGCTTATGAAAAGCTGTTTTCAATCAGATTCCTTTTGCAATGATACGATGAGTTTATGTTGTGATTCTTCATAGAAGTCATCAATGCCGAAAAAGAGATTTACATAAGTTAACTCAGAGTCGCTGGTAAATCACTTTCAATTTTCTTATTCTACAAATATCTTGACTGGAGTGTGATCGATTTCTTTTCTTCTTGAATTTAACAGTCCTTTTTCTAATCAATAGATATCCAAAAGAAAATATCTACAGTCGAATGGATTAGCGAGCTAGCGTAATCAAAATGTAACGAATGACCTTTGAGCGTCGTTTATTGAACTACAAAGAATTTTTAATTAAAATTAAATTCTCAGCGATCTTTTATAGTTTTTTTTCTGCTTTAGATGAGCAATTGATTATTTATTAGAATTTACTATTTAGACGAAACACGAAACAAATTTCCTAGTGGATGATTGACAGAACCCAGGTCGAGCAATCATATTGTTAGATCTAATAAGATCTTGTGCCCGATTTTTCGACCTGGGAAGCACAATTTCTTGAAATGAACAACATTGAATCGTCAGACAGCAATCCTAAGAACAACAGTTTACTTCATCTCGTATTCAATATTCTCGATCAAGATCACTCAGGTGAGTACTATGATTCGTTGATTCATCCGTTCGTGAATACACATAGTTACTTAATTACTCTATAAGTCAAATCATACTAGCATACAATTTATGAATTGAAAAACTGATATGTCCTAAAGTTCATAGAATGGAATCATGATGAGAAGTCTGAATTCAGTGTTAACTCCTAGAAATCGATAGATTCATTTTGATAGTTGTCAATTTATATTTGTGACATTAGAAATAGTGCTGAGATTATTGTGTGCATTCAGAAGAATCATGAATAGTAAAATACTTAGGCGTTTTTTGTTGTTATATTGCTTTCATCGCGACCTGTAAATATATGATTGTTCAGTAGCGAAGAGTTACACGACACCAGGAAAGACTTTTATCTCCATTAGGATATCTTAGAGACTCGCATAGCTAAGTATGCCGTGGTGAAAATCAAAATAGCTGCCCTACTTTTAAATCATTTATTTCTATGATGAAAATACTCAATTTCAAACGAATTGTACAACTAGCTAAAAAATATTACTGTTCATTTAGACATAAATTTTATTCTTTTCATCTCAATCGTGATTGTATTTACTTTAGGAAAAATTGATATATATGAATAAATATTAGACCGTAGGATTACTTTGCAAACAGGAACCAGAAGCTTCAATGAAATGTCTTTTTCAATTGTGTGACTCTAATCGTGATGATTTTCTTACCAAAGATGAAATTGCTAACCTTCTGTAGATGTTTTTCTTGAAATTCTCCGGTGACAAGAGCGCAGATGAACGACAAGAAAATGAATCTCTGGTAAAGACTTGCATGAATTTTGTAAAAAAAGCGTTTGGTGACTAGACGCAAGTATCTGAGAAGGAATTTCGAAAACACTGCGCCGAAAACGAAGAACTTCAAGAAATGGCTCAGTCGATACATCCAGGTTTGGTCATGGCTTTGGCCTTTAGTACCGTTGGATTTTATTAGACAATGCTATAATCGACTATTTTTCTTTTCTAAAATACGACTTGCTGCGTCAATATTATTTTGAAATAAACTACTACACAGCAAAGCATTTATTATTCAGCTCAGAGATACTCAATAGCATTGCTATGTTTGATTTTTATCATTTAGAGATTCGATTGCCGAACTTACTATGCTATTTTCCTTTTAGAATGGATCTTTGATTTTGGTGATAATAAATTAAAATTCATCATATTTCTGTAAATGAATGTCATTCAAAATTGTTTTTGTTTTCGACTGCATATGTTAACTTCCTTAGTGTCAATAATGGGCACATCCTATTTTCTTCCAATCGGATTGATGGGCGTGGGCGCGTTGATTAAAATAACAACCACACCCACGCCTCAATATTAACATTCTTTCAGTAGAAGGTTCTCTGAAAGAAGCAGCTCGAATTCACTGCAGCTCTGTTTAATCCCATTCAATATTTAAATAAATGTGGAAACTTCGGATTTCATCCGAGAGTTATGTGTACTGCAAAAAGTGCATGCGACATATCAGTCATTCTAGAATGCCTGAACACGAAAATTATCATGAGAAGCTAGACAATTTGATTTCTGGATGGAGTTTTTGTGAATTTTGAGACGTTTTTCAGGCGATGTTTCGTTAGAAAGCTATGACTTAGTTCAAAACTAATATCAGATTTAGAATCAGCGTTAAAAACTGAGTCGATTTATATATGTTGTGAATAATTCTGAGAAAATTTTTTTTTTGAAAAATCCCTGTACTCCCCCTCAGGGATGGTCTGATCAAAAATGACAATTTTTTCGACAACTCAGCCATTTCTTGACGGATCCTTCTCATCTTCGAACTCGACCTAGATATTGATAAGACAATTCTGTGCACAAAATTTCAGCTCAATCGAATGTAATTGTGAAGAGTTATCGAATAAACGGACGGACGGACGGACGGACGGACACACTGACCGATTCTATAGTGTACTCTTTTTTTTTTGAGTGCACAAAAAGACATTTGTCAACACCCATTCTCGTTCAATGAATTTTAAGTTCAAATCAGAATTAATGAAATACGATACAAAAAAGCAACAATAAATTTCTTTTAATCTCTTCCTGTTTTTATTCACTGTAACTTATTGTCAACGCAAAATCTTTCTCTGTCTTGTTTCAACGCGGCATTTTTAATATTGATTCGTTGTTGCAAACATTCGAGTTTTACATCAGATAGCCAATCTGTTTCATCAGTTTCCATGAAATGTAATAAATCGTTTAGTTGATTTAATAATTCTTCGGCTTTCAACTCTTTGCTGCTAATGCTGATGCATTTCGGAAAATTTACACTGATCCATTCTTTGACGCTTTGCAATGTGTCATGGACACTGTCACGAATCTGCTTAACTGTAACAAATTTCATTAGCAGTGCGACAGTAACGACAATAGAACCCAAAAAGCGGTCTGTTTTCAAGAGGTATTGAACTATCTGTTGCACCGGTTCCAGTATTAATTTACATTCTGTTTTTGTAAAAATCATCATTTTTTTCCATTCGCCGTGAAGTATTCGTCGATTATTTTCATCAGTAACAGGTAGCTTCATCGCACGGGTGATCAATCGTTGCCCTTCATCCGTAAAGTCGATTTGTGCACGAAAAAAACTATCTTTGGCGTTACAACAAGCTTGAAGACATTGTTTCCTGTAGTCGTCGGTCAGTTTTGTTGAAGTTTTAATAGCCGTTTCAACTTGACAAAATATCGTGTTTGGCATTTGACTCAGCTCTTTCAAATCAGGATGCAATTGTTGTGCAGTTGTCATAATAATATTAAAAAACACTCTAAAAAAAAGAAAAAGTTGTCATATACTGAGCCATTCACGGTTTTAGCGAAGGTCCCGAACCTTGTAAGGGTTTGGGTTCGGGTACCATTGTTAGAAACGTTTTTCGGTTCTATCCGAGAAAAGTCTAAAATCCTTTCAAAAGTTACACTTTTTCGCTAAAACTTGAAAATGGTTCTGAAAATTATACTAAGAAAAGGTTCAGTATGAGACCTTTATATTCTAGAGAGCATATCAATAAAGATATATGGCGGGTGAAATCAATGTTATGTAGCGCTATCTTCTATGTGTGTTCCGTTCCCACGTGAAAAAGTTTAGAGGAGTAACTAGATTATAATCGATTCCTAATTGCTTAAAAACTGATTAAAGATATACGATTTTATTCTGATTATTCCTCTAATATTTTCACACGGGATTTCCTTATATCAACGCTGTGATATCATCATGTATATGCATTCCATCTACATCTACTGTCGTTGGACACATGGATATTTGCGACCTTTTCTACATTCTAAGAAAAACGTTTTTTTTACCGTGTAGTCTGTTCAGTTATTCGTTTTTTTTTCGTTCTGTGTAAATCTTTGGTATGCGTTCTTTCTACTTCTCTGTAGTGAGTTCGTGACTCTCTTCTAGCTTCCAGTAAACTCGGTTACTTGCTAAAATTCTGAATATATATACATGTATATATATATTATAGGCAACATTAGAATTCTACCCTTATGAATCCTTATAATTTAAATTTTGAATGGGCGAATTCTAAATTTGAGTAAATTCCAATTCTGTCCACAACATATAGATATACCCGCTGTTGATAACAATAAATTTTGCTATAGATACGTGATAAACTGAAACTTTTATCAGGCTAACAACTGGATAGTGGTTTGCAAACTCACAGCAGTCAAGACTGGAGTGTTCTTAATATATACTACATGAATTGATATACATGGAAAAAGCCTACAAAGAACTAATATATCGCATATCTGTCTTTATCGTAGATTTTTTTCGACGAATTTCTTTGTAAATGAAAGTTGGAATTTTAACGACTAAAAATGTGCGGGAAATATGACGAAATATATTTATGACGTTAGTTCCTATTTGTCTATCTGTTCGTACTCACCAATATCTCCTGTTTGGTTTAGTAAAGAATCTCAGGTAGATAAAACAAAGCACAAAAACCATTATGGATGCCCACTTTTGTATATGATATGATTTGCATGTTTTTTTCGACTGTTCCGTCTAGAAAAGATCAACTTGTTGGAAGATTCCATCTCGAGCTCTTCGACATTATTAATACTAGAGTTCTCAGATGTACATTGAAAATACTATAATTTTGTTTCACATGACACAGATAACAGGACATATAAATGTATGCTTTTGTTGCGGCAGATAGACAAAACACACATCGTATACATTTAATACTGTAAATTTGTTTTAATTTCTATTTTGTAGAAAATGCTCGATTGTCTAAATAATAGAAATTCAATTTAATTTCCTGAAGAAAATCGAAACTTTAATATTGGCAGCTTGTTTTCAAGAAAGTAGAAATTCATCTCCGAAACTGTATGTGCTTTGCTGGAAATTCGACCCCGAATTCGTACGGACTTTCCGAAAATAGCAGTGCACCAGAGCAAAGAGTAGGCGGGTGGTTTTCTTTAAGGTGTTGGTGTGCGGGTATGAGTGAACAACGAAAATCCACTCCCAACATATTCAATATGCCAACATCCACGCCCGGCAACTATATCCACAAGTATAACTCACACCCTATTTGTTTATTAAGACCATGATTTTGGCAATAAAAACAAGACGGAAATTCCAAGGCATAAATTTCTTGATGGGTGCATTCTTAATGCGTGGTTGTTACATGGTGATGTACAACAGCTAACTTGAAGTGATGTACCAGCAAATAATGAACCTGATTCAGTACATGATTGAACACATTCTTTTACTACATAACGTGTCGGTGCATAGGACATGTATACAGTCAATTTCTAACAATAATTTAAAAAATGACAAATTTGCAAAGACAAAATAATTATCAACGCTTTTCATGAAAACTACGTAAATATTCAAAGAATTGATCAGCAGTGTCCAAGAACTGAGAAATAGGAATTCCTAATCTGCCGAGAAATTGTTAGTGCCGCTGTGATAATTTCTAGAGCAAATAGGAATCAACCATTGGTTCCCTCACAGTTCCACCATTCACGAAAGTCGCGATATTACTCTTTTTTTAAATAGTTTGTGCGCGGAACTATTGATTCTCATAAATTTGTAGATGAAAATAAGTCTAAGAACAAAAATTATTGTGAATATTCCATATTTTTACTTTTAGTAGGCAATGAACTGTAGGGGAACTGAAGAGGGATTCCTAATTCTCAGTCCTTGGGCACTCCTCTTATCAATAGAGTCAACGCAATTTTATTACCAAAAATGATCAATACTCGTTGTTTCACATGCACAAAATATGATGTTTAATAAAAATAGAAAAGAATACAAATGAGAAAGTAAAAACGAAATAAAATAGTGTTTTCTATCATTAAAACATAATCGTGTCACACAATTGCTTTGTTCACTCCTCAAGTTCCATTAGTCTTGGCCAAAGCTGTTCGTATTGGTCACGAACACTGCTTGCTGGCACAATACGTAGATGCACACAAATCAATTCAAAACATAGTAATGATGCTTGATCAACAATAGAAGAATAATTGTCATAAGCCAATGCTCTGGAAAACAAAAAATAGGAAGAAAAAAACAAATTGAATTTTCATTCAAAAGAAAAAAATATTATCACTTGTAAAAATCATAATGTAAAATGCCAGGCGGTTCAGATGTAACAAAAGGTTTGTAGAGTCGCATTGATGCGCCCTTGAATAAAAATAAAACATTAGGTTAAACTAAATGATAGCCGTTACATATTTTTATCACAAATCTGAGCTACTAGCGTAGGAAATTTTAGATGAACTAATTGTGACCTTTGTTTTCATCACTACCATCAACTCAGTAAGGAGAAAGGTCTTTAAAAAAATCGGTAAACCCATTGACCTCATTTTTTTCCCAGTTAACTCTTATACGTTTATGAAAACGATTTTTCATTTGTTCTAATAAATAAAAATAATCGCATACATTACTCTCTTGTAAGCGTAATGTATAATTGTACGTAAAATGTTCATCGGTCATTGTATAAGATGTACAACCACGTTGAAGTGCCGAAAGACATTCTATTTCAAATTTCAGTATCTAAATAAAACACTCATTTGAATAAGAAAAATTTTCTCTTGAACAGCTGTCAAACTTTTTTTTCTAAAAATTGTTCCATTCCATGTAGATTGTTGCCTGACATGAAAGAATTCTGATTATCATCGGTATATAACGCTGGCGTACAAATATGACCCCGTAAACGATCAATCAATGCAAAATGCACAAGACCAGGAAAATCATTATTACAACTAAATTAACAAAATCAAAAAAAACGAAACCTAACATTAAACAATGGGTACATACAAACTCATCGTAATATTTCGTTGAGATTTAATTTCAATAAACGAAAACCAGTCTTCTAGTTGTATGGATAATTTATTTCGAAGACTTTCTGTCATCGGTGATGATTCAAATAAATGATTGTCGGCTCTTAATGAATTCGTTTTTTCATCGTTGTTATTCGGAATAACATATTCATTTGATTCGAAAAATAAATGATGAAATAAATCAATTGAAAAGTCACTCATATCTGTTAATTTTTTTAGAATTTGGCGACCTCTAGAGAAATTTTTTAAATAAAAAAATAAATGAATCCTAATTGTAATAATAAGTTACTTGTCATCATCTTCATTGATAACATCCTGTCCTTTTTTTAAAGATTTGTAAATCAATTTTGTTTCGTTTAATATATTTGACAATTTATTTGGTGATATATTTTTGCTGCTAAACTAAAATTGAAGAGAAACTATGAATTTCGTATTTGAATATAATAAAATTCTTACATATCGTCGGACTATTGAATTACTTTCTAAAGGTTTAACGAGAGTATTTAAACGCGTGTACGTAAATTGTAATTGACTTGTACATATTTCCAGCTGACGAATAAGTTCAGATAGATGTGAACAAGCTGAACTACTTTTCCACTAAGAATTAAAGAATGAAAAATTCAAGGTCGTCTGTTTGGAGTTCAGAGTTAAAGAAAAATAATCCTCCAAATCTCCAGTTAGAACTACTACGAACTCTCAGTCGGTCATTAATAATACGATTCTTAAAATATCGCGTTTTTTTTAACGCATCACCAGTTTTTAAATTATCATTATGCTAGACAAATATTTACTTCAACAAGAATAATTGTGGCAATATCATCTGTCAATGGTACTGTGTACATAGTAAATGGTGCGATATTTCGATTCGATGTTTTCATAAATACAACTTCAATACAACGATCGTCATTTGTTTTCATGGATTCTAATTGAGAAAATGTTGGCAATGAATTTGACTATGAGAAAACTTGAAATATTATCAAAAAGAAAACGAAAACTATTCCAATGGCATACGCGTCGATTTTGTGCAATACGAATATCTTCTGCTGAATTGGTAAGATTATGATGATTGTGATGAGTCTTTGTTTTATATATATGAGCTGTTTTATTTGTTGAATTATTTTGTTGTTCTTTAAATTGATGACGAAGTGGCCGACTGGTATTGTTAAGTATCAATAAGAACAGATCGCTATTACTCGGTCGGTTTTGATTGTTACTAGAAAAAGAAGTATTTTCTTTTTATTAAAATGTAACAATTTTCAAAAACAATGAATTATAACCTTGTATATATATAAACAATTTTATCTTTGCATGTAATGAGTACTACTGTTGGCGCAGTATGAAGCCAATGTTGAACATCATGATTAATAACTGTACAAGCTTCTAAACATTGTTGACGAATTAACGAGTTGATATGTAAATATTCGCAGCTCTAGTGAATTCCCGATAAAGAAAATAAAGAAGACTTCATACAAACTCTTACTTCAAAAATAAGTGCTTGATTTGTTGCTATGTTATTCAAATAATATTGAAGTGACGAAGCTATTCGATCGATTGATTTATCCATCGTTTTAGATTTCCTATTTACAGAAAAGAAATGTTTATTGAATCTATTCTTCATGTCTTAATCACGGCCTGCTCGCTTATGACTTTTCACACAATAAAAAATTTATTTTCTCTGTCTCCTAAAGAGACGATACCCAAGTGAACTTACGTAAATGGTAAAACACCAATATGAAATTTAGCCAATGCTTTGAATAAATTAATTGCTTTAAGTACAATAGTTGTATGAAATGAATCGTCAGCCATACATATTATTTTACTTTCTCCGATCTATACATCGGAAAAGAAAACAAAATAAAATCAAGCATTCAATAAAATGTGCGTCAATATAATATACTTGATCAAAAAATAATTCTATATTTGAACTAAGTGTGATGCGTCTAACTGCATTATTTCGATATGCGGTTTGCGAATGAAAGGTCGTTAGCATGGAAAAATGTTGTACAATAGCATCGTCAATTGAGAACTCAATATCTTGGTTTATCTTCAACGTAATGAAATTTTAATAGAACAATGATTACAGGCAATTATTCTTACTTCCACTTTTTCCGTTGGATTCTCATTAAATGTGTAACCTCGATCAATAAAACACTTGCGTAAATATGAAAATAAATCATCGGTTGCAAATCGATAGATTAAATCTGATTTCGATCCGAAAACAAATATACCAAATAAACAACGTGTGACCATATTTTCGTATTTTTGACAAAAAGATATAACTGATATAAGAAGATAAGCGTTGCTCGTTTATATATGACGTGCTTTATTTATCTTCAGAAAAAAAAACAAAAAGAGCACAAGACAAAAACAGAGAAACAACAGAATCATCATGTTATAGCATGATCAGCGACAGCACGTTTCTTTTTTCGATGATCTTCCCAACGAAGATGTATTTCAACTAATGCATAACCCAGCATACTTATAGATAAATAAACGAAAAGAAGAATAAGTGAAAGTCGCATGGTTATGTAACTAGAATACTAAAAACACAGAAAAAGAATAGTTTTCAGATTGTGAATAGAATCAAAACTTACACTATAGGTCATAACAAAGCCCACTGATTTCCATAGTCGATATTTTGCTAAAGCACTTGGATCAGTTTCCGAATAGAGAACTGTGTAAGTAGCTAAAACATAGAGACAGATGATATTTATATTATTTCATCTATTAGAAAAACAGAAATGTAGAAGTAGTAGTAGAAATTTCAACTATTTGAAATATTTCATAGTGAATAATCTTTAATAACTAATTAATTCTTTATTAGTGAACAACGAAGAAATAGTTTAGATACCGATAACTTGTGTTTGCCAAATAGCGTCTGCAATACCCCACAGTCCAGCAATGACAAATAGTAGAGCTATGTGACTTTGTTGTGGATTCCAAAGGAACATTAGAATAATAACTGCATAATTAATTACAGCAGCAACAACAAAAACAAATATTCGACCGGTATATTTAACGAGACGACCAAACACATAGCTACTTGTTGCTTGGCATATACCGTTGCACACCATAACAAGTCCAACATAGCTAACAACGGAAAAAAAACAGAAATCTTTCGGTTTTTCTTTAAAAAACAAATTACCGAATGCCAACAAGACAAGTGACAAAGCCCTAATGAGAGAGAAAAAAAAGCATTGCATTTAAAAGGAATAAAAGAGTTTAGTTACTCGAGTGAATTGTGCTGTTAAAAATGCAGTTTCAATTGTTGTCCACATTGTAAGTGGAATAAGAAAAAATTGATCAACATGTTTCCATTCTTTTAATGATAGAAGTACTTCGAGACTTTTCCTTAATAATTGTTTCATAGTTTCTAGAGAAAACTTTCATTTTGATGAATGATTACATTTTATCTTACGTTTTTGAGTTAATTGAATTGAATCAAGTGTGAAAAACAAAAGTAACATTGACAGGAGACCCATTCCAGCAAAGACTCCACACAGAATATAACGCTAAAATCATGCAAAACAATAGAATTATTCTTTTTATAACTTAATAGGAAAACTGATTTACAGTTGTATCATTGACATCTTGAGTAACATTTGTTTTTAGAGCCGATTGAGGATCAAAATGAACTCCACAATCATATATTTGTGGATTACTTGATTGAGCAAGTACAAAATATGATATTAAATTACCCCAAATTGTATTTGTACCGAAAAGTGCAAAAAATATACCAAAAAATAAGCTAACTGATATTTCATGAGTTTGTTTCTTATGTTGAGAATGATAACGCGCTATTTGGTTAAGATACGTAGCTTTGGCTGTCCACAATGGAGCAGCAGCGAGACCAACAAGAGTTGCACCTAGAAAACAAACGGTCGAATCAAACGTTTTTGAATTGCCTAACGTCAATCTTATTGATAACTGAATAGAGAGAATTTAAAAATTTGATTATTACTACATCCTTAAAAAAATCGTCTCTGATCCGTATGAGTTCTTTTTTGTCACCTAGCACCAACTTATAATTTTATTATGAGAAAGACATAAAGCTGTGCTTGCGAAGTTTTTCCTTTCAGAAATCTGCGTTATAAAACACTTGAAGATAATTACTGATATACATAAGTACTGGCAATGGCTTTATATTAGCTGCTATATAAAATATATAACCAATTTCAGCAAGTATAATAGTCCATTTAAGACCAAATAAATCCATGCAAACACCAATGAGAACGATCGAACTAAACTAGTTTAAAAAATTCAAATGATTTTTTATTGATTTTCCATTGAGTAAACTTACTATCAAAAATGAATAAGTTATAATAAGAGAATTAACACCCACATTATTTTTTACGTTTAAACTTGATTGAAGTGTAGCTATACCATTGTAGGCTGTAAATAGGAGAACAAAAGCTAAGGCAAGTATAAGTAAATTTTTATAGATTTTCGCAATTGAAAATTCTGGTATTGTATCATTTGTAGCAGAATCTTTATTTTCAGGTGATGATGTTTTAAGTGGATCAATGGACATAATGCCCACTTTAATGGCACCATTTGTTTGAGCTTCACTAGTGGCACTAGTATAAGACAATGTTCGCGGCATATTTGTCAAATCGTCTTGCTCATTTTCGACCATTCTGATTTTTTCTGTCGTTCTACTGACAAACGACAACGACAGTAGTAATTGTGTGACTGATAAGATTGAAGGAAAGAAAAGAAGTAACTGTAGATAACATTGTGTTGATCTGTGTGTCGTCGATAGAAGAAAAAAAATTTCTAAAACGAATATCTTGTGTTACAAGTGTGATCAATGTTTTTGTTCGTCTCATGATGTTTCTTTTACTACAGTATATGTATAGTTGGATTATCGCTGTGTATACATGACATATCATCACGGTACGTGATAGATGAGAATAATAGATTTTTTTTATGAAGATACTTTTTATCAGTATTTGAGTACTGAAAGGTTAGTATTTGAATGAAAGATTTTAATCTTTTATTTTTAAACCTGGTGAGATACCAGGGTTATCAGATCAAAATCAGAAAACGCTCAACAAGTTTTTAAAATGATTTCCTATTTTTTGCAGGCATGGATCCATGATATTCACCACCAGGATAGAAACGATGAATTTAGAATAGTCTTTGGGACTATTGCATGATGTTTCTTCAATTATTGGCCAATCGTCTATTAGAGAAATATTGGAAATCCAAATATTCTTTGTCAGGAGGTTAATAATGTGCACTTGTCATGATTCACCAAACTCGTAACAAGGAAAAATAAATTGAACAATTTCATGTGATAAATAAAGTCGATCTTTATCGATGGGTGTTAATTATCTTTCTAATTCAGATATTGGCAAAGTTTAGTATAATCTCAATGGTGTAAAAAAAGTCAAAAAACATCACAATTAATTCAGATGAAGTTTAAATATATTGTTAAGGCATATATTTGAGTGCAGTTATATATTGCTCGTCAGACATTAAACCTTGTGCCCATTTATGAGTAACTCGTAGAGCTGAGAGGCAATTTCGTTTTTATTATCCCATGAAGAAGGAAAAAATCTTGAGGGTGTGGGTGTGTTTGTCTATTCTCTTAATCTTTTACGCCTGCGCACACACCCCATTCCACACTCACACCTGCATCCAGGTTGATCAAAACGAACTCGTTTACTGGCTGTTTATCGACGGTAAACGATGCCAAAACTGTATATTTACGGCAGTAAATAGGCCGTATTTGCTCGTAATACCTGGCATAGTAATACGGCACCGTAAACGGGACTGAATTTTCATGGTTTACGACTGTTTGTGCTTCGTACTCTCATGATCATAGGGTCCGTATTACTGCGCGAGATATTACGGCAAACTTCCGCCAGGAAAATAGTCGTAAAGTAGCCGTAAACGACAGTATACGAGCCGTACTGTTAGACTTGGGTAGCGTTGTCAAAAGTAGATATTATTTTTGGTGACCAGGCAAAAAGAAAGTGACTGCTAGATTTCATTAAAAAATCACGGATTTAAACATGTTCAAATATGCTTGCATATCGAATCATAGAAAACAAACATATCAAAACCCGCCGACGAATCACTGATTCAGACGGCAATATTTTTATCACTTTTAAGTTGAGAAAAATAATTATTGATCTGAAAAAATGTGTATTTTCAAAAATGACCGTAAAAAAACAACATTTCAAATTATATTCATTCTCTTTTCAAGGCCAAACTACAGTAGTAAATGAATTAACATGTCTTGGTAGGCAGTGATAATTTTAGTACATAGATACATGTGCATCGTTTGCGTTTCAAACTATTGATGTTCATAGGCTAATGGCATTGATAATTTTACCAAGTCATATGTCGATTATACCTCATGATCATGAGGACCCTCTATATCAGTAAGTTCACGATCGAGCCTATACGTTTCACGTCGTTCACTAATTAATTGTTTACATCGCGAGTGTATGAGTTTGAATAGAGGCATAATCATAAGTTTGAGAAGAAGAAGAGGAAGCCCGAGTATTTCCATACAGAACAGTGTAAACATGAAATTCTTGAAGATCATTTCAGATTGTTTAACAATCGGTTTTTGATTGTGTTTGATGTAGTATGAACTCTGGCTAATAAGAATTGTCAGTGTTGTTTGAGTCAAATTTGATGATGAGATGTAATCCTCACGTGTGACAAACATCGCATTTTTATCTACAGTATATGTTGGATACCAGATTCCTGTAAAATTTGAATCTGGTCCACTCAGAGGCTCTGTTTTGTTTAAAGCCTAAAACAATATATTCGTTTATTGAATATTCAATGTAATATAGTTTCCTAGATGTCTTTTGATCAAAAGACTAGGCTAATGGACTTTTGTGTCATACACAGTCTATATTCTAGTTTTAGATTATAAATAGATGCGTGGAATAGGATGAAAAATGACATTGAAATGTTACTGTAAGCATGGTCCCAAAATTTATCTTTCACTTACCATTGTAAGCTGAAGAGAAACGGTAGCGCTTTGGGCAAGCGTTCTATCAGCATTGTAGAATGCCTGCTTAAATCCAAGCTCTTTCAATGTTGAACTGCCATTATCTTGTCCAGGACCACTCATACCAATCCCTATGCCCCCGATGGGTTTAAAATCATCAATGATAAACTGTATTGTGATAGCATCTTTCGATACCATGATGGCAGTTTTTACAATTGAATTATTTTGCGAGCATGAAATGAAATTGATTGGAACTAATAAACTATCGATTATCTGTTTAGGATATATTGAAGAGCACGTAATGGCCGTGTTGAGAAGATTGACGTTCAGAGTGAATTGTTGATTTTTAACAAGATCAAAGATTACTTGCTCGTCGTCAGATCTTGGAATAGCAAGTGATTGGAGTGATGTTTCAAAAACAGCATTTCTAATTGTAGGATCACATGCAAAGTCACTATTGCCGACCTGTTCAGATGGATACTGTGCAACAAAGTTTGTGCTGAAAGCGTATGCTTGGGCAACGAGTATAATTAAAGTGATTGTGGCCAAACCACCAATCCATATCTCGCCTTCTCTCTATGAAAAAAATAACACGTAAACATTCAAATATACAGCAATTGGTGTCGGTTAAGGCTAAGATGATACCTCGCACCCTACACTTACTATGAGATCAGTGCTTTGGAATATCGTTTTCACAACTTTGATGTAAAAAGAGCCGGACGAGTTTCGAAGAAAAATCTGAAGTATTATCAAAGTGGAACCTACAATCGCCAATAGAAATAAAGTTATGAGTGTCCAGAATATGGGTGATATAACAATGCAGCGAGTATACGGACGAAGTTGAAACACATTTGCTAGAAGAATATCATCAAAAGAGGTCACGTCGGGTGATGTCGGATGGGCATATGCTTGTGTTAACGTCTCTAATTCACTCTGTGCTACTTCAGCAACTGCACCCAGTGGACAGAATGCAGATGGATCACATTGTGTACAGTTAATACTACCAGCTGCACTTCGTGAACCAGACTGACAAAGAGAGCATGGGTGTATTCCACTGTTATTCTTCATTGTACCAGGAACGCAAGCCTGCTTTGTACTGATAGTAGGTATTGATACAGACTCTGGTGAATGGCTTGTATCAGTTGACGCATAGAAACCAGGCTGTGTTGATAGAATTAGGAGAGTCGCACCAATTACATCTAAGACTGCCAATGAATTTGAAATTGGCCGTATATTGAGAAACTGATTGCTGATAGTCGAAGGCAGAGGTTGTTGGTTGTTAGGTATGATGGCTGTTGGTGCCGAAGCAAGACCAATTGTCGATAGCTGTGTGTAAAGCCAAATCTGTGAAGATAACCAAAGGGAAAACGTGGAAGTATATCTATTAGCAAGGATAGCAGCTTGATCAGATGCCAACCAAGCTACACCCTTACCAAAACCAACGCTATTTCCATTATCTATTTGACTGGATAATGTCAGTATTGTACCGTTACCACTTATGACGAACTGAAAGACAGTATTGAGATAAGGAACTCCTACTAGTACACGTGTTGGATCAAAATTGTTGATATCAACGGACATACTGTATTTGACAGACCAATTGGCAGTTCCTGAAAAAGTCAGTTGACTTTGCCAACTACTATTGAGTGGTTCGTAGGTCCAATTAGAGTAAATTTGACTTAAATTGTTGTCTATCAGATAGACAATGACCTGTGCACGTATGCGGGATGAGGGTCCGTTGCTAACTAAGCCGGCTACAACAGTAAAATTGGTAGTAATGTCAGCTGCTCTTGGAGTAAACGACGTATCAGGCCAAAATGAAGTATTAGTAGTGATCCGTGAAGAGACGAATGGATTATATTTGAACACAGTATTTTCTGCTATCACAAGGGCAAATTGACCAGTTGGATGAACGACCATAACTAAAAAATTCGGTTCAGAAAGACTCATATAATCGATAAGGACTTGACTCGTTGTTAGACATGATTCGTTGTCATAACTATTGTAGAACGTAATAAAAGTGTTATTGTCAATATTTGAATCAGTTTGATATTGACTGGCGCCAATGATTTGACCGACAGCGTAAAAACTAATGTCATTTGCGTCCGAACCAACCCCTACCGAATAAACATAATGATCCTCATCTACGTACGCAATAAAGCATTGTTGCTCGTAAGTTACATTATTATAGGGTGCCAATACTATGAGAAATTCGTAGTTATTAGGCAGTGACTCAACTAAAAGAATATTATTGGCAGCTATTTTTAATCCATAAGCGTCATAGTCATTAATATCTGGATCGAAATATCCGGCGCCTATCAATGGACCAATCATTATAAGCAGAGAAAGAAAAAAGATGGCACGCATTTTGTTAAGTAAAACCAATAAATTGCTAATATAGTAAGCGTCACCTATGTGACACGGGAACTTTGCTATTGATATCTAAAATTTCAGCGGAATGGTAAATATAAAAACAAGAGTTGACCAAAATATTCAGCAATCTATTGGATTTTACTAGAGGTTATCTTCCTACTAATTAATTATAAAAAGTAGATAGTTACGTCCTTCCTTCTGAATTTTCCTTGCAGATTCGTTTCAGTTCACTTTCAATCTTGAAATCACCACAACACGTCAATAATATACTTAGAAAATCATATCTGCTACAACTGACAACTACTATTACGTAAAACGCGACATTTTAAATAAACGAAAGAATTGCAGTACACAATAAGAAAACGTTTTTAATCAAAAGATGCACGTCAAATAAAAAGGAAGAAAACAGAAATAAAGTCGTTGATCACAGGAAAACAATCTTCCGCAATTGGGAATTTATTTTATACATACTGTGGAATAAAAGATGTGCGACGGCGTGTGTTTATCACTCGAAAAGAACGAACACCAAAGAAAAGAAAATGAATCTCGGCTGGGAATCGAACCCAGGTAGTATCCACTCTGGTAACTAGCCAGAAGCGTTACCTAAGTAATCTATCGAGACTCAGTCTACATTCATCTTTCAATTCGATGTGAACATACATTTAATCTTTCGAGTGATATACGATTAGAGACTTCCTTATTTATACGGATATTAACTCTAAACGACCTCTTCTAACGAGGATTTGAATTGCTTGTCTTAGCGCCGTAAAATGTAAATCCTATATATATATGTATATATGTAAATGTATATATGACAGAACTTAATTTTATTCATACTTTGGAATAAAATATATGCGACGGCGTGTGTTTATCACTCGAAAGATTAAATGTATGTTCACATCGAATTGAAGATGAATGTAGACTGAGTCTCGATAGCTTAGCTAGGNGAATTTTAAGATGAATGTAGACTGAGTCTCGATAGATTACTTAGGTAACGCTTCTGGCTAGTTACCAGAGTGGATACTACCTGGGTTCGATTCCCAGCCGAGATTCATTTTCTTTTCTTTTGTGTTCGTTCTTTTCGAGCCGTCGCAAATCTTTTATTCCAAAGTATGAATAAAATTAAGTCCTGCCATATATATACATTTATTTTATGCAGCTTTTGATTTAGAGATTTGCTGCTAATTCAGATGTTGCGCTGTTTTCTTACGGCGAACCGACACTCAAAAATATCTGCTAAGCTCGCAACATTATTCATTGATAAATATTATAAGAGCAGTTCAATCTTACTACTAGTTTGTCGTTATCAGGCAATTCTGCCAGCTTGCATTCATTACTATAACAGTTCTAAGACTAGTAAAACTGTAGCCGCTTGGAATTGATTGTAAACCGAATTCGACTTTCAAACTTTGTAAGAAGCTGATGTTAAATAGAATTTTACATTCTCGAAAAAGCGGAACTCTAATGTTTACACAATATAATTTCTTTCTACTTCTCAGTAAGTAAACGTAGAAGAAAAGCTGGTAAAAATCTCAAGAGCACAAAAATAAATTTTGTGTCGTGAATAATGTTGATGTTAGTAGAATCGCATGGTTCACTCCGGCGACTATATGTAAACAGTCGCTGATTTTATGTTCGAGAAGAATAATTTTTGGTCAAAATCATTTAAGAATCAAGATTTACGGCTGTTCTTTAAGATGTCTTTGTAATTAAGAACTATGCTGTATTTTATCAGGAGTACATTGATGTCGCTATTATATCGAGCTTTTATTCGGCATTTTGGCATAATCTCGAGTGGAAGATTATAATTATGTGACGTGAAACTTTAGAATAAGGATTTATGCTATAGACTCTTTTGTCGCTCAATCTTCGTGAAACATCGTCGTTCAATGAATAAGTGAAAACATCTTACTATTAATTTTTACAAAAGTATATGACAATCGTATACCATCTATAATAATACTTTCATTTAAGATTTTTCATAAGTACCCTAGTCGAGCTTTTTTTTTACACGCGCATGCAATTCTTGAGGCAAGACAGGAGGCTTTTCGGTGAGCTCAAGTTCTTAAATTTCTTGCTCATGCACTTGAATTTGTATCTAAGCGTTTCTGTTATTAAAGAACTTTTTCAATTTTAAGTTCAAAATAACTCAACTTGTAATAAAAATGTATAGTTGCATTTTTTTTGTACCTCATGCAAACATTCAAACGCTTGTCTTGAGCAAGAAAGTCATGCACTATGGACACATCTTGAGCTCTAGTCTTGGCAAATGCACGAATAAAAAATTTCGAGTAGGGCAGCTATTCATAGAGCGAGTTTAAAAAAAAGAATCCATAAAACATTGAAAGCAAAGAACGAAAAAGTATTGTATTTTTTTCGTGCTTCATAAGTATTTTTTTTATTTATTTTTTTATTCTTCACGCATCCTATTAAAATTCATCAATGATTCGTCTTGCTTCTTTGCTAAGAAAACAATTCAATAATAATGATAAAAACGTCTGGTCATCGAATATCGAAATCACAAAAGTGTCAGTAACTGCTCCGTAGACCGCGAAAATCTAAATGAAATGTGTATCTAGGAAAAGTTCGAGCTACCATTTCGTTCGTATTGACGTTAGGGTGTGGGTGTGCCTCTTCTTTTAGCGCCAGCCCTCAGCTATTTTTCTTGGCCAATAGAAAACTTAAATGAATCGTTTTTATTATCAATATTCATTTAAAGCGTTTTTCTGAAACTAAAATTTTTAATAAAAATTCAGAACGATAAAAAAATGATTGATTATAATTAAAAAATAAAATCTTAAGTTTTAGCACTTTTAATTCGTAACATTCTAATAGAAGATGTTGCCGGCGGTGTTGTTGATGCGCCCAAATTAGATAAAAGTTCTTCTGTTAATGGTGTTATCTTTTCAATATGTACATTAGCTGTTTGAATTCGTCTAGTTGGTGTTGTTGAACAACAACGCAAACGTGAATTTGTAAAACGTTGTTTATCACGTTGATATGGCGCATTCGATGTCATCGGACGATTGCGCGTCAAAAGTGTCTGATAAGGCGTTATTGGCCGTGACGATCCTAATGTACGTGAAGGTGGCGGTGCAATCGATGCTGATACTAAACTATTTGCTCCATCATTTAGAACAACCTGTTCGAATTCTTCTTCAAGTTCATTTAAATTTGTTCGTAATGTTTCGACTTGTTGAAAAGCACCAATTTTAAGTGTACGTTCTTGTTCGAGTTTCTTCTTTGTCTGCAATAAATCTCGTTTAACATATGTTTGTGATAAACGCATAGCACGATTTTCACGTTCATATTCACTTGTTTTCTTTTCAAGTTCATGATCTTTCAATGCTAATTGATTACTTTGTTCTTGCATCCAACGTAAACGTGTTTCGATAATTTGCTTTTGATTGATTGCTTGACGTAAATCATCATCGCGTTCGAGATTAGCTTTGTTTTCGAATTTATTTTCTGTTTCAAAAATTTTCTTGTACTGATTTTCATTGGATATAATTCGTTTTCGTAAATAATTATTTGATTTTTTCAACGTTTGAATTTCTTCGACTTGTTGTGTTGTTTTATAAACATAACGTTTTTGATAACGACTTAATTCGTATTGTAATTGGCCGACAGTTTTTTCTAATTCAATTTGTTCTTTTTGCCATGTACGTTCATGTTGATACGTTTCACTCATGTGTTTATCTTCATTTCGATGAATTTCATCCTGTAAACTATGTATCAGTTTTGTTTGTTCTGTATGTTGCTGATCAATTATTGATTTTGCATCGGACGTTAATTTAGCACGTGCCATTTTATATATTTCTGTACGTATTTGTTGAATTATTGTTATCGTACTATTATATAATTGTTCACGATATTGTTCAAATCGTGAACGAAGTAATAAATTCGTATTTAACAATTGTTCATTTATGGATTGGAAGCGATCGCGAATTCTACGCAATTCTTTATCAAAACGAAGTTGTTTATCATTTTGTAATTGAGCATTTACTGTGCGTAGTTGTATCAGTTCATTGATTAAGTCAAAATAAGTTGATAGTGTTAGCAATTGTGATTCAACTTCAAGAGTAAATTGTTGATCTTGCACTTGAGAACGTAATGATTTAATTTCATTTTCGCGTAAACCAACTAACTGACGAGTATTGAAAAGAAGACTTTCATAATAGTAACTATAATTCGTATAATTATCACGTTCACGTTGCATTAAACGAGTGCCCAATTCTTTCAAACATAATTCTAAATCACTTCGACGAATACAATAAATATCCGATGTTCGAGACGTATTCAAACCAGTCGATGAGAGTATTGTCGTATCCTGATCTACTAATAAAAAATAAAATAGAAATTGACGACTATTCTTCAAGTAAAAGTCTTCTAATAGAAGCCACAGTTTTTTTTTAATCAACGTGTTTGAAGCGTTTTGCATCGGAATATTCTCAAAGTTTCTCTTTCGAAAATATAGCTAAATATCCTCGAATTCAATAAATCGTACGATATGAGCTTCGTTTGAATAAATAAATCAAACTCAACAATTTCCCAACTCCAGTAATCACGCTAAGAAGCGCAAATTCATTGTAGACAATCGCTTACCAGGTTCCTCCACCGCCAAAGTTGAATTGAGTGTTGCTTGTTCGTCTTTATATTCATAATTTGCCAATAGTTTTGCAAAATCATCTAATGTATGTGGTCGTAACACTGAGAAATTCTCTGTAAATAGCTGTTTTTTCCATAGATCAGTTGGAAGACTATTTTCTTCTCTCAATCGTTCAGATATAACTAATGTTCGTTCTCTTTTAAAACGTTTCAATGTATCACTCATCATAAATTTTCCTTCAAGCTCAACTAATATTCGCATTATTAATCCATGTTTACAATCATATTCAGTTACATGTGGTGCTAATTGTCCTGTAACTAGAGCAGCTGGAAAATCATTATAAAAACTACTATAGCCAACAGTTGTTGCCAGTTGTCTTAAAACGGGACTACGAATTTCATCTCGAAAACTAGCAAAAGCATCTTCAAATAATTTCAATGTGTCTATTTCCATTACATTCAATTTCACTGTACTCCAAGCATTTCGAACCATTTCAAGGCGAATACATTCGATAATATACAGTTCAAGATATAAGTATTTTGCAAGATGATCGCCCGTAGCTACCTAAATACATCAAAATAGATTTATTAGAAGGAAAGAATGATTGGATGGGGGGGGGGGAGCAATAGTTTCCTGCGTTGGTTTTAAAATCCGGATTACAATCGAGTGCTTAATTCAGAATACATCTTTTCTGTATGTATCAGTGACTAAAATTACGAAATTTCACTTCGACCGATATGAAAACTTTTAACAACTACTGTACTAGGATTCATTTGGCAAGCATTTTTCTATCATAATGTACCTCGTTTCGACGTAGGATAGTTCCCATTTGATTCATTGCTGTTCGTCGCGAAATAACCTCATCGATATTTTGCAACATAACGTGCATCGAAACCAATTCTGAATTAGCAAGCGTTAATTCTGATGATTTCAAGCCAATTAAAGATATATGTATCAAATCAATCAAATCATATTTAGGCCACCAAAGTCTTTTAGAATTCACATTATATTCATACTCATGTACTGTCCATGGATAAAGTCGTTTTGTTAAAGCTTGAGAAGTTAACAATGGATTAGGTAAAATTGTATAAATAGGTCGTAGCTTATGATAGTCACTTGTAAAGCGTTTTAAAATTGCTTTTGAACGTGAATGAACAAGATGAAATGCTGTTTGTTGTTTTCCAACAAGAAAACAATGTGGTATAAGACATGACATAGAATAATAGATTTGAAATATTGTCACACGTCTTTTTGTTTCTAATAGTTCTGCTATTTTCGACAATTCGACTGATGGTGACGAATCAATTTCACGTTGAATTTCATGCAATTCCGATGCTAATTCTCCACTTTGATCAAACGCGGTTAAATCACCAGCTCGGTCGTTAACTTAAAAAAGAAACACAAATTAAAATTCATATTGTCTTTTAAATATCGGAAAACTAAAATATTACATCGTTGTTCAGAATTGCTCGTTGCATTATTCAATTGCGCATAACCAATAACAATATGAATAAGATCGTTAAGCGATGAAACAATACGTACAACGTTTCTTAAACGCATTTCTAATTCTTCAACACTAAGTCTCGCATTTTTAAACATTGTTAATTGCTCAATAAACGATGGAATGTACCAGAGATTAACAAGATCAGTACCCATTTCGTTGAAAATCATTTTAGGTCGATGTTGATAACCATTTGTAGTTAACGCATTTGTTAGTAAAGGCGTTGAACTAGCTGAATCAAGTTGATCACCTGACGATGTTGTGGTTGTTGTTTTTGGTAAGGGCGGTGGTGTTGGTTTATGCCACATAAAATGTGTCCGACTTGTTAGAGGAAATTGGTTTATAAGATGTGTTAAACTTAAATATGATTGAACTGTTTGTAAGCGTAAAAGTATCATTGTATTACGTTGATGAACACGATCAATGAAAGCATGTAACACAGAGCGTTTTAGTTTTTCAAGTTCACGGGGTTGCTGATATTGCAATGGTTTTAGTTCGCGTTGACGAAGGAATTCATTTAGCATTCGATCACGACACGGAAGTTTTTCAAATTGAATCGAAACGAAATAATGATCACGAAACAGTTTCCGTTGAGCATTTTCATAGAGAACATTATTAAGGAGTGTATTCGGTTGGTCGGTTGATTTCGTAGCAGCTAGAAAAAATGTTAGTATAGGATTGAAGAGTCCTGCAATAATTAAATAGATTGAGAGAAAAGCGCGTGCGATTATCTTGTCGCACCTCCGTCTAAATCTGCCATTGAATTACTTCTTCGATAAAAATAAATATATTCTCTTAGCTGTTATCACTCGAGATATTTTCTCTTCTAAATCAATTTCCAAGATTTATAAAAAAGAAAATAACGCGCAAAATTACCCGAAATTTGTCGTTTTCCTGTTGGCGGAGTTTTTGCTTGTTCGAGTCCACTGTCCACTCGAATACTTTGCAATTGTTGTGTAATACATACGATAGCTAATCGATGTTGAAGAACAGCCGTGTATACAAGATGATTATGCATAAGTTGTAATCTTAATGCAACTTTTAAATTATTGATTGCATCTTCTCCATCGTTAATTAATGTTAACCATTGATCTTTTTGTCGAAAACTTATTCGTATAATAGAACCTTCATCCAGTTCTTGTGCAGCAAACAATAAATGCTGTTGTCCAGTTATTTTATCTAAACGGCCATCAGCTACATTACTTGATTCATTATCATATTCATTGTCTGTATTAGGCAGATTTCTTGGTTGTGCAAACTCCATTTGTACGTAACGTAGAAATAAATGTGAATGATCAATTGACATCACATCAAGTTGTTGTTTATAAATTGTTGTTAATATTTCATTTTCACATGCCGAACGTATTAAACGGTAACGTAATGTTAATAATTCAAGTAGAGTTGCCTGTAATTTCATATATTTTTCATATTGCTCTTTTTTTGTTGTTCGAGTTTCATCGACTTGTTTTAAAATTTCATACGCAAATTTGCCCATCATGGTAGGATGATCACCATAGAACGTATTGAATATATCACGTTGATGATTTGAAGAAAACATGCTACCAGGTAGATCGAGTTGTTTATAGGCTTGTAGAATTTCATCAAGATACTCAACTTCAAAGAGAAGTCGTTCAGTTAACGACAAAGGTGTTGACCGTTGTAATTGTTCATATTCAGTGAGTTCATTAAACGATTGTTTTAATATATGTGGCAAACGAGTTAATGACGAAAGCGATTCGAGAAATTCAAATAAATTATAACTACGAATTTTCGATACGCTCAAATAGATTGGCGGTGATGATTGGGAGCGTGCAGCAGAAAAATATGAACCATAATCGGTTGAATCAAGAATATTTTCCGTTATTTGACGCATTCCGGTGACATGTCGATCGATATATTCACGAATCAATGATAGATATTGTTCGAGTAAACGAATTTCTAATGTATAGGAATGATAAAAATAATCATCATTGCGAAAATCAATTCGAGGTCGACGAGCACTAATATCAATGATTATCTGAGCAATAAGATGTCGTTCATCATGATCAAATGTATGCTGGTAGATTTCATAAAAGCAATCAACTATTTTACGTTTATACTGTAAATAATTTAATTCATGTTCCCATAAATTATAAAGTATTTCAAAACGATCGATTTTTCTCATAAAATCACTATCTTTGAAGCTTTTCAATGAAGCTTTCTCAATAAAATATGAACCAATCGAAATCATTTCTTGTTCAAGTTCATTAACATCTTCAAATGCACAATCATATATAATATGTAAACCACTGGAATCTTGTACATGTACAATTGAGCCATCGTTTTCTACTGTTATTTCGTGCGCATAATCTTCATTATTCTCAACATGTTCACCTGATTGCATATAAGTTAATGTATCAAGTGTACATTCATGGGGCGTATCGAATAGATATGTATGCGGTACATGATTACTAAAACGTTGTTCAACGGAATGAAATTCTTTACCGGCCGACGTCATTGTTAACCGTTGTTCATAGATAGTTAATGTTCGTTGAATCGAACGAAGATAATTAAATTCATGTAAGCATCGATCACGAAGTGTACGGATACGAAGTAATCGAAGTGTTATATATGATAATTGTAAACCATAGGATTCCGATGCATCATTATTTTCTGCGTCACTATCACGATCTTGACCTGTTGTATCGTCGAGGCCAAGTTTTTGTAATGTTTCCAAATAATTAAATTCATCTCGTTTCATATGACGAGAAGAACGAGTAGATGGATCACGAAAATCAAAAGAATCTTAAGGAAAAACAATAGATAATAGCCTAATGTATTTTATAGAATTCTGTATAAGTCCTATCTCTGTATAGAAGATCAGTGTCATGAGAAATTTATGTGCATAATAAATAACCGAAATACTGTATTCTTATATATCTCCCTACTACTAACTTTTCTGATTTTAACAAAGAGTGTTCTATGAATTTCTACCTTGTAAATCATCGTTATCGCTATTGTCGTGTTCACGATCAGCTCCCTGGCTTGTTCCATCTGTTGAATTGACATCAAAAACATTTTTCCAAAAAATATCGGTCATAGCGGTTGCTTGTGTTGGATTTTTTGCTGATGTTTCTAACACTTGTTTTAATGCATTACTTTTTTTAACTTTAACAGCAAGTAAATATTGTTTGAGTATGCTAGCTGCTCTGTCAGCATTGCGAACATTTATAAATTGTATTATTCTCATTAATAATTCATCATTTTTTCCACCTTTAACATATCTCCAATAGTCACGCTCACGTTGAGGATCTCGTTCGGGTTTTATTTTAACAAAGTCAACCCACGCAGCTGCTTTTATCAATTGACAACTAGGCGATTGTCGTGCTTGAGCAATTACTTTCGGTTTTGCTGAATCATATAGAATAGTTGGCCGTCGTTTTTCCTGCTCTGAAAATATTGTTCGATAGTATCGAACTATATTTGCATAGAGTTCCATTTCATCTCCAGATGTACGAATTTTCGATGCATCTAATGGTAAAGAATAAAAACCTAAAAGTACATCAAGTCTTTCAAGTGTTTGTTTTTGATCGAGCTCAATAGATGGTATTTGATTGAAAGCTGCTGTTGTTTGAAAAGGTGATATTGGTGAATGAAGATTAATGGTGAGTGACTGAGTATCACCCGAAAGACGTGTACGAAATTTAAAGTGTGATATACGAATAAGGTGAGATAGTTGATCAAAATATCGTTGTCCACGATAATGAGAAACAAGATAACGTACATAAGCAACATAATCATCGCTGATAACAGGCTAAAAGTTTAAAAAAAAATCAATTTATATTTATGATTTTTAAAGACAAATTCTAGATTAAAATTAGTTCGGTTCAATCTTGAAATTCGCATGTTCTCAAAGTAAACTTCAAATGAATCGATGCATTTCGCTTTTGTTTACTATTCGTTTCAAAGTACTATTTATTCATTTCTAACCTGATGAATGGATTTAGATAAATATTAAAGTAGCTGAATTTTATTTTAAAAAAATTCGAATAAAGAAAAAAATAGTAACTCAGTGTTTTTGTTGTTATTTTGATAGATTAAACAACAGTTCTACGTTTTATGAATTTCCTCTATTTCGCTTTTTGTTTTTCATCGAGCTCAGAAGAATTCGAACGACATGAAAAATGATTCACAATACCTGATTTATGTTTTTCGAGGACGTAGCTGCTGGCCCTAACAAAGTTTCTCTAATTGAACTCAATCGTTGAGATCGCTGTAGAGCATCATTGAATTCTGCTAATATTCTTGCTGATCGCTCTTTAAATTGTTGTTCTACTTGTATGAATTGTATTTGTTGTCGACAGAAACGCTTCCATCGGACACTATGTAAAGTTTTGGCGTACGTTAAGGAAGTTAATCTTTTCAAATAAAATGCTTGTAACAATAATGGTACCGATTCCGATGTAAAATCACTAGATATTGACGTACACGTATCTAATTCACTTCTTAATTCATCACATAGAAAAAGAACGTCGGGCACTGTTCGAACATGTGCAAGACGTTCGAAATAAATACGACGTTCACGTGCTAAATGCGATGGATCCTTTGGTATCAGGTAAGAACTAAATGGTCGAGTGAACGTAAGATTATATCTTAAATCATTATCTTCAATTTCTGATTTAATTTCATTATATTCAAGTAAAATCTGTTGTTCGACTTTTTCGAGTTGTGCTCTTTCTTCAGTTTGAACCAAATGTGAATCGAGTTCATGTGTCCAAATCGGCATGTTTTTATCCTAAATACACAACAAACCTTGGAAGAGCTTTTTGAGAATATGTATGACGTTTTTGATTATAAGATTCTCCTTTCTGCTTCTCTTCTTTGTTCTGTTTTTTTTTTTGAGCTTTTTATTGTACTCGTGGTTTACTCGATGTTGCATTGGACAGTAACAAAAAAAAAAGAATTTCTTCTTTTTCTTCCGTTCTATTTTACTACAGCAATCAGCCTTTAAGATCTTTTTTGTGTATAATAAGAAAACAGAACAGTAGATTTGGGAAGAAAGAAAAAAATCGATGACGACGACATGCACACACAATCATCGTCTCTAGTAAACATTATTTAAGTTGTTTGAAAAATTCTAACAACTATAACTAGACAACGACAAAAGAGAAGAAAGATCGACATGGTAACGATACGCAAAAGAACAAAAAGAAACACACCGAGTTGCTGGAAAAACAGAGAACTTCTAAGATTACATAGTACTAATTAGGAAGATGTTGAAATCAAAATTTATTTTTCTCTGGCGTCTTGTATTACATTTGCCTTTTTTGTTCTTTGTTATTTTATGATTACGAATAGGGCATCGCTCAAGTTAAACTATTTATGCAGATTAACCAAAGAAAGACGAGAGGTAAATTCGAATTTGATCGTAAGCGAATAGTAAACAATAAAGTCGGATTAATTTCATTTATTAGTCGGATTTGGCCGGTCAATATCAATATGCTCGATCAAGAAAAGTAGTCCTAATGAATTCGATACACTTCAGTATAAGTACTACACTTGTGTTTGTTCAAACACTTGATGCAACCTATACGATATTTAATAATCGTAGTTAAGTAATCTAATAACAATTGTCGATAGTAACGATCAACTATATAGCATTGTGCTTTTTATTTATTATCGATAACGATAATAATATCGCCTCTCTCAAGGTTAAATTGGTTCACTTGAACTTTTACCACATACTATCATTATGCGTATTTCTAAAAATAGGTGTATGACCTCTCTCGCTCTCTATCGGAGTTTCCAATGATTTCTACCGACAAGATATTACGGATAATGTACTATATAGAAGGGGTCATGTCTTGAGATATTTTATGAACAGAAACTTACCGAAATAAATGAGATTGTATCTTGAGCGTAATACTACTTGAGATCAAATCAAGCCTTCATAATTATTTCCTTTTCATGTAATCAATAAAATATTCAAGTGTTGTTTGTTCAACGTACGAGTTATTTTAAAAAAATATTTTTTATGTTTGCTCAAGTATTGCACACGATCAAACATGGCGGCTATTCAAAGACACGATCTTTTTACAGAAACATTATATATTCATTGAACTCCAGAAAATCTTCACTAGTGATGACTATAGTCCGTTTGTCCATAGACAGATGATAACATAAGCGGTTCGTTTTCTTATATATTATTCTTTAGTTTTTCGTTTATATAAAATCCAATAGAACGTTTAAAATACGGAATAAATAAAAGTATACACATAGAGAAATATTGTAACAAATAAACAATTAAAAACCACTATAAAAAAAAAGTAGCATGATTTATCCTTTTTCGAATTGTATGCGTTCAAGCAATATGATTGGTTGAAAATATGTATCAGTTAAAATTAATTCACGTAATTGATCTGTATCAGCTGTTGTGTTCTTTTCATCGTTACAATCGTTTGCATCAAGAGGACAATAAAATGATGTTGCTAAAAGGAAAATCTTCTTCTTTTTCTTTTTCTATAAAAATCAATTACTTACAAAAACTCGCATTAACTTCGGCATTAGTTTGAGGCACTTCTTCTTGTATTGATTTATTTTGAATATCTTTCAATAAAGATTGTTGCTTATTGCATTGTAAAATTGGTGCAAAAAAGAGTTCATGAAATTGCTCTAAAGTCGTGCTTGCCGTTGAAGACGATGGAAGCGAAGGTGACAGTGGAGCTTGAATACTAATAAAATAATTTTTTTCTATACTATTTGTATCATTGAGATTAATTTTTTCTTTTTTTTTCTAAGAATCAAAACACGTCGGTTTTTTCGCTTTTATTTTCAATGATTTATAATTTCTTTCAAGTGTGTTTTTTTGTATCTATGGGAGATTTATCAACAGCTATCAGAGAAATATGATGTTTGAATAGATAAACATGTTTTGATTGTTCAACAAATAAAAAATTCTAGGCCTCTTCTCTTCATTCCTTAAGTACATCACATACGACTTGTTTCTCCTACAAAACGATTTTCACATTTTTTTCTTATTGAAGAAATAAAATACCTACTGATCAATTTGATGTTGTTCGTTATATGTCATTGGTTCTTGAAACTGAACGTCCGGAGAAAAGAATAAATCATCTTGACTACTAGAATCCTTTAAAAAAGAACAGTAAATGTTTTTGTTTTCAAAAACTATATTTAATAGATCCTTTACAGAAGGTGATAAAATCATTGATCGTCGCCCTCGATGACTTGGCGATGCCGAAGAACTTGATTGGCAATCATCGATTTTCGAATGCATCATATAAGTAACTTTTCGTGATGTTATTTGTTTAGTTAATAACTTTAAGTGACTATTACATGTATTTATATGCGATAAACCCGGTAGAATTGAACAAATAAAACAACAATCTTTTGTACACGATTGACTATTATCATCAGTTGATTTTTCAGAATCGCTCAGGAATGTTTTTCTAGTAGATTTTTTTCTACGGTTTTTATCTACTATTGATGGTGTAACTGTATTTGAATCTTTCCATAGATCTTCTTTTTTAGTTAACATTTTTTTCAGTTTTGATGAACGATTCATAACTTTATGGTAAATTTTCATTTTCTAAAAGTACAGTTACAGTGATGGATATTGAAATTGAATTGAACTACATGATTACACACGATAAAAGAGACTGGCGTATCCCTTTAACCATTAATACAACATATATATTCTCTTAGCACACAAATGCATTTCAAGTAAAAGGAAGGCTTAGTTACTTGGCAGCGTTATTCCATTGGCTATTAACATTTTCTTCATTATTCTCTTACTACTTGGTTCGTATCTTCATTGTTGTTTTTCTTTACATTAAAAAGTATGCCATTTTTTCTCACGCTTCGAGCCAAGTAGATAATACTTAACTAAGACTAATAAATATTGTTATCTCCATATTTCTTTTGAATTTACTACCGATCGATTTGTTGAAACATCTCGGTTCATAGTTAGTAGTAAATTAGGTCACGTAAAATGAAACAATGGACATGAATTTTTATGAATCATTGATGTTTTTTTCTTTTTTTTCTATTTATTCATTTTTATCTTCAGATAAGAAGGAAAGGTAGTAGAAAAGAAGTAACATCAAAATGAGTTCAAGAGGTGGAAGCGTATGTTACAAATGTAATCAAGTAAGTTAATTTGAAATTTACGAAAAATGAATTGTCTAAATAACTATTTTTTAAAATTTTAGCCGGGTCATTTTGCCCGTGAATGTCCAGATGGTGATAGCAACAGTGGTAAGAAAGTTATGAATATATTTAAAATTATTATTATTTTTTTTGATAAGGCGGTGGCCGTGGAGGAGGAGGATTCAGTGGTGGACGAGGTATGCTCATGGAACAATTTTTGTTGAAACTTTGGTATCCAATCAATAAATTTATTTTCTAGGTTCGTACGGTGGTGGAAGTTCATATCGAGGACGTGGTGGTGGCGGCGGCGGCGGTGGTTCATACGGTCAGTTACTGTCTTGTAAAAAGAAAAATATTAAATTTCGATTTAAAATTTCTAAGACAAAATCGATTTGATAATATTTATTCTATTTCGTTATTTTGTATTTTAGGTGGCCGAGGAGGGTTCGGTGGCGGTGGTGGTGGTGGCGGTGGCGGTTCATTTGAAAGATCATCTGGTGGCCGTTGGTAATACATAGCCATAGCATATTTGAAGGCAATTTTATAATTCTTTGATTTTTTAGTTACCGTTGCAATCAAACAGGACATTTTGCTCGTGATTGTCCATCAGATAGTACCCAAAGTGTTTGTTACAATTGCAATCAATCAGGTTTGTAGATTAAAAATGATTGTTAGACGAATAAAAATTTCCTTTTTTTAGGTCATATAAGCCGAGATTGTACGGAACCACGCGCAAATAGTTATAGCGGTGGTGGTGGTGGCGGCGGCGGTGGCTTCCGTGGTGGCCGTGGTATGTTATGAATAAATTTTATATTCTTAATATCTAGAATGCGGGTGTTTTGCTTTAAAGGTGGTGGCGGCGGTGGCGGTGGTAACTGCTATCGGTGCTCAAAACCAGGTCATTTTGCTCGCGATTGTACTGAACCAGATCAACGTGGTGGTTCAAATCAAGCTGATGATGATCATTAGATAACCAATAAAAACTGAAGTGATTTTTATGTGTGAACAGTCTATTTACCATCGAACAGTGTTCATACAAAATCAACATATTGATTTTACTCAGTTTTGTTCGTTTGTTTTTTCTGTTTTTGTTTTTTTTGTTGTTGATCTAACTAAGCATAAATTTGGTTGAAATATCAAAAAATAGCCAAAAAAATGCGAGAAGAAGGCATAAGGTATATAAAATATGGGCTTGTTTCGTATATATTTTCTTTAAGTTTTTCTTTGTTTTCCTCTTTACATGTATCTCGTATGTTTTGTGTTTACTTGTGTATTGATTACTATTGTTCTATGGACGATAGCTACTGATGTTCTTGTATGTACAACTGGTTGTTGCTACTAAGTAGTTGGAGAAAAGAAGAAACTGTTGGAACATGGCGATGAAAGCCATAAAAAGAATACGCTTTTTTCAAACAGACTTGACGAATTTTTGTTCAATTAGTAATTCGAAAGTTTTCATACTCAACAAAAATCATTTTATTCTGTTTTAAATACTAATCATTCGGTTAGTCTATTTCAGAAATTAAAAGCAAAAGATTACTGAAGAATAAAAAGTAGAATATCAGATTTCATTTTCCTTCAAATTTTAAATCCAACTTAAGCATCTAACTTTAATGTACGGTCTCAATATATTATGCGCATAGAATACCTGTGTTGCGAAGAGACTTTTATCGCCGAGAATACTTCTTCCTAATGAGCTATATATACATATAAATCATGCAGTCGCCTAGCCTTTGCATATTAATGACCATCAAGTAGATTCAGTCTATCGAATATAGTATTTAACATGTTTATTAATAAAATCATAGTTCGAATTACTGATGAGAGTAAATTTGTCATTTTCAAATGTTAGCCAAAGAGAAGAAATGTGAGATATTCTATCCAACCTACATGTTATAATAGAAAAAATTAATCTAAAATAAATAGTACCCATTTAAATCGATACGTATAAAGAAAATTGACAATCTTACCCTTTTCTATTATTAGGCCGTATGATTAAAAGTAAAGATGATTGATTCAATAACAAAAGAACAAATATTTTTTGAGATTCATAGCATTCATAATTGAAGCATTTTCCTTGCATAATGAGTTATTTTATTCTGCAAAAGTATGGCAAAATTACTCTATGAAGATTTTTATAACGGGCTTTTTAATAAGAATAGAATTAAAATAAAATATTTAGCATTCATTTTTGAAGATGCATTTGATTGCGTGACATGACAAAGCAGTGACATCGTTTTCTTTTTATTATGTGAAAAATAAATCGGAGAATTTCATCCCTGGCGTTCGCAGAATTAAAATTTAATACCGCAGAAGCACAAGATGAATTACTTAACTAAACCAATTGCGCATCAGACACATCTGATTCTACAAGTGACCATCATTCCTGAAGTGTTCTGTTGTTAAATTCAATCCGAAGCAGAGGTTTTCATATATGTGAACTGAGTTTTACGCTAGCCGTTATAATTCTATTTCTTCTTTTTTAGGAAAGAATTTTTCTTATACCATTCATAACGTCGTTGGACAATGATGCTTTGCAAAATGATCGAAACCAATCTTTAAACTGTTCGAAGTCTGCATAGGTTTCAAATATTTGTAATAAAAATGTTAAGTCATCTCTAACATTTGATAGCATTCGTTTACAATATAATGCCAAATGCCCTAAAATAATAATTAAGACTATTGATATCTTTGCTACACGAGGCCAAATGAATGCTTACAATCTAATATTTGAATTAAATTCTTGTAAAATATAAGACTAGTATCGTAGTTTACTTTATTGATCAAGTGGCAAACATCAGATTTGGTCAAATAAAGCAAAAGACATCGGAATTATCTTGTCGAATTGCTATAACAAATCATATATGTCCAACTTGAAACTTGAACTCAATTGAAAATTAAAATTTTCAATTTTCAACTTTTAAACCAATAGCATTCTGAAGAATAGTGACTCACACATATATCGCCATAAGTTGAAAGTTGAAAGTTGAAATTTTCTATTTTCAACTGAGTTCAAGTTTCAAGTTTGACACTACTGAGTAAACCGAACATATCGCGATTGTCATATTCTAATGCATAGTTTTTTAGAGAATGATAAGATTTCTTTCTGAAACCATGTGGACTATATCTACCGCATACAATATTTCAGAAAAGGAAAAATACTGTTAAGTGTGTCGGAAACATTATTTAATTGTTCAGATCGTCGGATTGATAAACAAGTGTTATTCAATTAAGTTCCGCTTTATAAGCCAATCGGGAACAGGAACAAGCCAGATGATCGGCGCTAGAAAGCAATAGCAGGACTATTTTGCTACTCAGATTGACTTTTATACATTTTTCATTTCAAAAAAATTCAAATCCAAAACTTTGCTTTTGTAGAAGCAAGAAAGTTGTATGAACTTACCACAAAGCAATATGGAAGTAAACAGGGACAACACTTATAATCCAAGAAGCTATGGATAAATTGATGATACCCGTTCGGATTCAGATGTGAGAAGAGACAATGGTCTTCTAGAGTTTTAAGTAAAATGTGAAGCATTTCTAAATAGGAAAAAGGAAAGCGGAGGGAGGTAGCGAGAATCTAAAGAAAGATCGTGTCGCCAAAAAACAAGAGGAATGTGATTACAATACATTCTTCATCTATTCAACATTTTTGAACATTCTCTTTTCCAAATTTTTATTTTTCTTCATTCATCAATTACAATGCTTTGTTTTGAACAAGAAAAACAAAAGAATTGCACTTGCCGTTCAATGTGAAACTAGATTTCGACTAATTAATATAAAAATAAGACAATGATTCAAAGAAATATAAGACTTCTTCACGAGATCAAAACATCGTTATTTTTCTTGTCGTTTATCAGTTTCTTGTTTGACCTTCAAGAAACTATGTCACGCAATATCTTTATACACATAATGCTATTGAGTTCAATTTAATGGACAAAAGACGCATTTTTTCAGATAATTTGCAAGTTGCATGCCAATATTTTATCCATGAATCGTCGAATTACAGTTTATTTTAGAACTTCTCCAACAAAAAAGCGAATGCGATACAGAGTAAAGTTTTCATTGCTGCCAAGTGGCTGATAAAAACAGCACGAGTTAAAACTTAAATCAGCTAATTTTGCTATTGTTATTTTTCTTGATGAACGCGTTGTGTTTGTTTAAAAAAAAGCTTCAGGAAAAAATGTATCAACCGCAAATGCCGGAAAAAAATAATATTTACTATTAACTAATGAAAATAAATTTGAATAATTAAGTGGAGCATCCCTGTTAACCATGAATTTTTACATTCCGTTAGCCAGTATATTTTATATAGTGATAAATAATTCGCCGTGTGCTTGACTAATTAACGAATCTAGTTGACGTAGATACGTTGTTTGTAATCCTTCCGTTTCAAATATTTCTATAAGGGATCAAAACAGTGCTAAATTTTCGCACGAGATACTATCGAAAAAACGATAGTGTTTATTTTTGAAGAAAAGGCCTGCTGCAACTTATTCCATAAGGTTCAGCTGACTTGAAACCGAGGGAATGCTTCCAATATGTGGCTCTTCATTATTGGCTATTACAAGATTACATGAGATTGAGATTTAATGAAATCAGTGATTTCTTCTGTTTTTGTTCTTGGATTTGTATGGTTGATAACTTGATTTAGCAACGGGTTTTTCCAGTAAACTTCCGTTATGATTAATAAACATCTATCTCCAATGCAAATAGTTTGACATGAAAAAAAACCGGTATGTGTTTATTGCCCAATTATAATCATTATTTATGCATAGCTTTCTTCTATGGATCTACGAGTTAAAACTTAGTTGTCATTTGTTGAATTTATGATGAGTGGAGAGTCCTTAGATATTCATAAACGGATGCATGTTGATTTTTTCACATGATTCAGTATTACGAGTGCACATCGTCGTGATCGTACACAGAGGAATACGATAATGCATCAAGGAAAATGAAGTAAAACGAGGCCTCTACACGAGTTTTATCAGCGTAAATCGCCGTATTGCATACAGAGATAAACGATCGTTACAGTGAACCATACCAGTCCTTGTGATTTTCCATCGATATTTCTGCATAAGCGAACATGTTTAGTTTGCCTGGCTTCGACTTAACAAAAAGAACAAAAAAGAGAAACTTTTCAAGTTCGCGTTATTTTTATTACATGTGCCAATGTAGCAAAACAAAAACGCAAAATTTCGTTTTGCTTTTTTGAAAGTTGCAAGTATTCTGTCGCTCGATGAAAATATTGAAGCTTTTTTTTCAATACTATGAGCGAGAATGTATTGAAACCTTGACAAACACAGCAACTTCCTTTATTTGAAAAATCAGACTTCATATATAGATTCTGTAATTTCATAAATCGCGTTTGCTACTGAATGGTAGCTCATGCCTGCAAAGGTTTCCTTGACTAAGTATGTCGAAGTATTTAGAAGAAGTCAATAAACATACGAGAAATAAAAAGTAATTATAGAGAAATGCACAATACACTGATTGAGTGTCTGTATCACTGTCAGATACAATAAGTCCTATAAACATTGCTGTTAGTTGCCAATCATGTAACAAAATGTATGTATCAAATATTCGTGAAGTATAACAATGTTATATCGAATCGATGTACTTCAATATAAAAATCTTATCAGTTACGATCGATAATGAAGTAATATCCATGGCGAAAAATTTTGAACCAGGCCATATCATAGTTATATGTCGAATTAAGAACTTGTCTAAACTATTTATTACTCAAATAAACAATCTTTGCGAACTAGGATTTTTTTTTATAAAATAAATAATGATTTCAATCCGACATTCACAGTATATTTGACACGTATGCCGCGAACGCATTTTTGTTGTTATCGTAATTTAACGTTAGCAACCAAAGAATTTATACCTAACCTGAAGCCTCATACTGATATTTATTAGTCATAGAAATGACATAAAAAAAAACTGGAGAGTGATTACAAAACGAAAGATATATTTGAAATTTGAAAAAAATTGCGCCCAGTTGGTCATATTCATCTTTGAAACATTAACATTGCTCCATTGAAAATAAATTAACATTGGCCATTCTAATGATGTCTTATGTAAACAACATATTTATGAATGTATTTTCACAATCATTATGTACGCATATATGTCATATTTACTTTAATTATTGTTTCGAGTCTCGTATAAACAAATATAAGATATGATTTTAAACGAAAAGACCCATTTCTACGCAAAAAAAGAAATATTCTGCTTATAAAATTCAGAATTATTATCGACGAAAGCGCTTCTCAGATCCATACACGGCTAAACTGTCAGATAAAAGTATATATCCATTTATGACTGATCAGTGAGCCATGTAACGATCAACGGAAGCATTTTATGAGACATAATCGGCAGTATGTACATGTATATATATATACACTATCTTGACCGACTGAGCATCGTCAAAAGCTGCTTTTTCGTGCCAGGAGACTACTGTTGCTTGCCGGGGCTGCAAACGCAATGGCAAAAATAAATAATTGCTTGTGACAAAGGCAACGACTCGTTTTCTCTCTTTCAGCTAAAGAGATATCTTTCTACTATTCTCGTGCTTACAAGCGCATATAGCACATGACCTTCAAGCTCCTTTCTTCTCTTTCGCTCTCCTTGGTTGTAATTGCATACGCATCTTGTTGCTTACGCGCGCATACTGAGGTGGTGACAAACATACGAAAAAAAAGTAACATCCACACACTCCAATAGCTATTCGTTAGTTTTCTTCTCTCTTTTTCTCTTGCCTTCTTTATATTTCTTCTTTTTTTTTTGAAAAAAAAACGAGAGAAGACAATAGTTTGTCGATACCCATGCACATAGTATGCGACGACAACCATCACTACTAGCAAATATTCAAGCATACATACACACAGATGGGGAAAAAAATGAAACTATTCTTAAGGCAAAACGCTCGCGCACATTAAGCATAAAGAAAACGTTTGCGTCACACGCTCTGGGCGTTTGTTCTCTTTTTTTTTCATTTTACGTTTGCACATTCGTGTATACGACTCATATTAATGCAATCATTTGTCTGTCTCTTTTCTTTTTTTTTCTACTTCTATGCTCACTATGTTTCTCTCATACTCACATGCTTCATGTGTAAATACGTCCCGATTTCGTTTTTTTTTGTCTTCTTTCTCTTTCTCACGTAGCGCAACAACGATGACGATACTCGAAATGAAAGCAACAAAATCTTGATCAAAAGAAGAAAGAACGTACGCACTTACATAAGAACATAAACAGCAGCAGACAGAACCTTCGAAGTTTCTGTGTTTTTTTCCTACTTTTTCTAATTCAAGGCCAACACACAGATAGATGACCTTCGACTATTGTTTTATCCGTTATAGCACATTCAACTAAGTAAATATCCAATATAAATACGGATTTATAATTTTATATTCTTTACAATGAAATGACTTTGTGATTTTATATACTCAGATCAAATATATTATATTACTCTAGAGTACTTACGATTAGATAGCTGATAATAGGCAACTAGATCAATAATCAAAATATCAGTCTGATTTTCTTTCTCGTCTCTTGCCTCAATCGTATCATCATATCGTTGCCAATAAGACCAGATCATATTCATATAGTTAGACATTCTTATGAAGAGATACAAAAGAAAGAGAAACAATCATCACCTTGTCACATCCAACATTTATTGATAATGATAGAAATAGTTGTATTGTGTGTGCAGCTCATTGCTGTCGATCAATTGTGTATGTCTATATAATATGATGCAACTAAAGAAATAGAGAGAGAGAAAGACTGTACAAAATGCAAATGTCATTTGCATTTCCATTAGCGAGTGCATGTAACAGCCTTGTTTCTTATTCATTTCAACAGCTGGCTGTACATATAGACACAATATATGTATTTTACGGGTACCACTGACGTACAAGCACGTCATCTTTTGTCATACCAAATGGCTACTTCTTGTTAGTTTATGATAAGACTGTGTCCATATTACGATAGAACTCTACATATCATCTTATCATTGTCAACTCGAAGAAGAGATCTGTTGATAGACACAGATACACATGAATAATATCTGTCATATATTTGTTGTTGAATGATAAAGAAGAAATACTTGGCTAATGAATACAAAAGTTAAGAGAAAGAGAGATGCTGGTAAACTCGATAAACAATTGAGTTTTTCAAAAAACAAAGAATCAATAATTTAGGAATACGCAATGTATATGCGCCTGAAAGAAGTTTGTTAAATGCTTGATAATTGTTTCATCACACCGTATTTTTTGCGCATATTTTCATTCTTATTGACACATTATGGACTCTGATAACTATCAAAGAGAGTTGTTATATCAACCACTGACGAGGGAACATTCCCAAGTGATTCGCACCATTTGGTCTCCTATTTTGCTCATAGGTAGGATCCAATGAGACTAGGTAAAGCCGACAAGATTTCGTGCACTTAGGCCTTTCCTTCGGATTTATGGCTGTTTTACTGAATTTTGAACCTTGGCCAAGGGATTTATAGAAAAGTTGAATAAAGGAATTATGAGCTGAAATCTTTTCTAACAATAAGTCTCATTGGTGTTAGAAAATTGCAAAAACTTTTAGTTAAAACTGATACTTTCTTTTCGAGATATTGCAGATTGAAGAAAACCGCCATGGTTCAAAAATTATCGTAAAATTGACTTTTCTTCAATCTGCAATATCTCGAAAAGAAGGTATCAGTTTTAACTAAAAATTTTTGCAATTTTCTAACACCAATGAGATCTATTGTTAGAAAAGATTTCAGCTCATAATTCCTTTATCCAACTTTTCTATAAATACCTTGACCAAGGTTCAAAATTCAGTAAAACGGTCATAAATTCGAAGGAAAGGCCTAAATGCACGAAATCTTGTCGGCTTTATCTAGTCTCATTGAATCCTACCTATGAGCAAAATATGAGACCAAATGGTGCGAATCACTTCTGGATGTTTTCTCGTGAGACGGATCTCTATCCTTTATAGACAACATATGCATTTTTTCCGTTGTCAACTATATTACCCTGCTTGATATTCATCTATCATACTTGTTCTATGTCCTATGCAATAAATGACTAGACTACTGTCTCAACAAATATTAATCATTCTGTTATATATGTTCTATTGATTTAATGTGTATATTTATATAATAGTTTCAGAGAAGAAAAAAAACGTTTATCAGACTAACTTTATTTTTACTACGTATAAAATTTGATAATCGTCAAAATAATTACATCTAGGCGAAGAAAAAATGTGAAGATCTTCCTTACATCACTACTGCTCATCTTAGAAATCGAGGGAAAAAACACTCAGGAAGTCTCAAGCATGGCAACATGTTGAGTTCGCAACATAACATAGTGCATAGAGTCAATAGAAACATTAATTATAAAATGACTAGCATACGAAAAGAACTGACGAAGGAAGTAAAATAAGCGTGTTAAAAAAATAATCTCAGGTTTGTTAGCATTATGATCAACTCTGTTTTTGTCATCGTACAATATAAATGCGCAATGCGCATTCTATTTTTCACAAATATATCTGTACTAGTTAATTTATTTGTTATGGTCTTATACAACGAAGGACGATTTATCATTGAATTTTCCAATTAAATTTTAAAATTCTGAACATTGTTTATCCACTATGAAATGTTGACTGATGCAACTCCATCATAGATAGGTTCATGATTGAACACAATCATAGTTGATCTAAACGAAGGTTTCTCCTTTAGTATATAATATCCTTTAAGTGGTTTATGATAACGAGCTTCTGAAATCAAGTAATAACTAGTTGATTAAATATTCACGACCCAGTTGTACTTGTGCGCAACAGATCAAATAATGAAACTATGACCTTAAATATTATCCTTATTCCGTGGGTCGTCTGTATAAATGTTTGTTTTTCTCTCATTGAAAGAAGATAACATTTTCATCTTCTGTTATTTTCCTTTTTTTCGTTCTACAAAGAAAATTCTTCTCCCAACATGTTTCCGCTGCCGACGAACATGTTCATTTCAATCGAATCGTATGACGTGGTTCGACAGTACGCATACGAGAAAAACAACAACATATGATTCGAATAATCTTTATTTGTTTTATACTATTTCCAATAGCAATCAATGGAAAACTTCGTTCGTGTCCTAGTACAGGTGCTTTTATTTGGGATACTGTGCCACGTGCACCTCTTGTAGTTTATGGTAAATCAATCGGCAAAGAAATCTATGTTGATACTGACACAGAGCTTTTATTTAATGTCACATTTCGTGTTGAATGCGTATTAAAAGGACAAGATATTAATAATCGGATTGAAATAACTGATGCAGGTATATTTAGATATTGATGATTTACACTTAATTATATTAATTAAATATCCTATTTTAGGTATTAAATCAGATCGTATTGCTTGTCAGTATCTTGATCCTGAAAAATTTTATGTTGTTTTTCTTGAAAGATGTGGATTAAATATGAGTGCTTATTGTCCCATTGATGTTCAAGAACGTTTGGCTGATGATACAACATTGGAGCTATTGAAGAGAACATGTCGTCTAAAACGAGATCCACCTTTATATTCTTCGTCAAACAATTGTCCAAATGTATCTATGCCGGAATTTTGTCATTGTAAGGTTTTATATTCATTCGGAACCTAATATTGTTGAAAAAATGTTTTCAGATAATGATGTTAGTACAAAAAGAAAAGTTTTTGATTACATAAATACAATTGACAAGCCATTATTTTATAATGAGACTCAAATTTTTCATGAACCAAATAAAATCATTATTAAAGAAGGAAAATTAATCGATTTAATTGGAGATAATCCACGTAACTTTGCTCGCTTATCAACATTAAATTCTTTGTGGGTGATCAATCTTGCTGTTAGCGTACTAATGTGTTTATCAAAGATTAATTGATGATAATTTAAAATTAAATTTCTCTTGTTTATAAATAAATATTTTTTGTCAGAGAAATTATTTTATTTTATTTGCATAGAACTTTTCGATTTACAGCTGTTTTATTACAATAGATAGTATTGATGATATACGATATCGATTTATGGAACGATAGATTTAATACCTGTTTAAATTTAACAAAACATAGCTTAGTAACATTCTGTGAACAAACGTTGATACATATTTTTTCGTTCATATCGAAATAATTAACGATTTTTCTAGCGTACTTTTCTGTTGTTATGAAAACAATATACTTGAACTAGTTGTATCTATTCATCCTGAGCAGATGAGTTCTTTGAAATAAAAGATTTTTTTATAATGAAAGACGAATACTCTTCTGTTTACTTTTTTGAGTTTATCTACTTTATTTTCATGAAAAAAAAAGGACGGTAAAATAATTAAAAGCTTCCCAATCGAATATTGCCTGGGACGCGATTATAAACACTGTTTGATCTTTACTTATAGAAAGAGAAACATTCGATTAAAAGCATGATTCCTAACAGTATCCTATAATTTGATGGCATTAGTGCACCTTGGGATGAGTAGACATTGGCCGACTGTTGCTTCGTGTTACTGCATAGAAAAAATTCTTTAACAGGTGGATTGGAGATGATTGCCCATTCTGATGACCAACTGAAAACACCACTGTCAAATCAGGAGAAATATACCATTCCATATGGCAATGGAAAAACCATGGACCTGAATTGTCAGTTTTAAAACGAAGTATAATATATCGTTTATGTGGCACAGTAAATGAATCATCAACAGATAGAATTGAAGTCGCTTGATCATAGGAAGGTAACACTTTATCGTATGTCAATGATTAAAATCTAGTTTATGGTATCTTTTTACTATTACAAACGCTAGTAACGAGTATATGCTACCACATACGTTATAACGACTATCTGATATATTCGTATTCTGCACATAGTCAGAGTTAGGTCGTCATAAAAAATTTTCCTGATGCGTGATAGTGACTCAAAGTGTTTTCTCTTAACTGGAGACCGCCTCTGAAAATATCTAAAACTAACGTGATAGTAATCAGCGGTAATCTTCGAAGTTTCATCTGACTCGACCGACAGTGGCAAGTCATGAGTGGCACCGACGAACGGCTAGCTGCTGTTATGCGAATTGGCTAGCTGTCTTTTTCTGTTAAATTGACTATAAGAAGAACGAGATGGTTGTTCTACTAGCCAAACGAGATTTATTTTTTTGAATACACCATAATTTTTAGGTATGAATAAATCAATAATATGAGTTGCGTGTCATGTAATTAGCGGGTTTTCAGCTTGCACAGAAGTACAACATACATTACAACATAAAGAGTTTGTACGTTTCGGCGGTTTTGTTGAAAAATCATCTGAGAGAAAATTTACAGCGTAGCTTAATCAATATATTTCGATTAGAGTGAAAGAAACTACACCGCTTGTCCCTACTTGAAGTTTTCAAATCAATAGAAGCATTGTTAAATACACAGTAGGTTGTTTATTTTCTCAAAATCGAAGTGTACAATAGTCTAATTCTCTCTCCAAGGGTTTGCCAGTGTGCCGGATTATTTTTTCGGAAATATAATGTCCTTTAAAACGTAGAAATTTGTCAATTGGCTCAAAATACTTCGACGAACAAGTTTACGGAAGGTTGCTGAATCGAACAAACCTTGGGTATGGCAATGTCTCAAAGAAATGGAGCGATATATGAGGAAAACTTTATCTTGAACCGAAATAGAGTAAATAACTAACTCACATATCATGGCTGTCATCTGCTGTTGACACAGTAATACGGACTGAACTGTTTCACCTTTATTTGGTGCCCTATGTTATGTACTGTAAACAGCTTGGTAGTCAGCATGTGTATATGCTGCGAAGATGATCACAAATATCTTTGATATCATTGAAAGGTGACCGGGGCATGATGGTGCAGTACATATAAATCTTATAGTGTGATCATTTGGCAGAGGAGTGATAAGAAGCTGCGGTTTGAGGAACAGGTAAAGAACAACAGACGCGTGTCTTTTGAACTTTGCTTTATTGTATTATAAACCAAAACAATAAGGTCTTGTCAGCCTGTAGAGCAGTGATTACTAACTACATTCTGTAGTTTTTCGCTCGATGCATGAACTTTCTTGCACAGTTCTAAACATGGAATGCAAGAAGCAATAACAAAGCATGACTACACTATAGACAAACTTCTAGAATAGTAAACCCTTTAAGGTTGGATGAAAAGTTTTACATTCGATAAAAACAGTTGATTATTGGTTGCACTTCATCAATCCCAAAGAGTTTAGTATTCTGCACTCTTTTTATGTAGTGTGGACTAGATATAGTCGATGGTTGAGCGAGATGCACCATCTAATTGCAAAGAGAACCCTAGACGAACATCTTTTCGTTTGCGCATCAGATGCTTGCGAATGAGGCGGAACAAATTTATGCGTTAAGGACGATGAAATCTTGAGACTTGCGGATACGGAAAAACAACGCATACAAAAAAGGGTAGTTTCGAATTCCAATTACTTTCTGGAGATTCTCGAACAAGAAAAACATGCGCTATGGGCAAATTTTCACGTGTGCATAGGTCAAACATATGAAACAAAACCGATCACCTAGGAAATGTACTGAATAATATAGAATAAATGAAGACGATTACAGAACGCACTGAGCGCTGTGCCACCAAAACAACAGTCTCAGACGGAATATTGTTTCTGAATTTTTGCTTAACTTTCCATAATCAATAATTCAATTGCAGTAAGAAATGCATTCTTAATGTGTTCTATCTTTTAATCTGACATTTACATTTTGCAGAGTAAATAAAATCTTCTATAACTGATACCAGCCGCATTTCAACATCTTTTGTCAAGACGAAGATAGCGAATGACTGTATGCCAACGTTCACATCGTAGAGTATCATACACAGATGCACATTTTCAAATATCTTCTGCTGTTCATGGTTCACTATTTTGAAAGCAACGTGCGTCGGCATGCAAGTATATGCGATGAGAGAAAATGAAACATGAGAAAAGCATGATATACTTGAATCAATTATAAGTGAAAATGATAGCCGATTCCATAAACATGACAGATCCGATCAGCATTGCTTCTAATAATTAATTCTGTAAAAGCATAAAATCTGTTCATTTTTCATTAAACTGTTGCTTTAATGTTAGCGAACCAATAAGATGTTCCTTGACTATACTATATATGACATGATATTTTCTTTATTTTTTTTCTGTTCTATCATCCATGGTTTTTTTCCTCATTTACTCTTTCATTATTACTTTTTCTTTATCCTTTAATCTATTGGTTTAAACTTTGGTTCTTACCAAGATCGAATCAGTCGCGATATTATCATTGTTTTTCTCATCAACTGTATCATACTACGCATGTACGAATAAACTAAGAAGGGGTTATCCTCTCCGTATATTAATCGTTAACATTTTCTTTAATAAAGAAGGATAAAGCTTTTCAAATAAAGAAAAGATCATATCATATATATATATATATATATAGCGGCGAATACACATTTTATTTGTTCATTAACATTTAATTAATTTTTTCTCTTAGTTTAAATCCAGATGTTTTGAAAACGCGCTATCTACATCATATAGCAAGCAACCCTTTTGTACCAACATGAGTCATACACTTGTACTCTCTATGCTATATTTTGACACACATTCTCTGTGTTCTGACAATTTTTAATTATATTTACGATGCGAAATTCTGCAAGCTGAGAGCAACAATATCACGAAAAACAAAGATATAATGCGTCCTAGATTTCTATCACAATGTATTAAAGAGAACATAAATAAGGAACAATGAGAATTAGTGACGATGAAGACATGAAACCAGATGCAGCTTTTAGATTCTTATGCCAAATATTCTTCCATGATAACTGTATCTTTCACAGTTTGAATCAGCAGTTAAAAAGAGATCGAATCTAAAGCAAACTTTGCACTTACCTCCATCTTCCTACTCTTGACGCAAAAATGCACTAAAAAGCGAATAACTCTTATTCGATTCACCTGAAGCAATTCTCAAATGTGCAAACAACTAAATGTCTTGTACACGACTTTCTCATCAAACGTTACAATTTCATAATCGAAGTTACACTATGTTACCTACGATCTGACAAGAAATTGATAAAACACACACAACTGAACAACTGATATACGACTTGGAGATCACAATTCTAAATTTTACAATCACAGCGTATATCTATGATCTGCTGAGAATTTGAAATTATAGGTCGACCTATCCACGTAACGGTCCATCTATGTAGGCAAAGTTGAACTTCAAAGTTGAGTAAAATAAATATAACCATCTTGTAGAGCATTGCCGATAGTACACAGAAGTGTATTTTTTATCTCAGTACCCCGTCGAAGAAAACGATCAGTAAACGATCGTATACGATACAAATACAGCCCGTTTTACGTGTCGTATTTTCCCCATATAACAGGGGCAGTAATACGGCCGTATGTTCTATAGAATACGATAATGTTACGCCGGTTTACGGTGGTCCGTTTTGATCGACCTGGGTAGTTGTATATATTTTAGGAAAAAAATATTATTAAACAAGTATCACTCTGTATCGATGAATACATATATTTATCAAGAGTTTTTATTTTGTGTTTTTTCATGAAGACAGATATGGTATTTTTCAAAGTCGATCACATCGTTCAGAACTATGTTAAGTTGGCTCTTTAGCTATAAGAAGAGATCCAGATATTTGTTGTTCCCAAAGAAAAATATTTATACTTTAAAAGTAGTCCATTTTTGATTGTGATTCCGTAAGGAAAATATGGTATAACTCATTCTTAGCCGAAAGCAAGATATTTATGATTCTAAAGCTGCGCGCTCTAACGCTGATTTTTTTCGCTCTACTCACAGAACTAGTTGACTTTTGATAAAAATTCCTGGTTCGTTACAGAGAGCGTGATGGAATCACTTCTGGGTTGATCAAGTACGTTTCCCTAAAAATAATAGGAACATTGTTTTTCTCTTATATTGCATCTTAGCTATATTTCTTATATAGGTAATGGGGTTTTAGAGCCTTACTGCTTAATTCCGAAGTTGATTTCTGACAATTTGAAGTTATTTTTATTACCGCAATTGAAGATGCCATTTTATGGGTGATATCTGATATGTATCGTATACTTTTGGAGTATAGTTTTCACTTTATCCGAATGATCAACGTAATATTACTTTTCTTCACCACTTTTTCAAGAGTACTTAGAGATGCACGAGGCAACATTATTTTTGACCCCGATCCCGACCGAAGTCCCGGCAATCTTATTGTGGTTCTGGTCTCTGTTCTGGTGTAATTTCATTTTTTATTCCGTTCATGTGATTCTAACTAATCTGCAGTCTGTGCCTATTTAGAGAAACATGTTGCCGCATTGTTTTCTCACATTTTTAATGTGTCTTCAATAGTCATTTTTTTTATTTCTTTACTACAACTGTAACTTAGGTCTACTTTACTGTACTTCTCCCTTGCTTCATCTAGACTCCAGAGTACGAAACTCTTACTTTCTTACTCTTGGTGGGACCACTTTTGCTTTTGTCAGGGTCTCAGCCATTGTATACTTATGCTTTTGGGGCTCTGACCTCGGTAGAGTTAATTTTTCGGTCCTAGTCTCGATCCCAGTACCGATGATCGAACTCTGCACTCATTTTGTAGATATCTATGAGTAATACAAAATTTGTTGATTTTCGGGAATTATAGATAAATTTCTGAAGAAATAGGCACTCAAAAAACATGAACATCTTAAAAAAAGTGATTCCGCCAAGAAAATGGTGATTCCGTTACGACGCTTTTTCACTGTTCAAAGACATACTTTTACATATTTTAAATTTTCTTTTTTTCTACTGATAGAATGATATCTCCACTATAACTTTCCTATTGAAAGTTTTTTCTTCGCAGTTTTCATTGAGCTAAATTTTTCACTACTTCACTTAGGGCTCAATGTCGAAGACCATTTTTGGTGATTCCATAACGGATCTATATTTCAATCATAAAATTCTCACGGAAGTTTCGAACCCTACGAAACTTTCAGAGTATGTAGAGCAATGAAACTTGAATATATTCTGAAAATTTCAGCATCATCCAATTTCATTAAGTTCAGACATTCAAAATATAAAATGAAAAAACGTGATTCCATCACGCTTGGACAGGTCGAGATAGGAAGTAAATGTCTAATATATGTTGAAAGTTTGAAATTTACGTAGAAACTCAATATCTGATATCTGCTGAGAATTTGAAACTAGATTGGATTAGTAATCATTTTTATATATGCTGAAAGTTTGAAATTTACGTAGAAACTCAATATCTGGTATTTGCTGAGAATTTGAAATTATAGGTAGAAAGCAAGCATGTTACATATGTTGAGAGTTTAAACTATCGGTAGAGTAGAAAGTAAATATCTGATTTCTTTTGGAAAAATCAAATATCAGCGATCAGATATTTGGTGAAAGCTGGTAAATATTTTAGATTTGTTATGACCTCTCCTTTTACTAATTTTATAACTAATTATTCTTCAATCATTTCATTTTTGGTGTACTTAAAATTTGATCAGAAAGTAAAAAATCTTCATCTTAGCAGTCTAAAATATTAAAATACATACTTTCGGCATTTTTTATTTCGCTACAAATGCTTTCGCTATTTTTTTGCATTTGGTATTTTCAATTCGGCATTTTCTTCTGCGACATTCTATTTTCGACATGATTTCTTTCGTTCTTTTTGATACATACCCTTTAAAATACAGAAATAAAAGTGGTCTGCAAAAATACTACGGAAAACCTAGCCAAACTGATTCTTGTTTGCTTTATGAAAATCACTGTGAGAAAGCAAACGGTCCTGATTCGTTGCGTACATTATGAGTAGAAAATCAACATAAAATTTCTAGTCTAATAGTTACTATTGTACCTAGAAAAAACAGCAGAAAAAGGAAATGAACCATGATAAATGAGAGAATGAATACGGGAAAAGCAGTCTTTCAATGCGTCAGTTGAGACAAAGCGTTTTGTTCTTGACCATCTAACATTTGCGAGAGATTTCTGACAGCTTCCGATATGTTTATCAACAGCTGATCTGAAGAATAACTTTTTTGTCCATATGAATCCTAAATATTTTACCCATTCCTTTCTGTATTCACCAGGACTGCGCATGAAATGCGACAAAGCTTTTAATATAAAGCTATTATTTTACTGAAAACAGTACAACTATTTTACATAGATGTTTTACTCATATATTTCAGCGGAACACACTAAGTTTAAATGTGTCGCGATTTGCGACACAATGTACGACACATGCTGAAAACATTTTTTTGAACCCACTAGCCAGGATTCTTTTGTTTTTATCGAAGAGATCATGATAATATTTCGATCTTGGTCTATTGAACAGTTTCATTTCTGAAGATTCAAACAGGTCAGATCTTGAGATCTGTCCAGTCTAGAGTCGGCCCGATTTTTGCCAGGCCATTTTCGGATAGCCCCACTTCGACCATGGATCAAGATAGGCATTCTCTCGACTAATTATTAATCGAAAAATAATCTTAAAAATATTTAAATGAAAATACGTAACTGTCGTATGTTCAATCGAGTTCTCTATATAGGGCCTTTTATGCAAAAGAAAAGGGTGAACCGATAGTTGACACACAAAACAAGATAAATTTTTTAGCGGCACTTTCTGTTGCGACATATTTTCGGCGCTGAACCTGCGACCCATTTTAATTTAGAGTGAACAAGTTGGACGTGAGTCTTCTCTCCGTTTACATCCACGTCATGAAGATAAAGAAAATGATGCATTTTGTCATTGTGAATAAATTCATATAAATTAACATGAAAGAGTAATAAACTCCTCTCCATAATAGAAAATCATGCTTGAAAGAAAAATTCATCGGGTGTATTAGAAAATTATGCTCTAATTAAATAATTAATCGAAATTAAGTATTATTACTTAAAACATTTGTAATTAATCATTAGTCAAAACTTGACCTTAATATAAGGTCATCCAGAGAGTAACTATGTACGGAAACACATCCAAGATCATGACCTTTTATTTTGAGAGTGAGGAGGTAAATAGAAATTAAAGAAATGAAACGACAAAATTGTAACGTCTTTTACCGTTACGGAGGACTTCGTGTACATTATCCTCCTCGCTGTATTCTTCTGTTCGTGCGTTAATCCGATGAGCACTCATCTTTCTACCGCGTTGTCACTGTCTCGTACATAAGGAAATGCAACTGAAGGAAATGCACGATTACAAAAGTGCTGATGACACAATACACCATCATGCCGACGAACGTAGGCGACACTCGCTATGTTCGTCAAAAGATCATTGAATGTAACCTATAAATAATATATCCCATTCCATGGAACAATGTTTTTTGTCTAATACCACGTGGAAGCCTGGTGTGTTCTCTTATCTCCCGTATTTGTGCATAAAACAATTGCATCACTAGTTTCGATACCGTCTGTTTCCATTTTCCCAAATATGTATATATTCGATCGTAGATGTTTGAAATTTTGAATAACACCAAGAGCATCAGCAGAAGATGGTCTGAATGAGTTGCCAATCACGATGCAGCAAAACAAATAGCTATTCAAGATCTCACAATTTTCAATATTGATATGAAAAGAGATTTACTAATCCACTTCAACCAAGTTTTATTTTCAGATAGTATCTTCTTGCCAAATATTACATACAACAAGAATAGGAATGTCATCGAGCCCATACAGTATGTATTACAGATTTTTCCTCATTGTTTCAAGTCTAATCTATAATTTCTGCTACTATGTAGTAAACGGGAAATCTTCTCCTTATATGGCTCTAAATACTCCAAATGTTCCAAATGCACCACAAACCGAGCACACAGCAGTACAACAGTCGGTGGCTTCCGTTCCACCAACGGGCGTTTTTTCTGAACAACCGATCAAATGTGTTTGTTTTCAATGTGGTGCTACGATACTGGCACGCGCTGCAAAAGAAAACGGCATTTTAACTTGGCTTCTCTGTGGCGGCTTATTACTTATCGGTTGTTGGTGCGGCTGTTGTCTAATTCCATTTTGTGTCGATTCCGTCAAGGTCAGATCAAATTTTCTTTTTTCTCATCGCTCGAAATTGATTTCTAATTTTAGGATACAGTACATTATTGCCCACAATGTTCTACTACACTTGGCAGAAAAAAAGTGCTTTAGTTCTTCCAACGACTATGATGAAATATTAGTCGAACTAATTCTGGTGATTTATTTCGTTGTTTTGATAGTAAACAATATGAATGAATAAAAACTTTTTCAATAAAACCGAACAGTTCTATGATATAAATGAACTATCTTTTGCTTCTTACTATTGTAATAAAAGAGTTTAGAGACGTATCATTTCTAGCAGTTGACTTTCTCGCTTTCATGATCTTTTTCTAAGAACCCATCTTGAGAATGAAATGGAAACTTTCATCGATAACCAAATAATCATAAATAATATTGATACTTGCAGCAAATTGCACCACTTCAAATTCGAAATCGTAGGCATTGGTGAGTGTGAGTGCATCACAGGTCAACATTCAGATCCATATCCCAAACAAAAAATAATAGAAATGGAATCTATACGTTCTCACTTGTTTGTCTTCAATTCTACTCTATCATATTTCTAATTGTTCCTTTCTTCCTTGAGTGACATCAAATGACCCACATATATACTCATGATCAAATGAATTGTCTATTTACTCCAGCTGCAAACTTCTTGTGTTTGATAATATTATCTTCAACATATTTATCATCGATATCTTCTCATTTCGGTCTTTGCTATAAATAGATACCTTAATTTTTTTGAACTGTAGCTTATTAAAATAGTTGACACTGTTAAGAGAATGCTTTTATTGTCGGAAGATAAAAAAAACAAGATAAGAGACTGGAATGAAAGGGGAGAGAAAGTGATAAGCAAAATACTTGTTTTTATTTTGAATGGAATCTATTTTTATGAAGTGTGGGCGTGCATGAAAAGAAGATTAGGCCAAGGTCCGCACCTACATCTATATCCAAAGATCAAGTTCATCTGTTGTCAGGGAATTTGCGGAACAAGTTTTGAAGTTTGTCAATTGGAGTCATAAGAAAACTAACAATAGCTTCAAAAGGCGGTTTGCCAGGTGCATTTGAGTGAGTACTATATATATGGTGGATGAATAGAAAAAGAGAATGAAAGAAAACAACAAATCTAGTGCCGACAAACATTTTTGTTCGCTCGTATGATCGAGCAAGCAACTCATTCACTTCAGCATTGATCACACTTTCGAGTTTAATATAATCGTTTTCTTCTTCATTGTAGTTGAAAACGAAGGCTAAAGAGAAAGACAGACGAAGAATGAACGTAGCTTTACTATGCAAAATGGAACATCAGAGTTGTCGTGTTGGCATTAAGTTAAGAAGAATGCTAATGCTAATGCATTATAGTTAATTTTTTAACTTAATGCTTAGGTATTATTAGCATTATTATTAATTAATACCTAGGCGTTATTGGCATTAGGCTTAAATAACGTTTAGGTGTTAGCATTGGTTGACCATCATTTTTAATATTAATTCATCAACTATGTTCAATTTTTGAATTGTTATCTTTACATACTATTTAGGGTGCGAATAAATAAAAGGTCCATACCCCACATGCACACCCCGTGAGAAGAAGCATATAGGATACACATTTTCACGTGCGCGCAGACATACAAGCATAAGAACTTATGTTGTTATATATGACATTTTCTTGTACCGAAAGAATAGTACTGCTTAACAATGACATTTGTTCGATGTATCCTTGAGAAATAAATGTTAATCTTGTGCGAGGTAACGAACAGGGCAAACCAATATTCCATCGTACCTTGCATACATCAATCATCTGTTTCTTGTGCATCATTGTCACCTATCGGATTCGACATTTATAATGTGCATCATTCACGTATTCTTATTTTTAGCTCTGTATTTTCGAGATCAACTCTCAAGAACTGCATTTGCAGATCATCGAATGATGACATATAATTTTACCTCGGAAAACACGTGGCTTACGATGCTTGACGGTGTTCGTCTTTCGGCTACACTCGTGATTCCGATATCACAACGAGACACCAATGAAAATTTTCCTGTTCTACTCGAATACAAGCCTTATAGAAAAGATGATAGCTTCTTTAATATCAATCAGCCCAAAATTCACTATCAAGCACAGCGAGGCTTCATAGTAAGTCAAGAAAAGTAGAAGAAGCTTTTTTTTAATAATTATTTGCGAATTTTCTGTTAGGTAGCCCTGGTTGATATACGCGGTACTGGCGCGTCTGAAGGTGTCCTCATCGAGTACGAATACACTTCGCAAGAGTTAAATGATTGTGAACATGTCATTGAACTACTTGCTGCTCATCCTCGCTCAAATGGCCGCGTCGGTATGTACGGTTTAAGCTGGTCCGCTTTCAACTCTCTTATGATGGCCACATTGCGACGACCACCTGCTTTGCATGCTGTTTTCGCTGCACATGGTTCTGACGATTTGTATAACAATGATGTTCATTATGGCGATGGAATTCTCCATCAAGACGAATAAATACTTTCAGTCGATCATGAAAATGCATTACCAGCTTCACCTGACTTTTTGATTAATGAGCAATGGGCCAACGAACGGTTTACAAGGCGACCTTGGATTGACATCTATCTCGAGCATCAGTTAAACGACAAACTTTGGCAAAATCATTCAATAAAATATTCCTATGACAATCTCACTGTGCCTGTTTATTTACTTGCAGGTCTTTATGATGCGTAAGTTCTGTAGATAGAAGATATTCAAAAATCATGGAAGGAATTAGATTGATCTTCGATCATGCCAATATTTAGTAAGAGTTTGATAGCTCCATAACTGAAATCATTTGGATTTGAATAAAACATGAGTCGTATGCTAATGTGAGTTTTCATTCTATTAGAAAAAAAAATGTTAAATCATCAATTTTTGGAAGACGAAAGGAACACTCGTTCAATATCAAAGTTTTGTACAGAGAAAGGCCCTATTTATAGACTCATGTCCAACATGGATGATTGTGTTTACTTTACTGCTTTAGGTAATATATTTTTGTTGCATAAATCGGGTATTTCAGCTTGTAGTCTCATGAGTCCAACATCAAATTATTGATCAAGCTAAAGATTGATGCATCGATTTTATGCCTTATATCTACGTCTTTCTATTCTCCATCGATTTCTGTCTCTATATAGCTATCGAGACTTTGCTATTAGCATATATGAACATGCATATAACATATCGCCATAAATCAAAGTCGTCGTCGGTCCATTTGTCCATGCGATGCCAGAATTTTCTACTCGGAATCCGGGGCCTGGCTATGATGGTACAGCAGAAATGGTACGATGGTTTAATCATTGGCTCAAAGATAATGACGACAGCGATGATATTCTGAATGAACTTGATATTACACTATTTGTTCGGACAAGCCTCACGACAGGTACCTATCGGTACGAATCGCGCTGGCCAATTCCTCGACAGCAGACACGTCGTATGCAGTTTAAAAAGGGCGAAAATTGGTTGAACAAGCGCTGTTAGAATCACCAATGTCAACAGCCGAGAAAGAGAATAACGATATAGATATAGACGTACTTCCATATCGACCGTGGATCGGATTCGAAGCTGGCTCGTGGTTGGGAATGTTGACGGGGGACCAGCGACCTTATGATAAGGACTGTCTCGTCTATGATAGCGATCCTACTCAAGAAACAATTGAAATTATCGGCTTTGTCAATGTATCACTTCAGGTAAATAATCATAAAGAGTAAACCAACCTTGAAATCTTCAAAAGATTAAACAAAAATCTCTTACGATGAATCATCTTCGACTGAGTTCGAATTAGTGTCATTCATATTGAGAAAAAAAAAATAGGTGTTCATGATCATTTTCATACCTAGTAGATTTTATTTCTATCATAACTGAATATTGAATCTTTGTCTGTTTGTATGAAGGCGAGCACTACCGCTCATCTGGCTCACTGGTTTGTACGTCTCGAAGACGTTGATGTCGATGATCAAGTATCTCTAGTTACAGTTGGTGCAATCAATGGAGCTCAGTTGCATACCCCGCCAGCATATCTCGAACCAAATTTCAGATACACGATTACTATTCGACTTCATTTCACCACGTGGACCTTCCTGTCTGGCCACCGTATTCGTGTTGCAATCTCCAATGCGATGTTCGCTTCAGCTTGGCCGACTCCGTTCCCAATGAGCACATCAATCTATCTCAATCCGTCAGTGAGTTTCATAGACCTACCTGTGGTACCTCCTATTTATCCTTCGTCGATCCCACCATCGTTCACTCAGCAGCAAGTCGCATCGAGCGATATGTTACCACAACTATTCTCAGCCAGTAAACCCAAAGTATATCAAAAACACGAAACAGATATTGGCACAACGATTACTTTTGAACAAGTCACCTATGAACTTTTATCCAATGGTTGTTTCATTTCGGGTCTCCTTGCTTGGGACTTTATTTGTTCTCATTTGGATCCTGCCGACGTACGATGGGTGACCCGTGCAAGACAAGTTTATGTGTTCGATATGCATGGATATGAATCAATCGTTGATGTCCCTTTGAAAGATGACAATGAAAGACTGTATCCCAATGTTGACCTGTCGACAAGACGCCATTTTGAATTGGTCACAGATTTGGTAAAGCATTCGGATCAAGACTATTTTTATGTTCATTTAAAACGACAATTTCTCGAAAAAAATGACACGGTGACATGTCAGCAGGCAATGACATTTGTTTTCAACGGGAAACACAAAAGAAACTGTCATTAAAATTTTGTTTGAAAAAAATGAACGTACAAGCAGTTTCTTGTGCCAGCGAATCGGCTTTCAAATAGTGTGAGAGGGGCTTCATGTTCTCCAGGTCTCATACATCGATAAACCAATGCGGCCACTCACACCGACATCTACATCTACTGACATCGGTAGTACGCCTTCACTGAAGAGTGTCGGTACAATTATTAGCCTTCATCCGTGCATATTCATACCCAACACAAAATGTTCACTGTCTAAAAACGAGTAATGACCTAATTATTGAAAACCACATGGAATCCAACCGAAAGATAAATATGCTTTGCGTAAATATGCCAATTTTCAAGTTAAAATAGTGAAGTCAAGTGTTTTAATTCTTGAATTTTTCATTTGTTCTTTGCATGCTGTTCTAATTTTGGGGAAAATGTTTTTGTTTATACATATAGAAGTAAAATAAAATTTGAACATGTAGAATAGTTTCAACATTCTTCTATTCGATCAATTCACAATGGGAATTGATTCAGTCGTCCTAAAAATAATTCTACTTCAACTCTCTCCAAGACAAATATTTTGAAATACATAATTGTTTTCTTTTTTTCTCATCAGCACGACAATACCTGTGTAATATTTTGATGTTGTTTATGAGTAGAAGTGAAGCATAAAGATGTTTACATATAAGTCAGTTTTGCTTGTACGTCGAACTATGTATTTAATGTAGCTGTAGTATTTTGAACAATAAAATATATTGTTAATTTATCATACGAAAAAGAATCCTACCGTTGCGCGCGTCCTATGAGAGACTTTTAAAGAAACTTTATTGAGACCATTCAAAAATAAGTAATTTATCTGGAGATATTAAATAACATGAATGGCAATGTTGATGATGTAAATGTATACGTTGCTTTATGTCAGACATTGGAAAATACCGACAAAAACAAATTGAGAAAAGTACTTCCACTGATATCTCGTACGTAAAATTACCATATCGAGAATGGGTAATTATTTGCCCATGTTCTTTTACGAGATACTTGGGATTATTATGTTGATTCTTTGACTTAATCTCCTGATAAGGCTGCTATACGTCATATGAGTAAATACACGATACATACCATACCATAAACGTGTTAGTTTTTGATAATAAAAAGAATTATATTGAAAAAAAAGAAGAAAAGCATTCAGCTACTCTCACTGTGGCTAAACGTTGTAGATAAATTGCTGAAATTCTAACTTGCAAGAAGAAAACTAGTTGCGCAATAATAAGATTCGTGCCCGACTTTTATTGTTCACCGATGAAGTAAATGCTAAAATTATAAAATAGAAATCGAGTAAATGACATTTTTCTTCATTATCAATTGTTGAAGAAAACTACGATGAACTAGTAGAAGTATTTTGTCTTCAACGGTTTCTTATTTAGAAATAAAAATATGAACGAATTCGTCTTTTGAGTACGAATATTAGACGTAATAATGTCATATTGAATTGGTCTACGTCAAACTACCAAATAGAACTTCACGCTATTTTCAACATACTTGTACGAAAATATTCGATTTCTACTGCAATCGAAATTTCCATTTAGAAGCATCGAAATATAGTGTATGCAAAACTGCAAGAGTATTCGAATATTTTTTTCTCACTGTATTGGGCAACGTTTAGTATTCAATTTGCTCCTCTATTCAATGATAATAATTTTGATACGGATGATCAAACAATGGATGTTTGTTGACATGTACATAAATTCAAAAGCCACAGTGTACGAACCGTATCTAAATACTGTGTCGAAAAAGGCAAGAACACATATGTTACTAGGCTGAAACTTTCATTAAAAGAAATTCCATGAGAATTGTTTTGAGAAAGTTCGGACAACAGCATTACAGAAAAGTAAACAATCAAAAACAAATTCATTAGACGTCATATTGTATTTATTGTTAGATTCGTTTTTGAAGATAAGAGTTATAGAGCAATCATTTAGCAAAATCAAATGGTTATTTTTGTTTTAATAAAATTTAGTAACAATCAAAAATTGAATTTATTGGACTCTTGTCTAAACTAAAACCGACTTTTACAATCGATTATGTTTTTAAAAGTAGCGCTTTTCGTCTTCACTCATGTTTATAGAATTTCCAGTCATCCATCAGGCAAATGGCTCACACAGGACAAGGTAGCAGATTATTCAAGTTCTCTCGACACAATGGTATTACAAGTCGGACGTAGGAAAAATGTGTTGACTCATGCCACGCTTGTTGAGCGATGTCTTACTAGACAAAAAAGTGTCGTGAGAAAACAAAACATATGAATGTGCCACCAGAATTAAATATGTTACATAATACTGGTTTTTTCCACAATTATTTTTCGAATATGGAAGATTTTGTTTTTGAAAATAAAGACTTTGAATCATTATTTTGATTCCGTTGAGGTTAACTAATGAATTGAATACATGTCTTCTTTGCTTTGTTTATATATCTCTTTATAGTGTGTTAACTATTTCTCGTATGTCAAATAAATATATTCCTAAACAATTAGTGTTTCTTCATGAATAGATTTATTGAGCAAAGAAAAGCCAAATCTATCAGGCCGTTTATTTCATTGAACATATATTGTACTTGTCAATTGCTTGCTGATATAAATATTTCTGCATGTGATGCCTACAGACATTATGATATCCAATCTGTCATTGATACATAAATACAGATGTCTATTTATCGACCAACATAAATTGATCATATACGATATTTTATCTTCTTTTTCTTTTTATTTCAAATCGGAAACAATAGAGACGCAAACACATCGTTGATTCGTACAATGAAAAAAGAACGATGGATGATTGTTCTATTATGTCTGTTATTAAATAATTGAATATTTTAATCGAATAAACCGAAGCCCTAGAGAACAAAAAAAAGACATCGGTCAAAATCTTTCTAAATATGAATCCTACCATATCTTCGCCTTCATCCGAATCTTCTTTTTCTGGTTTCTTTTCTTCTTTCTTTGGCGCATCTTTACCAGCACCTGCTTTCTTATCATCAGCAGCGGGTGCTGCAGTTGTAGCTGCTGCAGCTGGAGCGGCCGCTGGAGCTGAACCAACATTCTTAATAAGATCAGTTACTTTAATACCTTCCAATGCACCAGCGAACAGACCAGGCCAGTATGGTTCAATTTCATAATTAGCAGCTTTTAATATGGCTGCAATTTTATCACCTTTAATATCAACATTATCATCGGCTAAAATAAGGGATGCGTAGACGCAAGCAAGTTCATCATTGCTTAAGGCCATTGTACTTTAATTCTTGTTGATAACAGAAGAAATTTGATCTGAAAAATGAGAATAATATTCATACTAGAGATTATCGTTAAACATTAAACAAAAAACAAAAAACACAAAAAAAATATTGTATAATTCTTTTTTCTTGCAAAGATACTGTGTAAAACTATGTACAAATATTCTATTTAAGTCATAAAAGTGGCCGCGGCTTGAGTAACATTCGATTTTGATTGTGCAGAAATATTCGTCGATATTGTTGTCATTGGACTTTGATAGAGTGCACCCGATAATAATCGTGGTTGTTGGTCGCCATCTTGTCGAATATGATTAATTTCATCTGTGAATTTTTTACGTAAATTAAGCAATGTTGTATAACGTTGCGTTAAAACATCCTAAAACAAAAACGATTTTGTTAATCATAATAGCGAGAAAAAATCTATCTTACTAATGTCGACCGATAACCAGGCATATAACGACAATAATAATTTTTCCATAATTTAATGTGCCGAGATGAATTATTTGGTATTAAAACGTTATCAGATCTTTCAGTATAAAACGGATTTAAATACAGGGCACGTTCACGTAAAATCGGAGTCCATGCTGACATTGTATGTTCAGAAACTTTCATTTCAGTGCGTATTTTGTCGGAATTAAGTAAAAATGTACCATATTGACATGAATAGAGGTTATCAGCGATTGTTATTAATAATTTTTCATTAAATTCAAACGCCGATGGAAACTACAAAAGAACGATATTATGCAAAAATGTATCTTTCTAAAAATATTGAGATCTCAATATTTCATGTTGCAATCCTATTACCTGTTGTAATAATTGAAATGTACAATCAAGAAATTGAAGAAACACGGGAGATCGTTCCGAATCACTTTTATCTCCATGGCCAATACGCTAAAAAGATAAAAGTTTTCATAAAAAAAAAATTAATTTTTTCAATATAACTTACTAAAAAGAACTTATGGCCAAAACTAATCCATTCTTTTTCGATTAAAATCATATAACCATTTAATGTTCTATAATGTGCATCAAGCATTAACATCGCTAATGAAGTCAACTAAAAGAAAAATATCGAAATGATTTTTTTTTCTTGGTTTTTCTATTAAATTTTACTTGTGCTGTTCGATCCCATCCATCTGAACAATGAACTAATACTGAACGTTTGTCATTGTGAACCAACGATACTAATCGAATAGCCGCAGTTAAAATAGCCTAAAATAAAAATCGTTCGTTCCTTTTTTCTAATCTCATCTTCTAATTTATCATACTCGAATATGAAACAACCAATTCGCATTCTCTAAATCGCTAAACCAAGTCTTATCTTCATGTGCGGCATTACGCACAGCTGCATGTAACTTTCGCAAACTAGAATATTAACATTGAAACATTTGATTTTGCTTTTTTTTCCTTCTCTTATATTTACCTTTCTCTCATGACATGAATATTTTGAATATTATGAAATTCAAGTTCACAATTTGGATAATCTTCATAGCCACCGCCATTGGCCATATTGGCCATTGCATTAACTTTTGGACGTGCATCAAGTATAACTAATTTAAAGCCTTGGTTTACGTTGGCATCGGCTATTTTACGTAACAGTTCAATATCATCGTCACATGTTCGATTAGCTAAACCAGTTAACGGTTGACTTGATCGAGTTATAGTTGCATAAGTTTCACGAGAATACCAACTAAGAACCTAAACCAAAACAAATAATGTTCCAACAAAACAAAACTCTATTTTTCAACATACCGGAATACGATTTCGGCTACGAAAATCAGCAACACGTTGTAGTCGTGTTGAGTCAAAACTGGACGGAAGCACAATGATATCTGGATATGTATCGCATAATGCATAAGTTTTATTTATTTCTGCATTTATGGTCCAATGTGGATCGGAATTTTGTTGAATACCCTTAATGATGAAATAGAAAAACAAAAAGATAAGTTTGTATTTCTTTATATGGAAGAAACAAAAACAAATTAGTTCTGAGTCAGGGTAGTGAGTGACAAAAAGCAAACATACATCCTTACTGACTGTCAGCTACAAATTCAATTAAAAAGACAAGAAAAAAATTTTATAATCAGTTTTTCTTTCGAAAACGACTTACCATTCTAGTATAATCTTTCATTTTATTGTATAATGTCCAGCCTTCATCGAGTCCATTTATACAAAATTTTCTCTTGTAATCCAAGGCGAAGAACGACTAAATGAAAATTCAATCATTTCAAAATAACAAAACAAATGTATTCCATTGTATGAATATTTATTTTTCGAAACTCTTAGTATCCAATCGAATTCTTAATTTAAAGAATAATTCGAGCGAGCTTCAGTTTGAAAGTCTCGATATCAAGATTTAATACCCTTAAATCTGATTCTCATATATTTTATCACAGCAACTATACGCGTATTTCAATGAAAAACTACCGTTAGTCGTAATCCATATTTTCTCTATGTACAACTCCGGCACTAATAATAGATAAATATGACAATTCTTACATTAAAAAATTGAAATGGATTTGTATGATCAGCTTTGCTGATTGAAAACGGGAAAACAAGACGGGTCAGTTGATCAAGTAGATTTCTTCGTTGATTTTGTTCTTTTGCATTTCCGAAAAAGAAATGACGTAAATCCTAAAATAAAAATATGAGAAAAAAAATGATTCATCAAAAATAGGATGATTATTTACTTTGCAATTTATTTCGATTCCATATGCAGCACCATCATTTATATTACTTCGTGTTTGTCCACCAATTTTTTCTATCTGACTTATCATACCTAAAGGCACATCAACAAGCACCTTGAATATAAAAAGAAAACAACTATGATCATTACAAATAAGAAAAAAAATGAATTCTCATACTTGAATAGAATCCGGTGGTTTGGTCACAAACATTAGACGATATTTTGTTACAATTAATTCACCACGATACGGTGCCGGTCGATTATGGGCACGATAAGTTATATCTAAAATTTGATTTTTCTTCCATTAGGAATGGCAAACAATAAAATTTGGTGATCTTAATAACCTTCTTTTAATTTCACATCCTCTTCTCCAGGAAAAAGTTTGATTGGTAACGATAAATCATATGTATGAGCGATACTTGTTTGTTGTTCCGACATAGCCATAACATGCTGTCGATCAGACAAGTATCCTCTGGTTGTACCCTAAAATGAAAACACCAGTGTTCGTGTCATTTATTTTAAGAACAATATATTGATGAGAGAATGTATTTAAATATTAGGACCCAATTTCAAAACTCACTGTTAAAGCTGCTGAAGAATTGAGATACGATGATGAAGGAACATATTCATTTGAAGACGATATCGATGAACCATCATCTCGAACACCATAGCTTATGTCTTCGGCGCCATGAGATGTTGGTTTCGAGTTAACTGTGATGACTGTTGGCCGACGGCGAAGATCATCATCACTATTTGAATGTGATAATTTTTTCATTGAATCACGATGAACATCGCGAGACATGTCGCGATGACTTTTATATTGAAGAAAAAAATATCCTCAATCCTATTTAATGTATAGAACGATTGATATAGAGGAATCGTAAATAAACATCTGTAATTAATGGACGGAGGAATGATTGGAATCCCAATAAATTGTGGTGAGGTCTAGAAATGATTTGCAATGAAATATTTAACCATAATTTTCAATATAAATTATGCGTCATTTCTCAACGAGAAAAAACATAATTTTTTACATTATTTATTGATGAAAAAAGATGTCGCTAAAAGACAAACAATTGTCATCAAGAAAATTCATTCATTGTTTTATTCTTCTTTTTGGAAAGAGTTGCGGGAATACATTTTAAATTAATGGTACTTAACAATGAGATCTACAGTACTAATTTCATGTTAGAATCAAGTTTGGTTTTCGATTTCATTAAAGTATCATTTAAAAAGTTTTAAGAAATATGATAATTTTGAATCGATTGGTTTTTTAAATCTATGAACTTGCACTGTGAAAGTAAGGTGCACCGTATCTCACTAACCAGCACACTGTATTTATAAATTTCTCTGCTTCATTGCTTACACCCGTGTTATTTATAGACGTAAAGCTTTTGCTTTTATATGATGAGCAAGGACAGTTCATTATTGCATCGGCTCACGATGAAAAGGTTTTTATGGTTATCTTAGTCATTGGAAAATAAATCTAAATAAACAACATACATTAGTGTTTAAAGTTCAATGAGCCTACCTGTACTTATCAACTTCCATGCAAATGTTTAATATTCTTCTAGCATAAGATTAATCATATTTTGGTCTGTCTGATTTTATCGAGTCTCATATCAAAATATCACGTAGCGTATATTACACTAATGATTATCATTCTAAGCACATCCTCAGGATGCTTTTCAGTAACAAATGATTATTGTTGAGCGATTGAAGCATCCGGAAATGAGATTGGCATCTGTTTTGTATAAAAATGTAATTGGTCCTATTTCGCTAACAAAGCTCAATAGTTTCATGTGTTTGCAACTTAAATTGACTATTTTCTATCACAGAAAAACTCTCAAACTAAATCATTTCAGTGTGATTCGATGTTATATATTTATTTTATTTTAAACTTAAAAAAAAATGATATCATCGATCATGTTTTTCGCTTTTAAGCATTACGTAACAACAGCAAAAAAAAATATGTATATAAGAAATGTAGAATTTATGAAATTTTTCTATAGCAAAAATTTCTTAAAGCATTACTAAACCAAATGGAATTAGCTACTGCTAAACGTGATTTTTTGTAAACGTTGTTGTTGAAACTGAAACTCCTTTCTTGTGATGATGATGACGATGATGCTGCGGCTGATCAGATTTTTGATGAGAATGTATAATAGGATCTAGTTGAAATCGAACTTTTTTTGAAACAGCTTTATCATCGGTGCAAGCACACGATGATTGAGAACGTCTGGCTTTCATTTGATGATGCAACTGGTGACGGCGCTCATTGGAATGATGAATGGAAGATGACAGCGATGATTTAAGATCAGACGATGACTTTATTGATAATTGTTGAAAATATGGTAGAACTTCATATCCGGCCTGTAATCTTGCTTTGTCTGCAGCATCGAGAAAACGTTTTGGTGACTCATATGAAAATGTTCGAATAATTGAGCTCGATCGAACATTCTCTGAGGGTGGTTTCTTCTGTAGCCACGATGCAAATTTAACGAAACGGTCTACGATACCATGTCTATGCTGGTTACTTATCGCCATATTGCACGATGTAGTTGTGTTTAAAATAATTTTAGCATACTAAGCGACGCGAGAACATAAGAATAATATTTTTTCCTTTTATCACTTAGATAGTTTGTCATGACTGGCATCGTCGATGATGTTAAAGTAAAATGAACGAATGAATGAATCATGAAGTGATATAGTCCACTTAAGTTTGCATCCGCATCGTCGAAAGAGAAGCACTGAAAAGAAAACTGTGTTGATCTCAGAGAAAAAAAGTCATGATATAAAGCAGTTCTAATTATGAGTTAATAGCACTTTACTTGATTGAAAAAAAAAGAGACAGAGGTTTTCGTTTCAAGATTTCTAATTAATTCGTATGCTAACAACTAAAATAACCGATATTCTTTGAATCAATGAATTTGAATTATTTGATAATTCAACAGAGTAAAATTGTACAGCAAAATTTTTTCTTATGATTTTATTTGTCGTATTTAAATAGTTATTATCTTCGAAGTAAGAAAGATAGATATCGTTTTAAACAGGTTTGTATATCAAACAGAAGCGAAGATAATAAGAGTGCAGCAAGTAACATACAGCTTTCGGGTGATATTTTATTTATCAACATGCGCGTCTGGTTACTTCTGTCTATATGTGTTCTAACCACAACAGCTCAAGATTTGAATACATTCGGCATTGGACTTTCGAGTCAATGGCTTTATTCAAACGAGGTTACTATTGTCGAGTTGTATAGAAGGCTATTTATCATTTGACTATATTTTAGAGTGAAATTTTTAATCATACACTTTCTCCAGGTTCGAATTTTGGTGTTCTTACTCATTTTTGGACTACTGGTGATCCAGGTACGTTGTGGTTTGTTTTTTATTTGAAATTGTTGTTGACGATGAATATTTTTAGCTATCGATCAATCTACTTTTTCGTATTATATCGATGGAGAACAAGTACCATCAATTCAATTCGTCACCTATATGTTAGCCGGGGCTGGATTTAATGATCAAACTGCACCATGGGGAACAAAATGGATTGGTAAAGGAGCACAAGCTGGTGGTTGGTATAATAATTTGTAAGCTATTTGCTATTGACTCTTCTCTCATGAGCATGACTTTGTTGCTTCAAATTTAGTCGAGTGCCATTTCAAAAATCAATTCGTGTCACTGGTAAATTACCCTCATTCGTTACGGATCGAAAAATAATTTGGGTTATTGTACGTGGAACTGAAAATTTACCAACTGATTTTCATGGTTTTCAGCTTCCACTAAATGCTCGTTTAACTTTACATAAAATTGAAAATCAAACTTACGACCCATTAGCATGGGTACGTGTTGCTGATATTCCAACTGGTCGTGGTTTACTTCTTTCGCATACATTAGCTGTGAATAGTGGCAATTTAAATTTTTTAGAAGGTTGTTATCATGCCTATACACAATATGAACAACAATTCCCGGGCTTAATTGTTTCTACTGGAACCGAAGATTATTTTGATAGTGCTTTTTATTTTAATGCTGGACAATTTCATTTTGAAGTCTCTGGCTATTCGCATTTTCGACAAGTGTCAAAGGATATACTTGAATGGTCCGCTTATCGTATGCATGATTTAGATCCAATATTTTTTACAAATGGTTTTCGTTTTGAATGGAGAAATGGTGATGTTGTTGACGATCGTGGTTTTAAGTGTATTGTCGATCAAGGTGGCCATGTTGTTGGAACGCCGACAAAATCCATTGTGTCATCGTATGCATGGGTTTATGTTTGGTAGAACTAGAATTTCAGGCGTTTTTTTTTTTATATAGAAATGATGACCGGCATACATTATCTATTGATTGATTGATTGACAAAATAAAGTTCGAAAAAAAAACTCACGCTCCTGGGTGGGCTCGAACCACCAGCCTTCCGGTTAACAGCCGAACGCGCTAACCAATTGCGCCACAAGAGCACGAACAGAGCGGTCGAAAATTTTCAATTCAATTTAATATCACAAGGCCACTTGAAAAGTACCTTGGTCTTTATCTGAAACACTCGAGTTCGAGAAAAAAAGAGTGAAACATATAGTCTTTTTCGTTGTACATGTATGCAGCAGTTTTGATTCAAGCTCAGATGTCACTTTGAACAAGAAGACTATTGACACTTAGATTATTCATACCTTCCGTTGAACAGAGCTTGTTCGACGGAGAAAAAAAGTGCGCTCCTGGGTGGGCTCGAACCACCAGCCTTCCGGTTAACAGCCGAACGCGCTAACCAATTGCGCCACAAGAGCATGCTAGTCTTATTCAACAAAAATGGATCAATTTTGAGTGACCTTCAAACATGCCAATGAACAAGAACTTCCGTTGAGTATAGGCCATCTAGCTTGAATACAAAGTATCAAAGATTAAAGAGAACTTTAAAAAAGTTGATTTCTTTGTAAATCTATCACTAGCCAGAAATTTTTATTTTTCAAAATAGCCAGAAAGACGGATAAACAATACATAAACTGAAACTTTTCTTTTTTTGTTATCACAATAAAAATTTTCTTAGCAAAAGAAACAAACATTAAGTGAATGGTGGCGTTTGCTTGTTTGATTTTCTCTCAATGTTTCATCACTGCTTCTTCCGTACGTTTTCGTATTGTTTCTAATATCTCAGTCCAGTCTTTTTCACCAATTTTTTGAATTGTTCGTTTCAGTACTTCCATTGCTTTTGGGAATGTTGCCTTAAATATTGTTACAACTTCATTTGGCTCAACAATACCTAAAGTAAAACAAAAATATTGATTCTTTGGATTTTCAAAAGATTAAATTAGATGAAACGAACCATCTTCTTTCCAGCAAATATCATCAGTGACAATACCAAGAGCTGCATATGGTAAACCTAATTCTTTCGCAAGAATTGTTTCCGGTGTTTGTGTCATGCCAATTGTTGTACAACCCCAACTGATAAAAACTTTATTTTCCGCGTAAGTAGAAAAATTAGGACCTTCAATGACTACAACAGTTGATTTATCTTTATAACAAACACCAGGTGTTTCTGCACATGATTGAATTAATAATTGACGTAATTCACGATCATATGGAGGATGCATACTCATATGCATTACACCTATAAATATCGAGATAAAATTTCTTTTACAAAAATCAATAACAGTTTCATTCCGTATTGACGAATTGCTTACCTTCGAGATGGCCAGGTTCATGATCGTAAAATGTATTCGATCGATGTTTTGTCGTATCAATATAATTGTCTAAACAACAATCAAAATTTCAATGAACATGGATAATAAGCGGGGGAAAAAGCGGTCTATACCAAATACAACAAGAGTACCGCGTGTGAAATTCTCTGCAAGTGAACCAACAGCTGTTGTCGCCAAAATTAAATTAGCACCAAGTTGTTTCAATGCCCAAATATTAGCTCGATAACTAAGCATAATTTAAGAATTAGAATAAATCCTATCCATGAAAACTCCCAAAACAGTATACTTAAGTCGAGTAGGATTAAAAGAATGTTTACGTCCATGTCGAAAACATAGTACACATTCAACACCATTAATTGTTCCACTAACTAAATTATCTGATGGTTGCCCATATGGCGTGTCAACAATTTCATGTTCAACACGATTTGATAAAATATCACTCCGATCGAAACCGGATCCACCGATGATTCCTACTCGAACTCCTAATGGCATCTACAAATGAATCGATTGTGTTTGAAAATTTATGACTTAAATGCTTTAATTAAATTATTATTAATATTCTTCAGATCAATCAAAAAAGATATTCACAAAGAACAAAAAAACCAACACGATTATCAATAGATAATTTCAGAGATGAATTCTTGCTGTTGACCATCATACTACAAAGAAATGAGAATATGACAAGAATTTAAACCGAAAAAAAAATCAAATGAAAGCCCAGAAAAGCAAGAAAATCAATTAAATCATAGATTTGAATTTAAATTAGAATCACTATCATATTTATGGGTTCCAAAGAGGTTTGAAAGCAACGGAGTTTCATTATTTGTTTTTATTCGAGTTGTTTTACCATGTTTACGAACTTCAGTTGTTGTTGATGTACCGTTTTTTCTTCGTTTTTGTTGATCATTCGGTAATGATGAACCCTCGCCATTTACTCGAGCCGACGACTGAAGACTATAGCGATTGTCAAAATTGACATTGGTCAAAGGTGTAGCGATCCGAGCATTAGCACAAGCAATGATAGGTGATCGATTCATGCAATCAGCAAACGATTCATAGTCACTGGTCTGTTGAATATTTGACATACCGGAGGTTTTATTCGACAATGAAAGTCCATCGATCGAAACTGAACTTATAGAATTAGATAGAGCTTCATCATGTGATTTTCTTGATTCATCTTCATCATCAGTTGATTCGTCAGATATATCGATTTTTGGAAATTCAGTTAATTCTAAATAAAGAAGAATCGAGCTAATTTACGATATCAACAACAGAATAGATTATGCACAGCAAATTAAGGCAAGGTTTTTTTAATTTTGTTTTAGAATTTTCTTATAAATAATTACCTCGCTGGACGGATAAATCCGTCGAATAGTCTAGAATATTGGCTGTGTATTTCAAACAAAAAACAACAAGAACAACAAGTATTACTTACCAAGATCAGGCATTTCAATAAAATCATCGGGTTTATCTGAACCAACACCGGGCTCACGTGGCGGAAGTTTTATTACTAATGGATTATTACGTTGTAAATGTATCTGAAGATAGAAATTACGTATTTTTCTTTCTTTTCTTTATGTTCTTACTTCTTCCGATATTCGTTCAAGATTATTTAATGCCGTACGATACATTCTTTTTGCTTGGCTGATTGCTTTTTGTACAGCTTCAATGCGGATTTTTTGATTCTAAAAATAAATAAATACACGAGTCAAAAATCTTACTTCTGACATCACACGAAAGTTGTTTCAAAAACGTCAAAATGATACTGATACACTATAATATATTTACTTGTAATTCATATTCAGCATATTCCTTTGCATCAAAGTAAGGTCTAAGAAATATAAAATGAATTTATTTCTCTAAATAATTTATTTTTATTACGTACTTCGATTTAGTTATTGACCTATTCAATGATCGTTGAAGTGTTACTCGTTTTTGTTCATATTCTTGATAGAGTTTCGATTTTTCTTCATGTGTTCGTTCACTACGCGTCTTATCTTGCTCAGCTTGCATCACCTTTTTGTTTTTCAACGATCGAATACTTATTTAACGGACACTTCGCATAGATATCTTACTTTCATTGTTGCATGATTCACATATTCTTGCCAGGCAGCATCAAACGCACGCTTATCTGATTTTAACAATTTACTTTCAGCTAAACTTAATGCTTCTTTTGCAACACGATATATTTCAACGGAACGTTGATATTCTTGTGCAGCTTTTTGCGTCTCTGACTGAGCCTATAGATAAAATAGAACGTTTGTTTGTTTTTTTGTTACATCGATTTACTTCTTCAGCTTGTTTACAGGCATCAAAAAAAGGTCTTGCACGTTCTACACAACTGCCAAGTTTTTTTGCAAGAACAGCTAAACGCTGTTTACAATTAGTAAAACTTGTTTGAAATAATTTTTGTGCTTCCTAAATATTTTCGTACGGATTTGATTGGAATAGAATAGCAAATCGACTTACATCTAATTGAGTTTCAAGATTATTTATTTCACTGGTTGCAGCATTTGCACGTTCTAATTCAATCTGTTATAGGCAAATTTTTCTTTAAATGAGAATAGATCCTGTTTTTTTAAATATTATATTACTTGTATTCGAGGATCAAGCGGTTCGTCATTATGTTCATCGGACTTTTCGACGATTTCATTCATAAGTTTATCGTTACTATGCGGATGATTATCATCGGTTTCAAGAGTTTTTGATGAAATCGATGAAAACGACATAAAATATTTTTACCAATAGAGATGAAAACAACGTATGAATGAATCTTTTTCTAATTTATCATGATCTAAAAGATAATTCAAAGAAGAAAAAAGCAATAAATATAGCCATTTGACCTGTAAGTGTAAATTGCTGCCCTGTCAAATAACAAAACCTAGATGCACAAATTTTATATATCAGGTACATCTAAAAATAAAATCCCAAGATTTTCGACGATTAGAAAACCTTGATAAAACTAAGGTTATATATCCGCTTTTGAGACTAAAGGAGCAAAGACATGTAAAAGCGTTTGCTCTTATAACCAGACAGAAGTTTCAGATAGATGTAATTTGCTCTGCTGGAGTTACTTCAAATCGCATTTATAATAGAAAAGAAAAACATGAAAAATGGTAACAAGCGAGTTCATGTAAGTGGAAATGTCGACATTCACACGAGAGTGTGCATGATGAGGCATTATTATTCGTCTTTATTCTATAAAGATTAATGGACATATTTCATGACAGAAAAAGCAGCCCACAATAAATCTTCTATGGAAGCGCTTTGCAACACAATATTTCTTTTTTTCAAATTTATATGATTATTAAGAGAAAGGAACTTAGCTTTAAAGATAACTTTCATCTGTGCAATATGTTCTTTCGAATCTTTATTTTATTGTAAAATGCGTGAAGCATCTATGCCCTTACGCTGTCAACATGTTATATATCCTTACCTACATAATCATTTTATTTAGATTCGACTACAATTGATTCTATACTCAAGTCGTGAAATATTCGATTCTTCTATTCAAGAGAATATTCTTGCTATAAAAGCATAGATTATTCGTATGTTTCAGACGTAAATTGATAGTATGATGTGTTAGATATCTTTTTACCACCACGTGTAGTTTTACGATAAAAAAGTTTTAACGGCTATTGAAAAATATAATGAAAATGTTGTGATCATACATAATATTATCGAATATATGCAGGAGAAATTCCTAGGAGACGTTTATCTATTAATATTGTTTGTCTAAATAAAACAACAATTAATATGAAATAAACAACAAAACTTCGTACTTTTTTCGGGTACTTAACGAAATACAAAGCAACTTAGTGCATTTCAAGTGATAATTGATTTTGATAAGTCAATGTCATGACTCTTATCTAATTGCAAAAAAAGAAAACAACCAGCGTATGGAACACCGCTGAGGATTGGTGAGAATTTTGGATGCATGACTAATCGATCTGCTGACTAATGGTGAATATATTTCACTCTGTATGAAATGAAAATATGATATTTATTTATTTATATATAAATAAATATCAATAAGGCCTTTTTTGTTATATGATACTTGTTAATGAGAGCAGTCGACGATAAAATCAGTCACTTCAATTCTTTTTTCAAGGGTTCTCTCTCTCTCTCTTCCTGTCTTCATTGAAATAGATGGCGTTAATTGATAGAAATTGATACGTGTTAGTTACTTGCAATTAAACCCTGGAGCGTACCTTGACAAGATATTATTTATTTCTTGTTGCTTGAACTTATATAATATTTGATCTGTAGTAAATCACAATTTTCTGTGAACCCATTGGCTTGTAGTTTTATATAAATTGTGTTTATTAGCGACAGTACTTTAGGCAATGCATTTAGCAACTGTACTAATATTGAATTTTTAAAATATAATACTTCTTTAGAAATTCTAGTTGTTAATGTTTCAGAGCTTATCTGTTCGAGAAGAGGGAGAAAAAGAATGCCTCAAATCCAAACATTGCATCAGTTCGATTAATCTCAGACCGCAACTCTACGTTGATTTTTAAAAATCTTAATACCATTGCAATAGGTTCAAAAGAAAAATTATGAAAATTCGACTTGATTTATTACACAAGTATCATAGTGCGTTTTTGTCGACCATATAAATTATTGATGATACTAAATGATATGAGTTATAAATTCGAATATTTAACAAAACTTAATTATAATTATTTCATAAGAAAATACAAAAAATCTTCTATTTCATTCATAAATGTTTATAATATCACACAACATCCTTTTTCAGCATCATGGCATTGCGGACAAAATCCATAGCCAGGCCCACGCGGGGTATAACATTGTAAGCAGATAATTTTTTGACATCGATAACATTTATGATCACCGACAATTGTTGGATGATATGCACATGTTAATACACTAACATCGTTCGATGCTGTTTGATTGGGAGGATGCATTACTCGAAGGTTTCTCTAGTCTAAACTGAGTTTAGCAGAATTTTGTATTAAATTTATATAAAACTCACTCATAGAAAGATAAGAACTACAAAATGACTCATGAATGTGTATCGATGGTGAAATCTGCGCTTTTTTTTTGTACTTCGAATACATTGAGATAGATTATTAGAAATAGAGACGACTTAATGAACTTAACTCTGTAATAATATTGTTTCAAAAATAATTAAAAGATTAATTTGCAATCCACTGTAGAATATGAGGTTACTGCATGACCGTGATAACGATTCGTCAGTTATGGTTTATCATCGTACTGTAAAGTGTTTATGAATTTCAAATGTTGAATTAACAGATCACTATATGTATTACGATAATATCATCACAAGTATTTTGGTTTTGTATACATTGCTTAAAAATTGAAGAAATACAAACCAAAAACTAACTAAAATAAAAGATTCATAGTGACAAATCGATACTAAATGAGTAGAAAAATGAAAAGATAATGATTCAACCAATATTTAATTCGCTATAATAAAAAAGGTTGTGGTTGTGAAGTCCAATTAGATAAACGAATTCACAGAATATGCATTCCTAAAACATGAATAGGATTTGAGAAAAACATATTTGTACACAAATGAAGTCAAACTCTAGACTATGTAACTGCAGGAATTTACTGATTCATTGCAAAGCGTGTTCATAAAAATGCCAGTGGCGGATTTAGGGGGTTGGCGACTGCTACCCCCTTCGAAATTTTTGTTAACTATATTTCATATCTTCTTGTTTACAACAACTGTATCATTTTCGATGTATTCAAACAGTGGTGGATCTACCAGTTAGGTTACCCGGCGATCACCACTCCCGTTAAGAATTTTTTTCGGTTTCCCCCAGCAGAAATGAAACAGAAAATAGTAGTTCTGCCTGAAATAGACTTGAAAAACCGCTTTTGGTCAGGAGCGCCACCCCCTGACATATTTTCTGGATCCGCCACTGAAAAATGCATAAATTAATGAGTTTTGTTAACTCGATGTGAATAGAATAAAATAATTATGAACGTTTATTATGCATTCTTTCGCTTTTTATATTAGAAGAAACGTATATGTATTATCTATTATAGTTTATATTCAATTCTACTCCATCAAATGCGAAGAATTTCATACCGAGTGGTCTGAGGACCAGCTAATCTATGAAAAGAGACATTTAATATGCAAACGATGGGTTAGAATGTGACCTTAAGTTAGGCTGGTGTTATTGTCTGCTCAGAAATCGATTGTGATATAGAAAATATTCCTATTTAAAGTTTTCAAGACTGAATACCGTTTCGAGAGTAATTCGATGAGTCATCAGCATTTATTACTACTTATCCATTCAATTGGTCGCAACGCTATACGCAAAAAGTAACTGCTTTGACTTCTGAAGAAGATTAGAGTGATAGAGCAGTTTTTTTTTATGCTTATTAAATGTCTAATGGTCGTTTCTTTGGCATTAAGACGAAGAGAGAGCTATACTTAAAAACATTTCGAATACTCACCCAGGTCGATCGTTTCGGTCACCGGATACTGTAGGAACCGGCCGAAAAAGTTTGGGAGTTTTTCTCGATGACATACTGTCGATTCCTGCCGGAAAGTACTGGAAGTTGACCGGAATCCACCGGAAAAAATCCGGGGATTTTCGACCGAGATACTGCTTCCATCTTCCAGCGATTTCCCGTGCTTTCCGATAGTTTTCTGCCGTACCGCCACGACCTGGACATGACTTCGGAATTTGTTTTTGGTATATTTCATCAGAACATAGTAGCAGCCAACTTTTTGCGTTTTCTACCACAAACGTTGACTAAATGTTCATTGCTTTGTTACATCGACACACGACGACGAATGTAGTTGTTGTCATGCATTATTTTCAAAGGTTTCAAGCTACTAATTGATGAGTCCAATAAAATACCAAATCTATATCGGACGAGAATCACACGTCAAAATGTGATTGAAGTTGTTGACGTTTGAGAATTCAGCTCTTTCATATTTAAAAGTAAGTAGCGAACAAAGTGGTACACATTTGAAATCGTAACACACATATCACAATGTTTCTTCTCCGAGAACTCTTCTTTGTCATCTCAGCTCTTAATATCTACTCCATGTTGCTCATCAACGATGCATTCCACATACCAGCAGCTGAACACTACTTCCATTCGAATAATATGACGGAAGCAACATGTAAATTTGTAGATGCCTGTAGTCACGCAAATGTATCCATCGAATATATTGATCATCCTGAAAAAGATGCATATGGAGAACAGTTACAGGCAACGGTTTGTACAGTAAGCGATTCACAAAAACGTGCAATTGTTTACACCATTTCTGGCACGCATGCTGTAGAAGGTTATGCTGGATCCATGACTCAGATTAGTATGCGTCGCGGAAATTCATCGATGTCTCCACCAGATGTTCGCATGGTTCATTTGCATTTGATTAATTCATACATGGTGCTTCATATATTCTCAAAGAAAATAAACAGAATACTGATCAACTGAAGAATCACGCTATGTATTATACAGTACATTACAATAATCCTATACTTCAACGATTAATTGATCAAATTGAGTTATTCACATTGGGTAACGAGTCTGCTAGGCAGAATGCTTATGCAGTCTTCGGTCAACTATTTGCCGAATATGGCGGGGAATTTGTCAGTATGACTCTCAAAACAGGACAAGGCAGACGACCTCAAGGTATTGTATATTTTGGACCATCAAAATCATGGTCGAGTCAAATCGAAGATTATGTGGTTGCCAAGTATTTTCCTTATGAAACCGATATTCTCCTGATTGATTGGCACACCGCCGTCGATTCGTACGGTACATGGTCGTTTATGCCCATTGATAAAGAATCAGAAACTGCATTTAAACGATGGGTACCAAACGATCTGATGACATCCTATGACATCGTTATTCCTTCAGGTAGCCAATTGCCATACAGTAACATTAAACCTAAAACAAACGCAAAACGTGTGATAAGAGGCATGTGGGAAGTTGGTACTTACAATATGGCCATGGAGACTAATACAATGTTTGTGCTACGTCTCTATTGCCGTTTTTACATTAACGCGAGTGACTCATCCTGTCAAGATATTATCTAAAAAAACTAAAGAATATTTCATCTACAGGCCGACGAATGGAAAAGATTAACATACGATGCCATCAACAATGTTTTCTCCAAAAGCTTTATCCGGTTTCGCAGCTGAAATAAGTTCTGGAACCAAATTCATAGTCGCTGAGTGTTGTATGATTTGGAATCTATAATGGGATTGCTTTGGTTTAAGATATAAGACAATATAGAAAGGAATGACTGCTTGATTCAATTACATGTTCTTTTGACTTTGTTTGAACAATATTTTAAATCAAAATTAAGAAAAATAGCTTTTTTATTCAAAAGACTTGTTTTGCGTTTGTCATAAAATCTTATCAATGTGAGCCATAAGATATCTCGTGTTGCAGCTAGGGCTTGTGAAGAAAACAAAAACTTCTGCAAGTTTGCGTATGATTCCAAAATTTATTGCTATGGATGTAGCATACCTTATACAATTATTTAAGCTGGATGTCTGAAAGAATTCATACAAAATTGGCATTAAAGAAATTGCTATATTATTGTATATAGGTTCACAAAATTATTTTCATAACGTCACATTTAAGAGAATTCCTAATAAATTGTTCCATCAGAATCAAAATTCAATTAGTGTTTGGTCAGTGTCAACGTTGGATCACTTCTTAACTTTTATACCAAATAAAAGGGGATTGAAGTTTTCTCTTGATATCATCAGTAAAGCAAGAATTAAAAATTAAGTAAGCAAGAATGAACAACGATGGTGAATAATAGGCAATGCCATATTCTATTGAAGTATATGAAAGCTATAAAGACTGATTTTAGTTATTGGTCAGATTCAGATAATATTGACTTGTGCGAATATGACCAGATAATAATCGTTTCAACGTTACGAAATGACATGAACAATCAAAGCTATTTTCAGCGTATGTGGATGTCAGTAAGTACGGTTTTTAGAAGTCCGTAATCACAATCTTTCATGCATCCACATCTTATACGTCTCTTTATTATTAGCTACGAAAGAGTGAATGTGATGCTTTACTATCCGTTTGTTAGTTCTCTACTGTTAAAATAGCGCGTTTCTCATTTCTAAATATAGAGACACGTATAACTTGATGATCATTCACATCGTACAAAAAAATTTGTTTTCTCACGTTGATGTGGTTTTTATATAAGATTATAGAAACTAGACTATCAAAAACACACAATATTTATTTCATTTTTATATTTAAAAAACATGTCTTACTAAAGGGCATAATTTTTACATCTTCATATAATAGCAACAGTTTGACGAATTAATGTTTTCGGCAATAGTAGCATTTGAGTTCATCTGGATGATGATCAAATCCACTAACAGGACATTTATATTCTCCTTGGCCCGTACAACCTGTCCAACTGGGTCCAATTATACCCATTTGAGCCTTATCATACGTTGTATCGCCACTAAGAGTACTTTTGATAGTCGCGTCTTCATCTTCGGATGATATACTCATTTGCAGTAGTAGCAGCGTTCCGTTTCACAGCTTCTGCATCGAGATCAGCAATACGGCTTTCCATCTTATCGTATACTTGTATTGAAAAAATATAACAATGTTTGAATGTCAATTTCTTCGCCTATTTATATGATTCTATATTCTCTCAATCAGAAAAACTGCGTAGTAATCGGCATGAAGGAATTACGCTGTGAGAAAAAAAGAATCATCGAGGATAGACTAGTCTTTATTGATAAAATATAGTCTCGCAGTTCATTCAGTTCGTTTTTCTTCTTGAATAAGCATGTCTTCGATCTTTTTTTGTCCGACGCAGAAATGTCCTGCAAGAGAATTAAATTCCGTATACGATGACGTGTTACAAATTTTTGATGTATCAGTCAGTTGAACGAAGAACAAAATATCAAACGCAGAAGATGCAATTATTAGATTTGTGGGAATACATGTACAAGAACTAAGAATTGTGAGAGATCCTATGCTTTTAATTTTCTCATATCGACGTTGACGCAGACACGTGTTCACTATGAAGCAGCGTTTTGGCGAGTTACAGGATTCAAAAGATAAAACAGTTCTTTTATGGATTATTTTTTGACTGAGTGTACTCATTTTCTTTTTTTTTCGATACACACATTCTCCTTAATTCTGTCGCTGATGTGGACTTTATGCACAGCAAATGTTTTCTCATCACATATATTTTTCTCTCAGTTTTCTCATATATGATTCTCTTTCTTTCTTTCTTTCTTTCATCAATAACTTTACCAGTACCGTATCATATTGTTCTCAATGTTGATCGTCTTTTCTTATTCTTCTTTTACAGAGTCATTACGTCCGATTTTTTACACTTTGTCTCTTCGGTGCAAATTGTTGAGGAAAGAACTTGATAAAATACAAGAGCTCTAATACTACGTTATTATTTAATTTTGTGCGATGTGGATATAGGTGGCGATCAGACGAAGATATACATATTCATACTAACATCCTTGCCTTTTAATTATACGATTATTTTGATATCAACAAATATATGATAATTCCGTAATCTGGATAGTATTGCTATCGAATTTGGTTTACATTCGAGATAGGGCTAACAAAACATAGTGCAGTCTTAGAAATTCTTGTTACACTGACTTATTGTGACAGGCTGTTATCAATATACTGCTCAGCTTCCAGGAATCAAATATGACTTGCAATTGTAGATGTGATGTCCATCATTCTTGCACATATAATTGATAATAACAAATAGTTAATGTTCATCTATTTGATTTTTGTATTAGAAATGTTTTTTGAAAGCTTGCTTTTATCAGATGAAACTGTTCTTCATTTAATTAATTGGGATTTTGATTCGTCTGCAGCCTGTATTCTATTTTGTATATGAATTCTTCTGATGAAAATAAATATCTGTTATAATAATAGTGACTTATAATGTGTAAAAAAAAAGAAAAATAATGACAACTACTCTCAGTTGAAACGGCGAGAAACGACTAAATTAAGTCTATAAATAACGGGAATGCAACTCTTAAATCGGTCAACTTTTACATCGAAATAAATTACCTGGGCACTTATATGTTTCTATTTTCACACTTTGAACAGCAGCCACAAACTACAGAAAATTGATAATTTCTCAACTATATATTTGTTTCATCTTGTTTACATCGAATTTTCGTTCTATGAGCATCTCTAAATTGTTTCTTTTTGGATTTCATGATGTAACTCCCCCACCCCCCCACCCCCACAATAAAAGAATCCGGGGCTTCTATTACGTCCCAACGTAAAAATTTTCCACGGAGTCTTATATTAAGAATCACATTTTTTCCTAATACTTAATTTAAAAGGGTTTCCAAAAAACCAAGGTGATTTTCAGGATTTCCATCAGGGTTTTAAGGGTGTCATTAAAATTGTGAACACATTCTCTTAATATTTCCAGCTTAAAATGCTAAGAATCAGGCATATTTTGACGGAAAAATGCTAATTCAAGTTCGTAATTAACAAAAAATTAATTAATTAAAGGGGGGTCTTATAATAGGGAGGGGGAGGGGCAGAGTATTTGAATTTGTGACACAATTTAGTTTGATGAAAACCTTGTGAACTTCTATCTAAATCAGAAACTACAGCGATATAGTGGTATGGTGATATAAGCGGTGTCAGGACTCTCACCCGCGCCAGTACCCACACCCTCAACAGTAAAATAAATTTTTAAAAAAATAGGCTATTTTGCAACTCAAAATTGGCAGATTCTGTTTCTTGTTGCAAAATATCAGATAGATTTTCAAAAATGCTCACTGTGATACGCACTTTTAGCCTGATGGATCCATTTCTATTTTATCTAAAATAATAAGGATTAGTATTCGGAAGACTTTCAAATAATTGAAAGAGTTAATAATAGGCTCATGAATAAAGACTTCAAGTTATTGTCAAATGTTTAACTTTTCAATTTAATAATGGTCATGCATATAATTCTGCGCTATTCAGTTGTCCACTATAATCTGATCCGCCAGCAACTAAAACTTTACCACTAGTCAATATCGTTGCTACATGATTGACCCGTTCAACGTTCATGTTATTAGGATTTACCCACAGGCCTGTTGAGGGATCATATATTTCTGCAGTATTAAAAGGAACAACAAAATTATCTCCACCAGCGATCAAGACTTTTCCATTCAATAGTAGTGTGGCTGTATGAGCAGTTCTTACACTACTCATACTGCCAGTGTTTGTCCAAATTCCTGTTGATGGATCATATACTTCTGCAGTATTCAAAATACCTGCAGAGCCCTCTCCACCAGCAACTAAGACTTTTCCATTGGTTAGAACTGTTGCTGTATAAGTAATTCGTCCAGTACTCATACTGCCAGTGTTTGTCCAAATCCCTGTTGACGGATCATATACTTCTGCAGTATTCAAAATACCTTGAGAGTTCTCACCACCAGCAACTAAAACTTGCCCATTATTCAGTATCGTTGCTGTATGAGCAGCTCGTGCAATACTCATATTGCTAGTCTTTGTCCAAACTCCTGTTGATGGATCGTATAGTTCTGCACTATCAAATTTTAGATTAGAATTGCTGATACCACCAGTGACCAACACTTTCCCACTGCTTAGTACTGATGCTCTGTGATAAGTTCGTGCATTAATCATATTACCAGTCAATGTCCAAACTCCCGTTGAAGGATCGTAAAGTTCTGAACTATTCGAGTCATCACTAGAAATGATGCCACCACTGACGAGTACTTTTCCATTGAGTAGTGTTGATGCTGTATGAACGGCTCGTGCCATATTCATGTTGCCAGTCAATGTCCAAAGTGCTGTTGATGGATCGTAGAGTTCAGCGCTATTTAAAAAATTACCGTTATTAAATCCACCAGCAATTAAGATTTTCCCATTGGTTAATACCGAGACTGTGTGAGAGTCCCGTGCGGAATTCATACTGTTGGTATAGAGCCACGCTAGAAACACATACTACAATGTAATAATCTGAAAAGTTGCTTATGAAAGTCTTCTATCAACGTCGTTAAAGTTAGGTCTCTTTTAAGATTGGAAGTAAATTTTGTTGAAATAGTAAATAAAAGAAAAAGAAAAAGTTACAAGTAGCAAATGTTGAGAAAGATTAGACAATGAAAATGTCGAAGAATTTCATAGTTATTCGTGTCAAAATTCTTACTCTTGTTCTTATGCAATATCTTTCCGATCAACAAACAAAAATTTAATTCTTGTATGAAATAGATAAATAGTCTGCAGAATTAGGTGAAAATGGAAGGCAAAATAGTTTCATTTCCACTTCTACCTAAATTCACACCTTTCATCAGAACTATATTCTATGGGCACTATCTGATTACGGAAGTGTATTTGCTTTAGTGATGCTCATTCTAAGTAGACTCAATCTTGTTGGCTATCGTACTGAATAGCTTTCGGTGTAACTTATTCAATTGTGTTTGAACTCTTTTTCTCACTTCGATCAGTTCCATCGTTTTGAACGGCACAATCAAATAGTTGACCTTTCGAATCCTGACTTGATATTAGGGCAATTTTCAAGATTACTAGCTGATGGCTTTATGTTTAAATAAGAGTAATTTGATATTTTATGGCGAAGTGTTAAATTGAATTAAACTCAATTAGACTGGTGTGGCTCTACAACGAAAATAAACGAGATTTCGATCTTATTGTTGATGAAAACTATCTGGGTAGAAAATTTTATCAGTAGAAAAATAACAAAATAACATCGTAGTTCTTTTAAGTATATAGTATTTGACAATGTTTGTATAAGTTTAAGTGTTCTTTTGCTAGGGATATGTTTTTGTCACTTCTCAAGATTTCGTTCAAAAACAGACAGAAACATTGGAAATCCTTTGCCGGATCTTTGGTAGCGGTTAGTCACATATTACAAGTAGAATATCTTAAAGATTATTGAAAATTCACTGCACTGCTGAAAAATAATATTATAAAAGCTATTAAGAAAACGATTTTAAAGTTGAAGATTTATATTAACAAGCTCTGTGAATCTCCTACGGTTGACAGATGTAAACTACTCATGAATTACCCTACTATTCCACAAATGGTAAAATGAAAAAGACCATATCCATAAAAGTTTTTTACTCTGACTCATACACATTAGGAAAGTGGTAAACAAAAATGTGTAAACGTCAAGATATCTTTCAGAATCAGTAGAGCTTTGAATTTTATGTACTAAAGAGCTAATGAACGATTCTTATTTACACGACAAATTATCATAACAAACTTGATAGTTTCTCTAGAAATAAACAGCAGCACTGTCTTTAGATAAATTCATGAATTTTTTATTTTCTTTCCACAAAATTATAAGAAGATAAATTTTATCAACTGAAAATTTCGAAACATACCGCAAATATCCAGTGTTTAACGGTAACACGGCTTTAGTTTTCAAAATCTTCTATATTTATTGATTGTCAAAGTTTTTAGACAAAGACAGTACACTTCAACATCATTGTGAGTATCTCAAATAATGAAAATATAATTACATTCGAATTAGTTTTTCCTCTAATAAACTCACCGGAATACATGACTTCGAGATTTTCTAGGTACACGTTTTTCTGTAATTTTTTCCTAGCTTAAAACGATCTAATCACAATTGAATGTGCTACAGAAAAATGCACAAACTGTTAGCGCACTACTATAATAGATTTCACGAACAACTAAAAGATATTTTCAGTAATCTATTTCGAATGAATTGAAATATCAAGTAAAAGGTTATAGTCTATTCAAATGTGACTCTTCGTTTTACATTTTACTAATACATATGACTTCAACAAAAAAGTTCATTACCAAACTTCTATCCAAGGGAAGAGCCTTCGAGGTTTGTACGTATCTGTTGAATCTAAAACCGTTAACAGTTAATGCCCTAATCATTTTAAGGTTCCATAAGAATGGATGAAGCCCAAAGGGTTCATTCATGGGATACAATTTCCGAATTAAACCTTTTCTAAGCGTTTAGCGGGATTCCAAAAAAATAAAACTGTGAAATATGATTCATTTGCTATATTCCTTCCCAATAACTCTTCTAACATCAGCCACACCAGCCATGAAAGTCAGCTCGACTAACATACGGTCGTGTCTGGCACTCTCTGTAATACAATTGTTTTTCTCGCTCTTTCCCGCAGGATCTTTAGAATCGGTGGATGATAGCAGGGAATTAAAAAAAGAAGCCTATTTTTCTCGCTATAAACTTCAACATGAATTCACACTGGTATTTCACGAAATGAATATGGACGTATTTTTTATCTCATCCCGTTACTTCAACTCTGTGATAACGATTCTTTATTCAACTATCAACTGAACTATGACATCAGCATCTTCTCACTTACTCGTGGGTACGTAGATCGTCGTTGATGCGGCCGTTGGCGATGTTGCCGTTGTCATTGTGGAAGTTGTTGTTGTTCTTGATGTTGTTCTTGACGTTGTCGTCGTTGTTGAAGTTGTTGTTGAAGTTGTTGTTGATGTTGTTCTTGACGTTGTCGTCGTTCTTGGCATTGAGGTTGTTGTTGTTGTTCTTGATGTTGTTCTTGACGTTGTCGTCGTTGTTGAAGTTGTTGTTGATGTTGTTGTTGATGTTGTTCTTGACGTTGTCGTCGTTCTTGGCATTGAGGTTGTTGTTGTTGTTCTTGATGTTGTTCTTGACGTTGTCGTCGTTCTTGGCATTGAGGTTGTTGTTGTTGNGCATTGAAGTTGTTGTTGTTGTTGTTGACGTCGTTCTTGGCATTGAAGTTGTTGTTGTTGTTGTTGATGTCGTTCTTGACGTTGTCGTCGTTGTTGAAGTTGTTGTTGTTGTTGTTGATGTCGTTCTTGACGTTGTCGTCGTTGCTGTTGTTGCTGATGTTAAAGTTGTTGTTGTCATTATTGTTGCATTCAACGTCGTTACAGTCGATGTTGCTATTACGGTAGTTGACGCTTTATTTAGAGGAAAGGAGAACATGACTATTACAATGTTATCCAGCGAAACTTGATACAATAGACATATTAGTATAATGGAAGCATCGGTCACCAACAGAGCGGTTAGGGTAGAATTAAATCTCAGTGTGGAAAACAGTTCTGTATATCTAAGTAACTTTTAACGGAGGTTTATGAAAAAACGAAGTGAAACGAGCAGACAGGGATGCCAATTTACAGTTTATGTAATTTAAATTTAACTTAATGAAAACTAAATTTAATTTAAAATAAAATTGTATAAAGTTAAATTTGAAATAAATTAAAATTTTTCTTATACAAAAATTTATTTCTCGATTTAGTAAATTTTTTTTAATTTTAATTTTAAATTTAATAAATTGTTTGGATGGATGCACATCATTGCTACGAGGAAAATACGTAACTTTAACAGTAGTAAATACTAAATGAGAGTAAGACCTAGTACTATAGGTTAATATTTGTTCATAATAGTCAAAATTTCTCTACAGATTATGCAGGATCCGTCATCTTTCTTCTTCAAAATACTGGGATACTCATAAAAATATATTTAATAGCAAAATTCGTAGAAGAATGACTAGCTTTAACTTTAGAAAACAGGAAACATACTCAAACTTGACTTTAAATAGTAGCAATAAAGTCAAGAACTATGTTTATCTGCTAGTTTTCAAAATTCAACTAACTTGAATTTCAAAAAATTTTATTCAAATTTGTTTAAGTTTAAATTATACAAAATTTAAAATTTAATTAAATTTAAATTTCTTGAATTTAAATTTATTTTAAATTTAACGTTTCATTTAAAAAAAATTTTAATTATTATAAATTTAATTTTTTGAAAATTTATTTCTCGGTTTAATGATTTTTTTAAAATTTAAATGTGACACCCCTACGAGCAGACATACGGGGAAAGCTAATATTTTCTTTCATTGTGTATAATAATATGGACTTGAGACAAGCCCTCGTTTGTCACAATTAGGGATGTACGGTTTCAGCGACAACATCGAAAAAACCATCACTTTTGTCACCAAAAGTGACGCTCAGTGCACACTGATAGACTGAGTGTCACTGATCACTGAAGTATTGATCACACTGACACTGAACTCACTGAAACACTGATGACCACTGTGTTACAGTGTGTTCTACTGTAACGTATATCTCGATTCTATCTGTTCTCTTGTCTTTTGTCTTTTCCTTTCTCTCTCCGTTTCCCTCTATTTTCTTGTCTATGTTTTCGTGTGGGTGTGGATCTGATGATGTGGTTGGGGGAGGGGGGGGGGTGGTGGGCTCTGACTTAAGATAAAGACAGTCACACCCACACCCTTTAATGTGTTTTATTCTATCCTAGTTTTTTGTTTTGTTTATCTTGATATTTGAAAGATGTATTTACTTTCATTTTCACAAAAATTGTCTTTCTAGAATATTGATTTATTTACGTGTTTTTTTGTTCTCGAAGATTTTCACTTATAAAATATTTATCTAACTCTTCGACGAAGAGGTAATCATTTTCTTCACATTTTTAAAACTCTACCCATTAAGTTTCTTGAAAAATGCATGCATCTAGTATATAATCATTGTTTTTTAATCAAAGCACAGGTCTTGCAATATTATGTAAGAATTAATTACGAGATGTCAGTGAAGTCAGCGTTTCTGGCGTACTAGTGACGTTGATGGTATCAGTGATCAGTGACACTCAGTCTATCAGTATGCACTGAGCATCACTATCGATGCCTATCGGTGTTCAGCAAATGCACACCACACATCCCTAGTCACAATATTAAAGTCGCATCACTCAGAGTTTTACCGGATCAGCTACTACGTAGAGAATCATAAAACGATTTTATTCTTGCCCAATAAGCCTTAGCTTTTGTTTTCTGGTTATCAAAAAATATCATATAAGCGAGATAGAAATCTTTGACAGGGCGTGAGTGTTCAAGTTCAGTTACTATAACTGGTTCCTATAGCATTCAAAGCCATTTTTAGTGGAGAAACAAAATGTTTTAGATTATTCATCAATTATTAAGAACGCTTGTATTTATTTACATTGATTTCTTTTATACTGCTTCTCAGTCAGTACAATACTAATCAAAAGCCTAAGAATTGGTTGGTTCCCATGTCACCACGTTGGGTGTGTGGGTGTGGGGTGTGGGTGTGGGTGTACTGAATTCCGGAATTGAATTGGAAGGGATAAAAGGAATCCCGTGAATTAGATGGAATCAGTAGGCAGTGTTTCCGGAAATTCCGGAATTGTGTTGAAATTGATTAACGGAATTCGATGGAATTGATTCCGGAATGTTTAACATTACAGAATAGGATGTATTATCAGGCTGTTATCTACGTTACTGTAAAATATAAGGATGACGTGGCTCGTTCGTGTTAATAGCATCCTGTCTACACGAAACTGCTAAAGAAAATCCAGAAAAATCCTCTGGTATGTCAGATATCTTGTCTGATGTTCCTGTAAAGTCGCCAATTGAATCTCCCATTAGCTAGTATTGTAGTTAAAAATAATAATTACTTGTATCAGTGATTGAAGTAGTCGAGCTTAGTGGCGGGCATCTTTCGGAAGAGGCCCGCTCGATCGGATAACAAACAGGTATTTGGCAGCGAGTGTTATTGACGCATACAGTATTGGCTACCAAACATGTCTTATTATCATTTTCACATGTAGTTAAATTGCTACATGGTATCACTGTATCAGCACACAATCCTCCTTCGGTCATTGTCATCAACAAACATTCGCAATCAAAATTTGTTGAACAAGGTACTGGTTTGTCTTGACAGTGAGGTGTTGGGCAGCATCCACACTTCGAAGTTTGTGCATTGAGTATATTGTGGCCTATAGGGAAGTTAGTGAAAACAAATTATAGATTCAAATGCCAAACATTTTCCGAAGTGAAGAATTAAAGAATTCAACTGAAAAAGTGAATGATGTGAGTTTCATGACGTTTTAGTAGATTTCTGTTAAAATAACTAAGTTAAATCACTTTCTCATACCTATGATAATACAGATAACATATCTAAAAATTTCAAGTTCATTACATCGCTGATTCTTCTAGGTAGCTTAACTTACAGTATTTTATTTGTGTGAAATACAATTCTTTGCATTGTTTTTAATGAAGAAATGCCTGTTGATTGAAACAGTTCTTACTTTTATAGAGAAAAGGGTTTCTTCAACACCCCTCAAGGGTTTCTTCAACACCCCTCAATTAAACGAGTCATAAACATACAATAGCAGGAGTCTGCGCCTCTTGATTATTCAAAGCAACCCATCTATGGTGACGAAAAGTTTTTGTAAGTGGCGCACAATGTGATTCTACTCGCTTAAAAAAATACCTGCTGTTTTTTCTCTCAACACAACCCAAATGCGTCACAGAAATATAAATAATAAATGTTAAAAAATATTTTTCAAAGCTTTCATGATTTTGTTATGTTTACACATTCTAACAAAAATGTCTGGTAAGAGTGGTGTAACTATCTTGATGGTGTGGGTTTGGGTGTGGGATTGCCGACGAAATTATTTTGTTCATCGACACAAACCGGCGAAATTTTCTACAAAAAATAAAATGAATGATAAACGTGATGAGTTTAAAAGAATTTCATTCGAGTTTTCTTAGGAGACAAACACAATTGAAATGATTTTGTAACTAAGTCAACGGTCGTTGTTAAGTTTTTAATGGTTAAAAATATCCAGTACTGATACTGATCATTTAGCTTTTCAAAATTTAATATGACTTTTATGATATTTGTAAAACTCATTAGATGCATGAAAATAGATTGCCCTCTAGAATTATTTTAACACTCACGCAGATTTGCAACACACTTAAATATTTTTATATTCATATCATAATGAATGATATATTATTGGTTTGAGTGCCGATCGTTGAATTCTTCTTCATTCGCAGTATCCAGGAAGAAACTTGTGCATATTAAAGTTTATTTTGACAAAGAGCAGTCAATCAATGATCCACTAAATTTTGTCGATAATAGGCCTAATGGTAAAGGCACAAAATGATTCAATCTAGCATACTTTAATATCTGATTAAAATAGATAGAATCTGAATTCTCCCATCAATCCAGTCCAACTTTCGTTGCTCTTAGTAACAAGCTGTCTAGTAATCTTGGCCTTAACCGTCCTTCTTCTCTCATCACATTCTGTAGATCTTCACCCACCAACAGTGAGATATTGCCATGAGTGGCATGTATTGATATGTTGTGTTAGTTGGTTTGTATTTGAAAGAAAAGCAAGAAAATTAGTGGAATCTTAATCGAATAAAGCTCGCGCATATTGTAATATCGATCGAAAAAAATAACTTTATTGAATAAACAATGTTTCATTAGTATCACACAAAAAGAGACATAGTACAGCGATGTCAATCACGCTAATGACATCTACTTTCATATCTAAATTAGTTTCATTGGCAATGTATCATGTGCGTATAGTAGACTCAATGATTTTGGCGAGTAGAGGGAAAAGCTATATTACCGTTTTTGGAGCCTGGTTATCCACGCAAATATACACCAGGGCGCGGTACAACTTATTTCTACTAGCATTTGCTTTATTACACTGCCTGTTTTGCTTCTTTTTTGCCTGTAGGGCATCTTACTTGAATCCTGAAATTCAATAAATTAACGTTTTTATCGGGATTCAGTTGGATCCTCACAAAAGAAACATGCAAAGCTGGCAGCATGATTAAATATCGCAAAAATACAAAGTAAAAATAAATTATTCAGAATAAAAAATGAAACGTAACAAGCCATTCTACTTTCGTTCTTATATGTTTTTTACCGATTTATTTTCAAGTGCTCATGTTTATTTTAAATAAAAATGTTGCTATGAATAGACATTCATGAAAAATGCCAAATAAACATTTTATTATTAATGCATATCCTTCTCATATACCTGAAAGAAGATTTTTGTGTTGTTCTCAGAAGGTAAAAGTTAGAACTTTCATTTAGTCATTGGACAGCAACATCCAATAATCATTGAGTGATGAAAACGAAACTTCATTCCTT